AGCGTGGAATGAGCGTTGAGCATTTAAAATTTTACGATTCAAGCTGTTGAAAGATGTGCCTCAACACGCTCTTTTGACAAACTGCAGCAATGTTATTATAGCGAGAAGTGAAGCGGTATAATTTTTGCATAAGCCATAGGTGAATGCGTCGCGCGAAAGCGGAAACGTCTTAAGGATAATTGCAGCTGGCAGTCTCACAACGCCAGTTTGCAAAACAGAATAATTTGAAGCTAGAGTTTTGCACTCTAGTTAACGCAGAAGAGCAATTTTAAAAGTGTTGCGTGAATATGTGGAGTGCAAACTGGCCCAGAGAGAAGCAGAGGGTGGAAAATGATCATTGTTGTGTGTTGCTGGCTGCGGGGATGAATGGGAAATTATTCGAGGCCGCGGGCAATCGGAAAACGAGGCTCGCCAAGCCGGAATGTCGGTTGCCGCTGCTGCGTTTTGATGCTCGCGCGAGAGGCGCTTATGCAACACGCACTACCCCCATTACTTGCCTCCATTGCAACAACTATTTCAATAAGGAGAGGCCGTTTTGTTTCCTTCTCGAAAGTGCAGAGCCGCTTGATTAAAATGGAGCGTTTATGGATGAGACGGATGAGAAAAGCAAAGCTAAGGAGATTCTGCGATATTGAGTCGCATAAAGAGAAGAATTTTTGCGGCTGCTTAAGTGGCAGAGACGCTTTTCTTTTTCTTTTGTATATTTTCATCCGCGCGGTTGCCGAGCTAAAGCGGGCGAAAAGAATAGGATCACGAGAAGAGATATATTTTGTGCTTATAAATCTCAGCAAAACAAAAAATGGCGACGACGTCTCTTTTCTCATCTGCGCAAAAAAAGATTGTTAGTTACTTGGCCATAGGTGGAATGAGAAAGTTTTCCTGCTCAGCGAAGATGCGTGCAATTGGAAATCGAATCCTGTCTAGCCAGGCTAAGGGGAAATTTGATAAAAAAAAAATTGCTGTGTAATTTGCTGTCCCAAATGAAGTTTATCCCTAATAAAAAAGGTCTTGGGTCATCTGATTCTCATATTTCAACTTGTCTTGGTATCGATTTACGTAAGTTGACAAGTAAATCAACAAAGTGGGGTTTGACATAATTAATTTATAACCATAACCCAATCAGTATTTCAAAAATGAATTTCAAACAGTTTATTGGTTAAAAGTAACAAGTAAAAACTTTCAAACGTCAATCATACAATTATTTTGTATAAAATCAACCCTTTTTAAAATTAAAAAAAAAAAATGCTCATAATGCAGGCTGTGAAATAATTTGATATATCAAATTTTTTTATCTATAATGTAGCTTTGTTTAACATTTTTTAGCTACTCAAAATTAAAATTTATTACTACAGAATATATTAAGAAGATAAAATATATCCAAAAGGCGAGAGTAATCTTTTTGGTGCAATTACGCAGCTGTGTGCACTTTTTTTTATTCCTGGGCTTGGAGACATTACACTGCGATTTATTTCGGGAGGCGGCCGCCACTGACACACTAAATGCATTACACGCACACACCGCCCGACGCAAATCTCGCCCGTCTGCTTTTTCCCTGGGGGCGATTTCCTGACGCTCCCCCTCGCTCTCTCTCGGTGGTCTTGAGCGAGGGCAGGTGCAAATTAACCCTTTCTCTGTACCCAGACAATTAAACTCGGCCGCGCGTTGCCTTTTTTCGGGGCACTTTAAAAAGTCGGCGCGAGGGTGCAGCGCCGAGGCCACACGCAGAAATTGCTTCATTAAAACATTTTTCATCAGGTTCAAATTGCCACACGCCAGCGTGGCCTCTGCTTTTTTTATTGAGTTACCTGCTTGCAATTAAAATTGAAGTGCGTTTGCACGGCAATGATTTTCTTTTTCACCCAGTATTTCAGCCCGGCTCGCTTTCGGCTTTGATTGTGATGCGAGAATGAGCGCAGCACCGAGGGATTGGCTCGATTTCGCCCCCGTGTGCTCGCGGAGACAAAAATAACTCCACTTGTCGATTTTAAAGCAGAGGTGCAGTTTTTGTGAATCTCGAGTCGCGACTTTTGAATGACGGGAGTGCCGTCTCCGTTCATTTGCTTGATTGATATTTTTTTTCGAGATATGAATTTTAAGGGGGTGTCACTATCATCAACGCACAGAGTGCCAATTGTCAAATTTGGATAAGTTGGCTCATAAACAATTCAATTGAAGCTTTCCTGAAAGGCACGCTTGTTAAGAAGTTGAATTGGCATTAGCATAAAAATGGGAAACATTTCAGGTGATCTTTAACCGTCATACCGCTTGCATAAAAATTTACGTAAAAAAGTATTTTTATTTTTAATGTGAATGTAAACCAGATTTTTTATTCAAATGATTCATTGTTTTGATTCTAATGCATCAAAAAGTTTTTTCATAGTATAGAGATCAATTCATTTTCAATAAAATTGCGCAGAGTAATTAATTTTTTTTTTAACTATATTAATATTTTTTTCCGTTTCCAATCATACTTTGAGCTATGGATTTCCTTATCTGTTGTTTAACGAGACAAACTTTTAACTTTTATGACAAGCCCAAAAAATTGCGCCAGACCTGACAAGATAGAATGAGAGAAGTTTCCTTTTTGGCGTCATGTACATCGATTTCGGAGGAGAGATCATCACTTTCTTTCTGGGTGAAAGAATTAATTTATATTCAAATTGGAAACGTAGATTTTTGCTTTTGCGAGACGGCCGACTTTTGATGAGCGGCAGAATGAAAAAAACCCGACTTCTCCTTTCCCTCCCTGTGAACTCGCCCCGAGGGGCAAAAATGAGAAAGTCTCGGGAGCGTATCGGAAAAACTGTTAGTTTGATATGGATTTCAGGTAATGAATACAGGCGCTTCGCCCCATACGTATACTTTCTACTTCTTTCCCTCAAAATATGGCCTCATGCGTTCGCCACCGATAAATAATTCACTACCGAGAGTCACGTTCACAACGACAAAATACTTTTTTAACAACGACCTACGGTACTTGAGGCAAGAGTATCTGATATTCCAGGAACATTCATTTTTGCCTCTGGACATTTATTCTTAATATTTGAAAATTTATGATTATTTATTCATTGGATAAGTAGAAAAAAAATGAAAATTGAAAAAGTGTTATCGATTATATTTTTATTTTATTGGGAGTCTAATAAGAGAAACTTATCAATGAAGTAAAAAAAAGGTGTCCATGAATATTTTAATAAAAAATATTTAATTAAATTTAAATTACATAATGAGATAATCTACTTGTTGGATCAGTTTTTTTATCAATGGAATTAGAATTGATATTGCTCTTGGTTTTCATTTTTAGCATACCAAAGCAAGATATTTCATTTCTTTTATGCTCTGTGATGTACATTATGTATGTTGCTGCTGGGTTTGGTGGTAAAATGCAGACGTGCAAAGAGTGGAGTAATTTGCTCCGAACAATGATGGACGAGGGGGACTCAAAAAAGAGTGGCGTACTGATTGCTCTGCCATGCTCAATTATTATTTTTATCCGGGCGCAAAAGCTTATCACGCCGCGTGAAACTTTTAATGACCTCTTCATTTGACATTTCGCGCTCGCGACCAGCGGCAAAATGGATTCGCTGCTCGCTTTGATATGAAATTTTTGCGCAACGGAAAAGGATTTTTCCCGCAGAGCAATTATGTTTCCAGATGATTAAAACTTCTTGGTATTTTTTCTCCGCATATACAAATGTATCAAAATGCACGTCAGCTGGGAAGTTGCAGTGCCGGAAATTTCTCCGGTTTTATTTTCACCCAGCATCAAATCGGCACAGGAGGTCGGAGAAGTTGGTCGAAAAGCCACATTATTATTTTTCCTAGCCTCAATCTCCTTAAAAAGGCAAGTCAAACAGGGAGAACGAGTGGCGGGCGAGCGAGCGAAAGAGAGAAAGGATACTTTTCGGCTGTTTGCCGAGCGAAACACAAAGGCCGAGGCAATTAATTAAACTTGGCCTTTTTTCTTTGTCCGATGGCCAAATCATTGAGAGCTACAATTGAGCCCCTAATTGGACGTGGGATTCTTCCGCAAAGCAGTCTGCTCTTAATACGACCCTTGCTTTTGCATTAAAAATCACCTTTCCATGATTTGACCCTCTGAATAAGTTACCATATGCCTACAAAAATGTCATGGACTCTGATAGTATTACAACTAAGATAATTTTTATAACTAGAACATCCCGATTTAAAAATCTATGAATAGGATAAGGCATTTATGTAATCCAATCATCACTAATATCAGAAATTTCAACAACTATCAAAAAGAAAATTTTACGCACACTGCGTAAAACTTTTAATTCTTTGTGAATGATAAAAATAATCCTAGACATCTCAAAGCCAATTCTGAAGATTACAAAACCAAAATTATTGCAAAATTTTCAAATATTTGTTTAAAATTTGCGATTTGATGATCCATGCTCTCAAAAAGAACCAAAACCAAAGATTTTTTGGGCCACAGTGATTTGCACTTTTTCATTTGGACTCACGCGATGAGCGAGTCTGCGCGTCGTCGGCGGTCGCTTGATTCAATTGGAGGCTGATTCGCTTTAATTGAGCAGCTGGGGCGCTAATTAGATTCACAGTGTCATTTGATTTGCGTCGCGCGCGTGACTGCAGACAATCGTAGTGGATTTATAACACAAATCCTGAATCGTGGATTATCCGACGCGCTGCTGTGAGAGGCCCAGGCCGCGAAAATTAAGTGCCTCTATCAACGACGAGCTCAACGCTTTTACTTTCAGGGATTTCCATCGCTCTTCTGAAAATCCTTTAATCTTAAAATTTTTAGAAATGAATTGTTAAGGAAATATCACAAGGAATAAAAAATAAAAATAAATTATTTTCTCCCTTACTAAAATTTCAAAATATTGAAGTACATGTTTATAAAATATATATTATTTACAAAATTTATTTTTGAGGAACAACAAGTATCATTTTAACATTATTAAATGTTTAATAATTATATTGCAAGAAATAAATTTCCCAAAATCATTCTGTTTCAGGCGGGCATGCCCCTCTTGTGATGATGCTGCCGCCCCCGCTGCTGCTACTGCTCTGTCTCCTTCTAGTCAGGTGTGTATAATAAATGTATTAAATGAGTAATTACAAACCAAATAACTCACTTCAATTGCTGTTCAGTTGGAAATTTCGATTTCATTAAAGTTGCATCGCCTTTCTAACTGACCACATGGACCTAATCAATATGTTCGTCATCAATAATCACCAAGCTTTTGCATCGCATTTCCATTCATTACTTGTTAATCCTCAGCTTGGATTTCTTTGCGTTGATTCAAATGCACGGATAAATCAATTTGAATATGCTGTTGAAAATTCCGCGATAAATCCGAGCTCATTTAAATCAACAGCGTCATCAAGCGAAATCAAAACCAAACACCACCCACGCTCGCACCTAAATTATTATCACGTCAGCCGAGTGGAAGCAAAAATATTTTTACTAAAAAAAATTGAGCGTCGTTCGTTTGGCGCGCACCAAAATCAGATATCAAAGGTTGGTGGCTTTTAGAGCAAAACTAGAGAGAGGACCGCGGAAAAAAGTAAATAATAACATTCGCATGCAAAATCGATAATTGCATGACGGACGCACGGAGAGCTTTGAAACGAAAGCAGGCAGTCAGGCAGAAAGGCCGTGATTGCTCCTCATGTTTCGCCACGCCAATTATTTTATCTGGCGCGCGCTGCTCTCGTCAAAAGGCGGCGATAATTTCACGTGTTTTGTTTCTGTTTGTTCATTTTCCGGCCCGACGGGCTCATCAAGCCCAAGTACTCGCGGCACCGAATTACAAAGTGCGTGTGCTGTCGCGCCCCCAGAGACTAGTTTTCGCCAACGAGCTCGAGCTGCTGATCAACTCTCTGCCACTTTAATTATGCCCCGTGTGGCAAATGGATCGGATTCATTTCCTCCGCGAGTAATTCAATCAGTCACACTGATTTTCCTGCCGCGCTCGGCACCCACTTGATTTCTCTGCACGCCATTTCCTTCGCTTACTTTCGGGGTTTCTATTTGGTTTTGCAATTCTTTCAAAAAGAAAGGTCGAGAAACGCTTTCGTTGCAAAGGGTTACACTAGTAGAAAGAGAAATAACAGAATTTCTTCTTTTGATTTTCTCATTTCCGTCTAACGAAAGGAAGAGAGAAACATTTAGCAATGCTAAATTTTGATTGAAGTAGCACCAGTTTGAATGAATTCGAGATAAATAATATATTGTTCATATTGTTTAATTTATTTTTAATTTAAGATGAAAAAATATAATATAGAGAACCATGAAGAGGAAACAGTTGTTTATAATTTTACTATTTATTTTTAAAATTTTTAATTTCAAGTTGAATAAAATATATTTATATAATGTTTTTATTTTTTACTGCTCATAATCAAGGTGGAAGTAATTTTTTCTTTTTTTTATCAGGAGTGAGCAACTTGTTCAAATTTATTATAAATTCTAATTCTATATAACTTTAAACATGTGCTTTTCAGAGATCTAAAATCTAGACGTGTTTTCTAAAATAAAATTTTTACCTTTCTATTGTCAGTGTAGAAGGTAATACTCTTGATTTTAAATAATTTTCAATACCAACAAAGAAAAACCCAAATAAAATCACTCAACTTATTCCAGGAATTGATGGTTTTCTTTTTTAATGAAACAAACAAAATTTTTTATGGGACTTTTGTTAGGTTTGTTTGCGCTTGGGTGTTAAAATTTTCCGGGCTCAATGTCAGTTTTGTGTCACAAGGAGATTGATTTCGGCTCTTTTTTATCTTTTGATGAGGCGCGGTAATAAAGATTTTCACGAGGAGAAAAATATAATGCGCGATTCCCGCGGGAGAGGCCAAAGAAAAAGTGTCTAATTAAGGCGGAGTGGCAGCAGCGGCGTCTCTCAGCGGAGCTGCGGATAATCAAAATTGTTAACCATTAGATTTATTGTCAAGCATCCCTCAAGCCGTCGAGAACGAAAGAAGTTGCAAGGGAAAGCATGTGATAAAAACGAATATAAGAGAGTGCATGGGTAAAAGAATAAAAAAATCGCCGCAGCAGAGACGTGACTGCAAATCATAGAGTCGCGTTTGATCTCATTGTCTGGCGGTCGCCGATCCCATTCTGCTGGGGCTAAAATAAAAAGAAAAAAAACTATATACATGTATGTATAACGAAGGCCCTTTGAAACGGCCTTTCATTTTCCAGATTTTAAAGCAGATATCGAGTGAATGTGCAAACTCAAGTGCCGATCGATTTTGCACGTTCGCCGCCGTTTTGTTTCGGCTTTGTCGGGATTGAAAAAAGTGTCTCACAAAGGGCTGGAAAAATAGTTGCACCCCGCCGAGAGCACAAATTCATACGGCGTTTGAATGAAAGGCAAATGATCTCGGAGTTAAGCCCTCTCGAAACACTGGTGACACGCTAACGAGAGTCAAAACAACTTTCAGCTGCGAGGCGAGCAAGAGCAACCCACACAGGAACGTCTCGGAGCTGCTGGACAACCTGCTCAGGGGCTACGACAACAGCGTCCGGCCCGACTTCGGAGGTGAGTGTCCTGAGCTCTAGATCAAATCACCACTAGTGAATAGCAACATATGTATGTTTGCGGCTTCCGCCTCCCTTGCCGTTCTGGTCAATTAGCACTTCAAAAACAGCCAGGCCTTTCAGCCTTTCTCTGCATGCCGGTCTTTGTGCGTCAAAGCCACGCTAAAATGAATGGGTTTTTCCATTTTTTTTTTGCACACTGCTCTTTTTCCGAAAGGGTTAGTTTGCCTGTCAAACATTACTTTTCAGACTAACTGATGTGGCAAATAGATTCTTTACAATCACTGAGCTCACTGAATATTACTTTCTTTTTTCTTTTTGCAATTAATGCTGCTATTATTTCCACAACAATTCCATGTTAATGAAGTTCTACAGAAATAAATTGCCATCACAGTTCCAAGTAAACTATTATATGAGCCAAAAGCCAAATGAAAATATACATACAAATAAAAATTACATGCAAGAGATATACAAAAATATCACGCATTTTTCAATGATGTAGAAATTTTTTATTGAGCAACGAATTTCTGTGGCATGATCAGGTGCTATAATGATGAAAAAATGAGATATAAATTTTTAATTTTTACTTCAACTTCTAATACTCAAGGGGGATTTTGGGAAAGATTTATGACCTCAATTTATTTTTTAATTCATTCTTCAAAATGTGCATGTTTGCACGATATGTCTATTATAATTTTTAAGCTTTAAATATAAAAATAATAAAAATATGCTTTTGTTACTTTTTTGCAACTGAAAAAACGTTGGATCGACCATTTTGCAGTTTCGATTTTCAGGTGAATGAACCGCATTGTGGATTACCTTTTCCCGCAAATCATCCATGATTTCTAATCGATGTGTTTTCTCACTTGACATGTCACGCATAAAAGTAAAGATGTGTGCTGGGTGTATCGCGCATAAAAAGTTTTCCGTGGTCAAAGTGCTCGCGGTACTTTGGCAAACAAAGCCGATTTAGTAACTGGGAGACTCGAGCCTTTTCGGCTCCTCGCCTATTTATATGCTGCAAAAGTTGTAAAGTTCAGCCAAACTTTTTTATTTGTTTCTCGATGCTATTTTATTTTTGTTCAGAATAAAACACTGCAGGTATCTCGCAGGGAGCAAAATAAAATTTCTGGTTCAGGGACCAAGTTGAAAGTTGAATTTAAAAGAATTATTTTCCCCTTTTTGCTTTTGTCCGGAGTACAAAAAAAATCTGACCATCGTCCTTGCTCATCGGCAGAAAAAGAGCGGGAGAAACGGCGCGCGGGCATACACAATGATGAGTTGCAAAAGTCTCTCTCCCTCTGTATCATTTTTTGCCTTTTCTGCGGAGAGATAGAGCGTGCGGGAGAGCGATGGCATTTTCTGAATTTTGGCTGCGTTTCACTTTTGAAGAGCGAGCGCTGCCAGTCTTTTGTGCCCCAACAGCACCCGGGGCCATCTCGACAGCTCGGCCCAGCCACATTTTTATCATCATTATTGTGTGTTATGAGCTTTGTTACGGATTCGTCGCCGGCCTTTCTCGCTCACACTTATTGGAGCCGCAAGGTGCAAATAACGGCGACGCCTTTTAAGCGCGCGCGACCAACACTTTCAACCCGCGTGCCATTCTTGCCGCTTTTTCCATAAAAAGACACGCATTAATGAGGCCATTCCAGCTCGATACGTCGTTTTGCTCTTTACGCGTCGTCGACGTTAAGTAGCAATCTGTAAAGAATCGATGAACGATAGTTTAACCTAAGGTACTTCCATTCAATTGAAGAATGGTTGTTCGTAATAAGAGTACGCGTTTAACTCTTGATCGGTCAAATGAGCAGTCGTTCATGGCATTTCCTGATTGTGAAAAATTATTAGGAATAAGCCAATTCTAGGCTCTGGGAAAGAATGCAGCAATAATTTATAGAACGAATATTTTAGTGTTTAATGATTTCTTGTACAGGTGAATCTAAAGTATTCAAAAATACCCAAGTTGTTAATATTTTAAAAAATAGCTCAGAAATGAATGGTAATTATTAAATAAATTAAAAATTTTAAAAATAAAATACAATAATTTAATAATTTAAATATACAAATTTAATTTAAATCTTATTGGAATTATTCCTTTTTTAAATAATATAATATGTATGTATTATTTTTTAATATTTTTTAAATGTAATTGTATATTATATAGTTTTTAATTTGAAATTTAAATTAACACAAATAATTAATCATTTAATCATTATTCTACACTTTTTTTTAAATAATATTTTACTGTCCTAGATTACTCTACGGCAGATGGATATATTGAAAAGAAAATTAATGCCTTGGGGTTGGGCCTCATGACTCCTGTAAATGTAGAATAGAAATATAATATTAATAACATTAACTTGGTTATTCATCTTTTGTTCTAATTCAAGTAGTGCTGCGTGAATCCATCCTATTTAAAATATTTCAATAAATATTTTTGCATATAATTTATTAAAACGTAGAAAGTTTTCAAAATTGTGAGCAGAGATTTTCCCTTTTTCCCAAGCTTAGTTTTCAAGAGGTTTTATGCCAACATCAAAATTCGAATTAGAGCGTTAACTCAGCACAATCAGCCACCATTGAAAAAACTTTGGAAAACACCCTACGCTTTTCGCATGCCCGGCCGCCTGACTGGAACAAAAAGTTGGTGAACACGGCCGTGGAAATTTGCTTGCAGGTCCGCCAGCGGTGGTGGAGGTGGACATGGTGGTGCGCAGCATGGGGCCCATCTCAGAGGTCGACATGGTGAGTGCCACCCCCTGACATGTCACCAGCATGCCGCCCATTTCCTTTCACCCGTCGATCCTCCGCCTGCCTAATCTGACGCACAAAAACAACCCGTTTTATTCCATTTGTGAATGAGAGGCAGGTGGCTTTGCTGCTTTTCAGCCACGTAATTCGCATAAAATAAATTCGTCCCTCACCTTCGCGAGAATTTCAACTTCTTGCAAAAGTTTGCACAGCTCGAGCGTTTTCTAATCGTTGCAATTGTGTGACTTGGCAGCAACAAAAGTTGCAGAAACTTCTTTGCCCGCCCAAGGCAAGTCTCAGACTCTTTGAATCCACTCTGCGCGGCGCTCAGATAATTATCTCATTTGCAAATAATTACACCGTGACGCTTCTTTAGAGAGCACCTGATTGCGAGTGAATTCAATGCCTTGCCGATGAATGAGTTGAATATCACTAAGTTGTTACAAAGTCCTAGCAAGTCTGTTTAACAAAGTCGTTGAGATTTCCTTTCAGTCATGCTAATTGTACAAACAGGGATTATTTAGTGTATTTTTGTACTGTAATTAATTCTTCTTATTTTGAATGGAGAAAAACGGACGAAAAACTAATTATAAAGGACAGTCTTAATTCAAAGGAGGGCTTTAAAGTTTGCGTATGTTTTAATTAGGGACCTGTTGCTCGTTGGTAGAAAGTAAATGTCTATACTTAATTAAAGCAAACTTACAATTTGTCACACAAAAAGAAGTCAAATTTAAAAGAGAAAATTTATTTTTATAGATCAAAATAAATGGGATCATTAAACGAAAACTTATATAACATATAAATGTTGTACTAATATTGGATGCCTTCTGCAGGTTCAATTCAAAAAAATATATATACGATTATTTACCTAAAAAAAAACTGCAAGTTCCCTTTTGAAACTATGTAACAAATCACTTATAAGCACAGACAGTGCAAAATCAATCCGTGTCATCTGCGCTCAAAGCGAATCCCACGTGAACCGAATACCTTTCATTAGTGACAGAGATTAAATTCATAAAGTAGCATTCATTATTCTATTCTATTCTATTAAAAGATAATTATTGGAAGTCTGTAAAGCGTACAGTAAGGTTACTTTTTCCTTTTATTAATTAACGGAGTCAACGTTGTCTTTTTTGCCATTATTTCGCAGACTTATTCTATGGACTGCTACTTCAGACAGACGTGGGTGGACCGGAGGTTGGCTTTCAAGGGCAGCAAAGAGACCCTGGCACTCAGCATTTCGATGCTGATGCGCATCTGGAAACCGGACACCTATTTCTACAACGGCAAACAGTCTTACCTCCACACCATTACCACCCCCAACAAATTCGTGCGGCTATACCAAGACGGCAGGGTGCTATACTCGTCTAGGTGAGAGAGTTGTTTAAAACCTTTAAATCCATTTCAGTCAAGTGCATTACAAGCTCGAGTGTTCAAATCAAAATGCAAAATTACACTTCGTCGACTTTGTATGCTAATGGGACGAGAATGCAGCAGGAAAGAAGATTTGCATTCTAATTTGCTCTGGAGTTCAATATCTGTGGATTAACCGGCGCGAAATTGAAAAGGAGCAGACGAGGCCGACGGTTTGCACGCTGCCGAGTATGAAATTAAGCTTGGAGAGTCCGAGAGGGAGGAATTCATCAGATCTTAACAGACCCATTCGAGCAAACAGCACACCAACTTCCTCTTTTATGCTGTCGAGTTTTCCCATCCAGCAAATACACACACTTGATTTATGTTTGGCCAGAGCTTTATTGCACGCGTCAATTGCGACGATTACACACACCGAGCTGCAGTCTGAGCAGCTATAGATGTTTTTGCTTTTGATTCGGTTGTGTGCGTTGCGGATCGAGGAGACTCTCGACACGGCAAGATGCTGCCTAAGCAGACTGAAAAGTGAAAATCGATTCGGCTAATTGAGTGACCTGATTTTGCGGCCGCCATCCAGCAACAATCCGCCCTGTGCAGTCGCTCTTTTCTCATCGCCGTGTCAAAGTGGCCTATTCGAATCAAGTCTCATATTTTCTTGTATGTAGGTTTTTAAGACGTTTTTACCTCAAAGGAGCGATTTTCCGAGAGGCGAGTGTTTACCTTTGAAAATCACTTTGCGGAGCAAATAGAGTAAAAAACGGTTGATTACTCCCTACTTGTCAAGGAAAGGAGTGCCTTGTTTATTTGCACAGCTCGAGGCTGCTTGTGCTCTCTTAATTGTGATGACTGATGAGGCACTCCTAACTGATGAAGCCAGTACAACTCTTGATTAAAGGAATTGAGACCTAAGAGATCAAATTGACATTTGTAATGCCAAATTCAATTGTATTTAATTAAATTTGATAGTCTGCACATAGTAAAAATAAAACATTTGTTTGGGTAAAATCCAAAACTGCTATTATGTATTTATTAATTTAAAAACATTTTTATGTCAATGATTTTTTTGAGAAAATTGTTAAAAATTCCTTGTATTCTCTAAATAATAATTGATTTGTTGGCAAAAATATTTTGTTAAATTTGTTAAACGAAATTATTATTTGCTTTTTTCTTTCAACTGAATTAAAAGATTCGTTTTAACTTAAATTTTTTAATATATTAACGTTTGGCAAAAAATGCAGAACATTAAATTTACAAATGTTTTAAACGTTGACAAGTGACTTTAAGTTTCTAAATAATTTTAAATTTAAAATTTGTGGCCGTATTTTTTACTTTATTTATAATTTATTTAAAAATTATTAACCATCCAACCATCGCCGACTTTTCATCGCTTGACTTAGAAAGCCTCTGGCAGCAGGAAATCTCTAGTGAAATTTATTTAAGTAAAAATGACATTCTTTTAGCAGGTGCATATATTTCTGCACTTGGATAGCGCTGATTCCCTCTTGTCACTTAGCAAGATGAAGTTGTTGCAATTTTCCTTGTTCCCTCTCCATTCATCGCAACCCGTTTAAACTTCACGAGAAAACGAATGAACTACTTATTTCCTTGTCACGTGCAGTCTTTTGAATAAAATTTTCCATCCAAGGCACACTGGCGAATTAAGCAAGCTCTCGATTGAAATGCGAAAAGCAGGCAGATTGATATAAAATTAGATTGGAGCTGTAGGGCCGCAGTTGGCGCTCGGAAGAATCCGCCAGCTCCAGTGGAACGGCGTGTTTATCTGTCGAAATGCGATCAGCGCCCGCGATCCCGCCAGCAACGGAAATGGCACTCAGAATGCAGACACGCTTTCTTCTGTCGCCGCCCCGTCGACGTCGTGTGCCTCTGCTTATTCTTATTCTTCTTGGGCGGCCGTGCATTGATTCCGCGCCATTGTGACGTCACAATGACTCTTTGTCGTCATTTCAAGGGTGCAGGCTCAAAAAGAGCGCCTCTTAAATAATGCACGGACCGCTCGAGATGACACCTAATTGGCCCATCCAACCCAAAGCGCCATCGCCAGGTGACGTCCGTCTTTTGTTGCTCCGTTCGGGATTGAATTTCACGCTTTGTGCAAAAAATTCTTTGAAGTTTTTTTCTTTTAATTGACTCTAATTTGTGGCTTTGTTCTCCAATTACAGATTGACCATCAAAGCGGGGTGTCCAATGAACCTGGAGGACTTCCCGATGGACACGCAGCGATGTCCCCTCAAGTTCGGCAGCTGTGAGTGTGTTTGCTTGCTTGTCAGTCAAATCGTGTTTGCCACGCGACCGACCGCGCAAATAGAGTGCGCGCCCATATCGGGCCTATTGTATCGTCGCTCATTGTTATGGGAATTTCGCCGACATGCATATGCAAATAACCAAACGTGCGCCTAGCTAGAAACAAATCAAATTTAGGGCAATTGGATTGTGTAACTCTCATGTACGCCTCTAATATCCAATTTGAACGGCTTTACCATTAATTTATTACCTGATTTACCTGACCTAGTAAAGAAATTTTGATTTCAGTTTAAATTTAACTTCAGAAAATAATTTTGATGCACTTTTTATTTTTATTTTTGAAATTTATATATTTAAGAACTCCAAAGGCACAATCAAATCAAGTCTTTGCAAAAATTAAGCATTATTTTTTTACAAAATAACTTTGGAAAAAAATTGGAAATTTAAACCAAAATTTTTATAAAGATTTTTTTCCCCCGTGTGAATAAGGATTCCTGAAATATTTACATTTGAAAAAAGTTCTAAATCTGCAACTGAAGATAAAAATTCTACTATATGGAAAAAATGTAGAGGTTCTTGAACCTCTCGATCATGGAATATGAAAATAAAATTTTTCCCGGCACACATGAATAATTTATGCATGCTGACGAAATAGGCGCGTTCTCCCTTTTGGTCCGCAAACGCAGCCCCAGCCAGCGCTGACACGTGATGAGAGCGAGAGGTGCTCGATGGAGCTGAAAACAGATCGCAATGTCAGGCGAAAAACTCATAAATCATAAATCAGCAGGAATGCGTGTGCGGGCTGCCTCGGCTGTTCGCTTCTTGTAAAACTACCGCGAGATCCAATTCAATCGAGTCCAATTCATTGAGTCGCGCAAAACAAGAATCAATTTGCGTTTTTTGTCGTACGACTCTCTGCAAATAAAATATGCATGGCTCAGTGGCACCGCGGATTTATTTTTATTTCCAACCGTTCCACATATTAAATCTCTCATTATTAAAAACTTGGGCACGTGGATTTCTCTCTTTTTTTAGTCGGCTACACGACGCAGGACGTGTTGTACAGATGGAATCCTGCCCGCCAAGTGGCAATAGCCGACGATATGAAGCTCTCACAGTTCGACCTGATTGCAAACCCCGCGGGGAACCAGACTGACGTGCTCAAAGCTGGTGAGAATTTCATAATAATAAACAATGAAAAAAAAAGGAAAAACATAGCAATTTTCATATCAAGCATAACTCACTAAAACCAGGGTATTAAAGCGCATCATTTTTTTTTTAAATACATGATAAAAAAAATGTACATGATTTTAATATTCATTGTTTCCTGGGGGGAGGTGGATTTTTGTAGATATCAATATACATGCAACTAATCAAAATTCATAATTTGAAAATAAAGAAAAATAATTTGTTCTTAATATAACACAGGCGAAATTTTGAATTTCTTGTTGAGTTTTTTCCCTTTGCCCTAAGCAACGGATTTTTCTCTAAATTTTAATTTTAGTCCTGAAGTGTTCTAAAGACTACAGTTAATATTCTTGTCTATTAGAACAAAAATAAAATAAAATTGAATTGAATTGCATGTTAAAAATTTGTGCATTAACCAAAGCAATTCAAGGGGAGTACTCGATGCTGCTGGTGAGTTTCCACCTGCAGAGACACATGGGCAACTTCCTCATCCAGGTGTACGGCCCCTGCATTTTGCTCGTGGTGCTCAGCTGGGTCTCCTTCTGGCTCAACCGGGAGGCCACTGCCGACAGAGTGTCCTTAGGTGAGTGCTGGCGTCGAGCAGGTTGCATACTTTCGCTCTTGCAGGCGTTCAGCGTTGACAAATTGACTTGCGCTCGCAGGAATCACCACCGTTCTGACGATGACCTTCCTCGGTCTGGAGGCGCGAACCGATTTGCCCAAGGTGGCCTACCCGACGGCCCTGGACTTTTTCGTCTTCCTCTCCTTTGCGTTCATTTTTGCCACAATTATACAGGTTTGGAGAAAAATGAATTATAATTAAGTTTCAACTGACGAAATTTTTAGTTCGCAGTGGTGCATTACTTCACCAAGTACGGCTCTGGTGAGGTTTACTTCAGCTCAGAATTCAACTCAGATTCGGACTCCTCGGACAGTGATGCTTGGGACACAGACAATGCTCATTCATCACAAGTAAGACAAGTTTTATTTTAGGATCATTGGCAATTTTATTAGACTTATTAAATCAGATAAATTTGGTAAAATTTAAGCCTCCATATATTTCAATCAGATATAAAATAAAAGACAAGTATAGAATAGAAAGTTTTCAACCACTAGTTGGTAGTTTTTTTTTTTTTTTTTTTTTTTTTTTAAGTTTTATTCGATTTGAATGGAAACAAAATTTAAATTCCGTGTCACAATTTATTTATTTATTTTTATTTTTTGCTGAAAATAATCTCAAAGATTTATTATTTTTTTTTTGTAAAATTAAAATAATAATTTTTAATGTCAATTACGGCTGTTATAGAGACTGCAAAATCTATTCATTATCACTCAAAGGACTGATATGCATCCAATAAATATAAAATTATTGTAAATACAAGATAATAATTAAATTAAAAGATAACAACAAAATTAGCATAAAATAATTTTATTAAATAACAAAATATCATAAATTAAAAGAATTAAATTTAATCAAACTAGTTTTAAATTTTACACATCAGTTTCATTTGAAATTATATAATTGAACTAACAATTAAAATTTTTATATTTAGGATGATGCTTTGAGCGACTACCCAAACAGAGACACGTGCGTCGAGGTAATTCCGCTCTCCGCGCCAAGCTGCCTGCAGCGCGAACCGCCGCCACCTTGGCTGTGCTTTTCGCGGCCGCAGCGACGACCGGCCGCCTTTCCGGTCGCGCTGCGGGACCAGCGGAGGCGCGAGCCGCCGTCCGCCCCTGCTCCAAACCTCACCCGGAGGCGGCGATCATCCACCTCGTGTCCCAACAGACCGCCCCCGCAACGGCGTCGGCGGAAGAAACGCACCCCGCGCTACAACTCAGTGTCCAAAATCGACCGCGCCTCTCGCCTCGTGTTCCCGCTCTGCTTCCTCTGCATCAACGTGTTTTACTGGTACTCGTACCTGGCCAGGAGCGAGCGCATTAAGAACTGAGAGAAACGCGTCAGTTTTAATTTTTACATTGAAAATATCAGTTGTTTCAAATTTCAAATTTTTGAACTCGAAGAATTGATAACGAATTGTGAAAATTATAAAAAAAATTGGAGTTGAATTTTAAAAGAAATATTTATTTCTATAGAAGATGTTCTATTTGGTGTAAAAGGGATTGAAGGCTTTTGGGAAAATTAAGATTCTATATCAGTTGAGATCCTGACTGCTCTTTTTGCAATGAATTGAAAAGAAGTTTTATAATTTTGAACATAACACTAAATCAAAAATTTAAAGTTTTTCAAATGGAAGTCATATGATTACATTATTTGGTTAGATTGAGAGGTTGAAAAAAAACGAAAAATTTTGTACTAAAAGAAAATATATTTGAATCTTCAAGAATCTTAAATATATAAATATGAATTAATTTTTCCAAGGTTTCAAACCCTTTACAAAAAATTCAATACTATTGCTATCAGCGTCTTGCAATTTTATTTTTCAGTGTGTGATTGTCGATGCTAAATAAGATGAATTAATTGCTATGCAATAAATTTTATGTGAATTGTTGAGTGAATGGCATGCAACAAAATATGTCTGTATAAAAAACTCGTTTATGTTAATTGTAAAAGACAAAAGGGTGGATCCCTTGTTGATTTGAAGATTTGATTCCGAACACTCTAGCCTAATAGAAAGTCTCATTCATTGTACCAGAAAATCTGGAACCGGCAAAGGCAATATCAAAAAGTTCCGAATGATCCTGTCTAAAGCACACAAAAAGAGGAGGAATAAAAATATACCTCTTGAACAAGCGCGAATTGCAAAAGTCAATATTGGCCGCGAGTTGTTACTATCTGCCGGCGAGGAGGGTATAATTTTTTGGCAGGTCCTCCCTTGAATGGGCGAGGGAAAAAGTACATACTCTTGGTGTATGAGAGGAGAGAGCAAAAAGCCGACCGATTGGAGCTCGTTGGCCGTGAAAACACCTGGCGGAAGTAATGCTTCTTATTTTTTCTTTTCGCGAGAGAGCTCGGTTTTTATTTTCTCGAAGCAATGCACAGTTGGGAAAACACTGCAGCCAAAGAAGAAAATGGTCTCGTTTTTCAGGCCGCAGGCTCGTATATAAAGTCTCTCGCTATTCACCTCTAGAAACGAGATATGGAAATTTATGCATGCACTTGCTCTGCCCCCGAGTGCAAGCGGGATTTTTAATATTAATGCTCTTGTGTGACTTGGTCCCTTTTGTTCTCGCACGTTGCAAACCCTTTTTGCAGAGGCAATTTGCTTTTAACTCCACTGTGGGAAAATCTACGTTTTTGTCGAGGTATATTCTTCTTTTCCAGAATTTCAAAGAATAGAATAAATTTTAAGTACGAGGAAGATTCTTTTTATTGATCTTTCCGAAATCCAAAATCAAACAGAACGTTGATTACAGACGGTCTTGGTGCTTTTTTCCTACTGAGGAAAGTATGCGGGTAGGTTTATTTCCTTGGTGGTGGGTGCACTCCGATCGAGCCCCTCGAGTGAACCCCATCAGCCAAACCAAACAGTCTTGATTAAAAAATAAATAAGTATACACACGAGAGCAAAAAAAGTGAAGTGCGCGGGAGCGTTTTTGCTGTCAGCGGGCTTAATTTCCTCCTGTTTTCCATTGCTGATAACTCTGGATTCCAATCTCGCGTTCATCGTACACGTGTCTCATCAACACTTAATTGTAACAATGAGATAGTTGGGTGAATAAAAATGAACAATAATTCAACACCAACACTTGCATTTCTTTATTCATTTCAATTAATAAATGAACAATTAATATTTACCAAAATCTGTACATTTATAATTTGCTAATTTTGTACAATAAAGTTAGTTATCTTGTTTGAAAATTTAATATAAAAAATTGTATTCAACATCAAAGCGTACTTAATATTACGCTATTTTTTTTAAATATTTAAGCTCGATTTCAATCAAACTCAATTTATCAAAGGTGCAGTTATTACAAATTAATTTTGATTGGCTACAATAATGGATGGAGGTGGCTCTCGCCACTTGAACTCGTCAGCCAGGGCAACGTAACCGAGCCAGTACAAGAAGTTGAGGAAGAAAAACGACGCTGGAAACATTACACGCGCAAATTGGTCAATCTTTGAAACGCTGTTCATGATTCCTGGCCCCTGCTGCCCAGCCGCCCTTTGACGCATCCGACGAAATTTGTCATTTCCTGTGAAGAAATTATATTTTTTTTCTCATTTCTTGGCAAAACTACTTGCCTGTCAGACAAAACAGAACTTGTCTCCAACCCGGAATGCGACGCTCGGTCTGTGTCTGGCGCTCCATGGTGCTTCTTTTCGGCGTATCATTTTGCGGTGGACCATCCTAAATCAAACTTAGCGAATAAAATTAAAATTCGGCTTAGCCAAGTTACCTTGTAAATAGGACAAATGAGTGATCCGCGTCGCCTCTGCTCCAACATGCCAACGGACCCCATCACAATCACCGCGTCATCGATCCTCGGGCCTTCAATGTCGTCCCATTCTTCCTCGTCCACAGGAATTTCACCGTATCCCACCTTTACATAATTATGTAAAAGTAGAGCATTTACAACGTTTATTTAATACTTTTGTGAAATAATGGACGCCGGCGAATTCAAGTAAAGTCGCGATGCAGTAGAAAAAGCTCATTAGCAGGAACCAGTCAAGGGCCGTGGCGTATTTCACTTTGGGCAAGTCTTTCCGACTGTCTAGGCTGATTGTGGATAAGGTCAGCACGGTGGTGATTCCTTATAGTTTTATCAAAAATGATTGCGAATTAAAATTAAAATACTTGCAAGTTGATTTGAAATTATACAAAATGCTGTAAAAAAAAAACTTATTCTTATTTCATAAAACATAAAAATATTTTGATCGACAAAAAAATCAATTTATTGATGACCAGCGAGCTATAAGTTTTTTTGGGGAGAAAATGAAATTGTTTTGGAATTAAATTTAAAGTTATACCAAAATAAAATTATGCATCTTGAAAAACCAGTTTTAATTATTTATTATTTTATCCTTCAACCCAAACCATAGACTGCAGAAAGCCAGATAAAACTATTGTTTTTTTGCTTAAATTTTCCAGCTTTTATCAGAATGTAGTAAAATTATAATTTGTATGGTTTTTCCACAAGTTAAGGACACTACAAAAGAATTTTTATCTTTACCTAGACCAACTCTGTCACTTGTTGCCTCACGGTGGATCCAAAACGAGACCCAACTGAGCACCACGATCAAAATGCATGGCACGTACACTTGAATCAGGAAGTACCCAGTGTGCCTCTGGAGATTAAAGTTAACCTGCAGCACACTAAATACACCTAAAGCAAACGGTGTAAATTTTAGATGACTAAATTTTTGACAAGGTTCAGTGACCTTCCCTGCGTCGATAAGTGGAATTCCTTTGAGGACTGCCCATCAGGTCGAATTGCGAAAGGGACAGTCCGGGCTCAAAACTCACACTCGCGCCGGATTTCCACTGGTACTGCAGTTGCTTTGTAGTGTAAGCGTCTTTGGGAAATTATTTTATTAATTAAAAATTTGAGCTCATTTCATTAGAATAGCATCAAATAATTAACTTTAAAACCTTAAAACAATTGTCCATCAGGGAAAAGCCCATTTTACTTCACTTCATTTTTTTTTTATGTAATATTTTCAACAAAAAACAACCCATTTTCCCCTTTGCGGTGGGTTAAAACATTGTGCGGTTCTTGGAATAAATCTCATATGAGTCGCAAAAATTTCCAGTTCAACGCTGCACGTGACATTTCCCATGCAATTAACAAGAACAAGAGTTGCTGAAGTGCTAAGTAAGTGTGACGCAATTTCAAGTTAGCAGCGCGTACAGAATAAATTGTAAATTCAAATTAAACGCCTCAGCGATTTGATTTCGTAGCTCATGAAACGCGAGAAATTAATTAGTGCCCTTTTGCAACTTTTGTACGTGACTTTAAATAGTTTCTCCAGACCCTCTCAACCACCCATTGTATATATTATTTTATATTTTGAGCCTCATCGATCTCGATATGTTGCTTGGCTTTCCGTCGAAACAATATTGCTAGGCGAAAATGATGTTTGCCGAGGCGCACACAATTTTTTTATATGTGACCCTGCCTCGCTTGAGCACTTCCGGGCGCTTCAAAGAGAAAGAGAAAATCGAGCCGAGACACATTTCTACTTTTCTTTGACGCTGCAAACAGCATTGCACCCTTTTGAAATGGAAATCATTTTTCTGCTTGTGAGCCGAGTAATAATTTCTCTCGAGGCCGCCGGAATTTATTCGCGGTCGCTGCTCGGTGCAAAATTGCAACTTGAGAAAGCCCCACTGCAGATATCCATCATCGTCTGAAATTTCATCAAAGCACCGTGCAGTGCCAAGGAAAAGAAAATTGAACAATTCATCTGCATTTAGAAGCTGCAAGTTGGATGAAAAATGTAAAATTTACTCACAGCTTCCCAAGATCAGCGGGCATGACTGACGGTCCATGGGGAAATTTCGAAGCTCCATGGGGCACTTAGCCTTAACTGTGAGCCTATTTTTCCACAAACAACAATTCAAGGGTTTCTTTAAATATTTTTAGTGAAAAGTTATTAGTACAATAAAATAAAATTAAAATTTCTAATGAATCAAAATAAACACAGAAAAATTAGTTGCCAATATTTTTTCATCATTCAATATTCACAGCACCAGCGCGGCGAGTAGGTTTAATTTGGAAGCACTAATGCTTTAAAATTTGGCCTATCAGTTTTAGTTAGTTGTTTACTAGAGCTGGCTGCCAATTCTCTCCCAATGTGACTTTTCCATTTCTTTGTTTGACTTGTTGCAAGAGGATAATTTAATTTAATTGAATATTATTTTTCTATGAATTATTCTGCCAATTCACTTCTAAATTATCTTAATGATTTAACCATGTAGCATTCCATTTAGCTATGATGAAAAGTGCTGTTCAACATTTAAAAATGATTGTAATACCAAATAATAGAAGAAAATTTATTATTTTGTTTTAAATAAAAAAAAATTAAAACAATATAAGATATCAGAAAAAAACCAAAATTTTAAATTAAATTATAAACAAAAAATTTTTAAATTTAAAAAATTTTTAAATATATTTTATAATTAATATATAATATTTGTAAAAACTTTTAAAATATATAAAAATACAAATTTAAGCTTCATAAATAACTTTTTTATTTAAACATTTTTATAAATTACCTCATTGAATAAAGAATGTCACCATTCTGAGAGAGCCGCAGCAGTTTGTTGGGAACAGTGATGGTGTGCACATACGAATTCTTTCCATTGTAGAAATAAGTGTCTGGCCGCCAGATGCGTTCCAGCATCTTGATATTGAGGCTCAGACTCTGGATGGGACCCTGGAAACTGAGACGCGGGTCTCGCCAATACTGCCGGAAGTAGCAGTCCATCGAGTACTCCTATCAAAATATTTTCACGTCAAAACAAGGGAAAATTGTCACGTGAGAGGATTTTCGTGTCCACCTGCCACACGGCTGACTATGCAACCCGCGCGACGGCTGCAAGTCACCGCCGCTAAATGGTCAAGCGAAAAAAAGAAGTAGATAAAACTGATAAAAGATTCACGAGATCAAACAGGTTTTCAACGTGAATTTTGAGGGAGCCAAGTTTAAAAAAATGCATTTTTTTACTGAAAAGTTTTAGGTATAATGAAAACTATCTAGATTAAAAAATAAATACCATATCAAGCTCAGAAACAGGGCCCATGCTGCGGATCAAAATGTTGGTTTTCACAATCGTTGGCTCGCCTGGAAAATAAAAAAAATAATTCTTTAGTTTTACTAAAAGCCAGAATTGCTACCTTTAAAATGTGCAAAGAATGAGTGATTAATCGTACACTGTCTTGTTAATATATTTTATTTTTAATAACATAAATATATTGTTAATAATCTATTCCTTTGGCTTCCCTAAAAACTTTTATTTTATCTAAAATTTCATTTATATGAGAAAAAAGTGTTCTACTTACATTTTTCTTAAACAAAATAAAAGTGTGCAAGCTCAAATTCTTTTAAAACAATCTATATATCAGAGTGAAACAGTAGAAATTAACAAAATCTGCAAGCATCAAAGTTTAAATTAAGAGTAAAAATACTATACAAAATTTTAATGATGACAAGATTTATATTCCTCAGGCAGTTTAATTTTTTTTTTAAACATTTATGGTTAATTTTTAATAATTTATTTTCCCCTTTTAAACCCAAGATTATTTGATATTTATGTTAATTATAAATTTTAAAATTGTACCTTTCCGGTGCGTTGGAAGTTGACTGCTTTCATAGTTCTTGAGCAGATTCTCCAACACCAATGAGATGTTTTTGCTGAGGGCGGCTGGAGAGGCTGATGCGATGGACCGTCGCTGGACCACGTGGCTCGAATTACCCGTGGAGTGCAGGACAGCGGCTCGGGCGATGTGGCCCTCGGGAAGGGGTCGGGCGTGCGGGTTGCAGCAGCAGCACCTATCAAATTCCTAATTAGCTTGTTGTATTTTTCTGTGCCAATCTGGCTGGTAAATCAGCGTTGCTCTATTGCGGCGAGCATTGATTTTTGACGAGAGGTGTTCATTTTCCACAGTGGCTTCCGTTTTTGCTTTCATTTGCGCTACATAGATGTATAATTTTCCGTTCCGTTGCTTCTCGAGCCATTGTCGGCCGCGTATTATTGGCTCACCTCGCGCCGCTCAAGAGAGTATTATTACGTGCGGCATCCCAAACAAGAAATCGATGCATCAGTAATTGAGGGCCCTCGAGCGTCCGCCGTCAGCACTTTTCAACCAGCCAGTCCCGCCCGCCCCAACCACCGACCGACCCAGTGTGTTTTTCCAATTTTCTGCATATTTTAGCGATTCGTCACGCGCCGCCGATTACCCACTCGCGCCGCGCCTCCGGATTAACTCGTCCTGCACGGAATTAACCCTCGCGCAGATTGTTTTATTGTTGGCGACGAAGCTGATTAAATTGTTTCGATGGCCACAGGGCTCTGCAGATTTAAACTTCTACATTGCATATCGACCGACCTCAACTCTCGATTCATTGCTCTTTCCTCTGGTGGTCCAATATCAACTTTTTTATTATAATTTTTTTTAAATCCAGAGTCACTGTAATATTCGCAGCCAAGTGCTTACATTATTATTATTTAATTATTATATTTTTTTTAAATATAATTTGAAGATTTAAGTATATGGAGTGCATTATTTTTAGAACTAAATATTGCTCAACAGATTAAAAGACTTGCACGGTTTTTCACCAAATTAGCCTATAAATTTCAGCAAATATTAGTAATTTTATATTAATAATTAAATTTCCATAATAATATAAAATTCTTTAATGCTATTTGCTTGTTTTTCAGCACAGTTTCAATTAAGTTTTGTACCCTTTTCTTATAAATAAACCGTGAAACTGCATTTAAATAGTTGCAGAGAAATTTTGTTCATTATATTAATTATCAGGTATGTAACAATACAAACAGCAGATTAGTCTAAAAATGTACATAAAATACAGACGCATTCACAGCTATTAGTATTGAGCAAATTTTTTTTTCATGCACTTAGAATATTACTCAGTAATATTAATATTAACATCATGCAATGCATCAATTTATAAAAATTTGCGTGTGTGGTCGCCTTTCCTTCAAAAAGAGTCAGGTGTGATACTGTTTCATTACTATTATGCGCTGTTATAATTATGATATGGCCCCATAAGGGCGTTTTCCCCATAAAGAACCATGGTGCTTAAAATTAAAAAGTGGAGTTAATTTGCTATGTTAGTACTGTAAATTATAAATAATCCTAATTTAATCGTACAATGTAATTGTGCACCTCGCGATACCCGTTTATTTAATTGGTTTTGTAGTACCCCAACGTCACATTAATTCAGATCGATTAATTACTGTTTGTAGCGTTTAATTATTAGTTTATTTCCTATAGGCTTGATAATGAAAAATTTATTGTACAAATAATCATCAAAGTATCATGGCCACTAGTAAGCCAAGCAATAAAAATAAAAATATTATAATAAATTTATACATTAGTTTTAATTTGTTATAAAATACCATTATATGAATGAACAAAATAAATAGTTATGATAACTAAAATAATAAAATGATAATGTTATTAACTTTGCTATATTAATAAGTTCTAGATCAAGAGAAAATTAATAAGATATTTAAAAAACAGTAAAATATTAAATATGCATGCACTTAATAATCAGCATAGTAGAGGTAAAAACCAAAGTAAATAACATTGCAGTCGGCTACTCACGTGACTGACAGGGAGATGAAGAAGGACACGAGGCGTGGGTTCGGCATGACTGAGTCCCGTCGACCAGACGTCAGTGGTCCGGAGGCCTAAGAGGTCCTTCAGGACGCAGGCGCCTCCGTGGCTTATCTCGTACAGCCGCACTCGTGATCACAAGTCTCTTTCCAGCCAAATTTATTGCCGCATGCTCATTGTTCACAATGTGTCATATCAATGTCACTCACTTCTCGCGGTGATTTAAAGTCGTCAAATCTGTCCAAATAAAACACAAATTCTAATTTCAAAACTAAAAATTTCACTTAAAATTAGTTTTTTTTTCCAAAAAGTTTAGTACTAGATTGAAACTAATAAACGAAATGATAATCTTCCGCAAATAAAATTTAATAAACAAAATTGTGCCATATTCTTCAAAAATGATTTGAAGTTTTAGGAGATTGGTAAGAATTTAATGATTTCACTGCACATTTTTTTCTTTTCTTGTGAATATTTTTTTAATCAATGCAATGTACGTGTGCACGCGATGAATTTTTGTTTCCCGCTTCTTGGCACTTAATTTATTCGCGGTGTTGAAGCAGCAGAAGTTGGCGTGCTCCTGAGAGCGCACTCTATGTATCTCTGCGCTGCTCTCATTCATGCACGAATTATTTATTCGAAGCCTGTGGCTGCGCCAAGAAATGGGACCTCAGCGTTTCTCCTGAACATGGATAAGCGGTTGATAATATGTGCCTTGTAATCCGCAGAGTGCATGTGGAGGCAAGGGAGGCCAATTGTTTGCTTTTCAGCGGTTGGTGCAAATTAGCAAGAGAATCTGATGATGCATTAACTAATTAGTTACGTTTAGATTGTAAAGGTTGGAAAAAAAACAAAAATGTGATTCTTGATTTTGTCAACCTCCACCTCGTCAGGAGGTTTTTGTTATTTTCTCTTTGGTGTGCTGCGGGAAATGTAAATAAAAAAAAGACCAACTCGCGCGCTCTATACCAAAGAAAGAAAGAGTCGAGAGAGAAATGCAGAGCAAAAAAGAAAGCAAATTTTCTGCAGCTCCCTCATTCTTATTGTTTGTCGAAAGCAAACTTCTTGCGTCGGCGGCATCGGATGCGCGCGCGAGTGAGCGACACATTCATTTATTTCAAGACTCGCCTTTCATTTGTAGAGGATTTAAAGGGGTGCACCTGTTTTTGTGTCAGATGAGCCGCACATAACGGGTTAAAAGCTTTTTAATCAGAACGACTCGCTTCCATTGGTTTTATCTAATGGTAATTGCAAAGAGCTCTTGAAATATTATACCACATGCCTCGTAATTGAATTTAGGCAAAGAAAATTTTATATATTATACCTGCATAGCCTGTAAAATATAAGAATGAAATCAAATTAAAATTTGCTTAAAATTAATAAAACATATTTACAAAATTTCCTTTCACATAATTCATAAAATTTATACTTGCAACAAATAATGTAACAAAAAAATTTTGCTGCTTTATATTTTTACTGTTCTAAACTGCATTCAACAAACATTAGAGGCATTTTTTTGTCATTACCACTCATATATGGTCTAAAAAATCAGCTTCACAAGATCAGCGTCCATCTAACCACAAAAAACACATCATCTTTTTTGAAGACCAAGATGTTTCATACCCAATAATAAATTACTTCGAGATCAAGGGATCAATTTTTAATAACCGCTAAATTAGTCTCTTTCTGAATAAGCGAGGAGCAGAAGCCGGGGTGTTTCTCATTTTTCTCCGCTCGCCCAGCAGAGACCTCAATTATTCAAAGTCAAAGAGAGAAGGCGCAGCGCGGCCTTAATCGGCCAGTGGCAGTGCACATATTAAATATGGGCTTTTCACTTCTGTTTGCCCAAGCGCTTCATAAAAATGGCTCGCACACCCTCTCACATCCTTTCTCTTCATTATATTCTTTTTCAGACGAACGTCCGACGAATTTTTGCTCGTGCCCGCTTTCCATTTCCTGTGCAATTTGCAGCTCGTGTGAATTGCGCCAAAGTGCTCCTTTTCTCTATTTGCATTTTATCACGCCAAAATGAAAATAATAAAATGAAGCTTCCACAAACGTCATATTATTGCAACTTTTTTTTCAAATTTCTTTATTTGCTCAGGGTCTGATCGTGATGCCGGCATTGGTCTCGATCCAGGTTAGGTACTCAGTGATCCTGGTGAGTCCATCAGGGTAGCCGGCCTCGCAGCCATCGGAGGCGCCGAAGGAGACAACGCCGATTTGCGTGGCATCGCCGTCAGCTTCGAAAATAATCAATGGACCACCAGAGTCTCCCTAAAATGATTTTCATTTTTCGTTTGACTGAATTGATTGCATAAAGTTATTATAATTTTCATACGTTGCAAGTGCCGGACAATCCAGCGTTGGTGTCGACGCAGATTTTTGAGTCGTTTATGATATCGCCGTAAACGGCGGCGCACTCTGCGTTCTCAATAACTTTCACGTCGACGAACTTCAAATCCTCACTGATGTACGGTGAAGCTGAAGTGGATATTTGTATTTATTGATTTGATAAATAGGCGGAAATATATATTTTACATACAGTCAGAAGTGCGGCCCCAACCAGAGACTCTTGCATATTGACCGGCGAAGGTTACTCCAAGCATGGAATGCGAAGGAAGACGCACTGGTCCAATATCTAAAATCCAAAATGGCAATAAAAAAATTTTGCATATAAGCAATTTATATTGATAGTTGTTTTATTTTATATGAAAAATTTATAATGACAGATAAACAAATAAAAAATACTATAAACCGCTAAAAACCTTACATGTAGTGCTTGTAGTTTATGTATAAATATTTATAACAACTCATTTATTATAATCCTATTTTTTTAAACTAATAAATAAAAAATAAATCACACATAATATTTTATGTTTTATATAATTTAAATACTAGTATTTTTTTAACTACTAAACGTAAATAAAAATTATTTTGCTACTAAATAAATTTAATAAGGAATTTTATAATAATTAAAATATAAATTACTCTCTCCAGTAAGCTGATTAGGCAAGAAGACGAGGGCCAAGTCATTGATGATGGTTACCGAGTCATAGTACTCGTGAATTGTGGCGTTCCTTGAAGTCACCACCTGCCCGCCCTGGTTCCAGGTAGTGCCAGCGTGCACTTCGAACGTGCGAATACTAAAATAAGCAGTGTTAATTTGGCTGCTAGCCGTGAATTAGAATCACACACTCTTCAGCGCAATGAGCCGCCGTCAGAACAATGTTGTCAGAAATCAAAGAGCCGCCACAGAAATAGGCAGCATCGAGGTAAAGAGCAACTTGGTTGGGGAACTGACCGAGAAACGCGTAATCGCCACCAATGATTTTATTGCTGACTGAAATTTTAGCAAAAAAAGTTGTATTATAAATAAAGAATAAAACCAAAATGTTCACTTTTTGGTGCCGTGAGCGTTGGCCTGGTTTTATAAATCGGCTTCACTTTGGCCCATTCTATGGCCTGTTGGGTACGTAAAAGCGTGTCAATTAAGTCAAATTTAGAACGTCCCCCCGATACTCTGAAAAATTGTCATTTTCCGCCTACCTGAGTGCCAAAAACGGCGAGAGCAAAAATGGTCAGCAACAGCCTCATCACGACTAAATGACAGTTTTGCGCTTCTCGTTGCTTATGCATTATTTATTAACCTTCCCAAAGCGATTGATAAGAAAGGAGCGAACCCAAATCTAATCGATACTCAAATTTCAGATAAGCTTGTTTATTAAATATTGGCAATCTATTGTACAATTATTAAAGTAGCTCAAAGTTGATTTTTTTACAGATATTAGTGATAAAAATTTAAAAAAAGTTATTAGAAAATAAAAATGACAAAAACGAGATTTTTTTAATTCAGTTGTTCGTCAATCCAGAATCTAAAGGGAGCCAACTCAGTGTAAACGCCAGGTTTTTGCCCACATCCTTGACCCCAAGAGGCCAGTCCAAGCACCAGATTTTCCAAAACAAGTCCGGCTCCTCCATCCATCTAATTTTTATAAATAATTTTTTAGTTATATCCTTAATACAGTTAAAAAAAATTACCTGACAAGCATCCTTGCTTCCGTCCTCAACACCAGCGCATATTTGATTATCAGGTATGGTATCCACAATATTCTTGTGCGCCTTGCTGCACTCGTCAATATTCACAATTCGAATTTTAATTTTCATCAGCAATGGTGACGCGCTTCCATTGATCTACAATCATAATGTTTTCATTTTCAATACGAAATTTATTCAAACACACTCTAATTTTAATGATTATTGAACAAAACTTCTGAGCAAAAAAATGTATTTCCAAAATCTAAAATTCATTTCAACACTCGAAATTTAGGTAAAAAATAAAAAATCTAGAGAATAAGACCAAGCAAAATTTCATTCATTCATTCATTAAAAATAAAATAAATAAATTTATTCATTTAATTGAAAATAAAACCTTGGTTGCGCCCCATCCTGCAACAGTAACAATCTCGCCCTGGACCGTTTTCTGCCCCTTGGTTGGCAGAGTTGCAGCCTTAGTTTTTCCATCCTCGAATTTGATTTCAGACTGAATCCTCAAAGCGGCCAGATCGTTAACCGGAACCCTTCCCTTCAAAAGAAAGTCAGGGTGAACGACCACTTTCGACACGGTGTATTCGGACGCCTTGCTCAGGTCAGCCGAGCCAACCTTCACTCTGATATCGCTCGCGTTCAAGAACCTGAAATTTTTCAAACTTCAGCACAAACAAGCTAATTTTATTTTCACAGTTCGCAAAATCGAACTAATCACGGCGCAAGGTTTGTCCAGCTATAATTAATTAACTCACACGGCGCAAACTGCTGATGTGAGAACCGTCTTTTTGCCGACGATCACGCCACCGCAAAAGTGCTCTCCAGCAGCGTTTTGAATTGATGCCTATGAAAATTATAATTAAATCAACCTAGCTAATTAATGAAAGTTGTACCGAGTAAGCAGCTTCTCCATCCGCGGCAGGAGTTCCGCCAACAACGCGCTTGTTCCGGGCTAGAGCTATCAACAATTATGAACAGTAATTTTTAATTTTTCTGTTATGAATTAATTTTTATGATCAAGTTTTATTAAGAGGTTGTCATCTTATTTTTTTAAATATCAGAATTTACAATCTTGAATTAATATTCATATAATAATTGAGTTGAGTTTCTGTATCATATAAATTATTTAGATTAATAATTTTACTGGTTTCTACAAGATTTTTTTCTTAATAAACTCAAAAAAATAATTTACCTGTGGCTTCGGCCGCGAGTAAAAAGCAGCACAGTGACAAAACGTGGGAGAAACGCATGTTGTGGGTGCAGTGAGAAGCATAAAATGAATAAGAGTGAAGGTCAGACCGACCTTTTTATACTGGTGCGCAGGTTACAACCCAGCAACTGCCAGAATAAATGCGTATTTGCTTAACTTGTTAAAAAGGCTTTGTGTTTTTTTTTGCGCTAATTGCGAGCTCTGCGATGCGTGTCGTGAGCCGGAAATTTTGTATTTGGTGCTTAAGCGAGGTTAACAAAGTCCATCCACTGCCTAAGTAAATTGAACGCAAAGAGTCTTAAACATTCTCAAACTTGTCTCTTCTATTAAAAATAATTCCTTTATAACATTCAATTATTCACGCCGCATTAAATTAGTAAATTGGAAAAAATAGCAAAAAAAGTAAATTACGTATAATGTTCTGAGAATTTTCCAATAACAATTACTAAAAAATTTTGAAATAAAACAATTATTGTGTTTTTAAATGCATCGGCCCATTCAGGTACAATTGGCATTTAAAAAAATAAATAAATAAAATAATGGAACTTTTCCAAAATTGAAAATAATTCATGTGTATTGCTCAACGATTATTTTTATTGCTTTTTATTAAACATAAAATAATAAAATTTAAAGTTTATTCTTTCAATATAATTATTCTCTTTTTTAGTAAAAATTGGTTTTCTTTCGATCTCATCTTTCTTGGCATGTACTGCTTTAAAACTTATTTGGTAAACTATATGAAATAGATTCAAGCAAATTAAAGCGTTTTAATCGACTTTAGTATGCCTTTCCCTCGGTGAAGCCGGAGATGGAGAATAAAATAAAAGAAAGCAAGGCTGTCAGGCTGTCCGTCTCCGGCCCTCTGGTGGCGCCTCTCGTAAGTTGTAAGTTTCGTGGCTATACTGGCTATTGAAAAAAATTGTAAACAAAAAGGAAGAAGGATCCGCTGGTCTGCTCTGTTCAGAGTTATTGCGATGGCCCAAGATTTTAACAATCATCGGACCGAGGACCGACTGTCACTGGTCGAAGGACGTCCTGAAATTCCTCAAGGTTCCTGAAAGGACTTAGATTTTAGTATGTGACATGGATAAAATGACAGGGAAAATTCGCCCTGACGTCTACGAGAAAAGCTGAATTTTAAATTTTAGAAAAAAATCATTACATTTTAACTTTATGGCACAATTCAAATTCTTCAAATTAGCAGCATTTATTTGCTCCAAGGTGTACGTGTGCCACATTTTGCTGCTCCAGCGATGAACATTAAATTCATTTCGGAGGATTTGTCCCAAAAATTCTCAGAAACGTGAGGAAATTAGAGGAGAAAAATAATGAAATATGAGACAATACATAACTTAACTTTATTTTCAAAATGAAAAAGCCACTAATTTATATGTATATCAAGATTTTTTAGCCATTGTTTTTAAGACCAAAAATTTGCATAAAAGCAACAATGTGGTTTAAAAGGAAAAAAATAGATTCTAGCACCAACAATTCAAAACACAAATCATGTTCAAAACTTGAATAATTCTTGCACTCTCTCTCCATTTGTTGGAGATAACGGTTGGTTTTGAAGTATTCTAGAGAATTCTTATCAAAATTCAAGTTTTTGGTTCCAGCTGCAACTTTTGAGAGGAACAAAAGCTGCACAATATTGATGACTTTTTGCAAAGCGTCAAAAACCAGCTGCCCGAGGATGCTACGCCAAACCTGGTCCAGGAGTTCCCCTTCGTGTGATCGGAATGTCTGACGAGATGAGTGAAATTGCTAAAAACAATCACGAAGCCCTGGATTACGAGCACGCCTTCCACCTGGCTCTGATGAACGGCTACCAGCCCCACGTTGGCACTCGTAAGAAAAAATAATGACTAGAAATTGTTTAAGTGAAGTCAATTTTACTCTCAGGTCGCCGCGACATTGACGACTACATCTACAGTGTGAAAAACCAGCTTCCTGGAGATGCAGTTGTCGAAGATGACGGTGAAGTGGACTTTGACCAGCAGCCCCCCCCCCCCCTGAAACCCTTCTCCGTCGCATCCTTCGATTTCTTCACCTGGAGAAATTCTTATAAGTGATTATTACACTTCTGCCGGCTCCCGTTACTTGGCATTTACAAAATTTCTGTAACTTAATGGTCATGCAAATGCGATAGAAAAATTGTTTTTACCATATTCATATTAATTATAATTTGTTGACAGCACAATTATGTAATATCACACACACACCATACACACCTAATCATAGCTTATTGTCATTGTCACTTGAATAAGATTATTAAAAATGAAAATGTCAGAGAAATAAGTTTTTAATTTTTTCACAACTGAATTTGAATTGGGAAATTTGATCACTGTCCCTTTTTTTAATAATCACTATCACTTTATTAATATTGCAATTGGAAGCAAGGGGGTTGGCAAGGGGCAAGATGGAATTTTTAAAGTAAAAATTATTGTTGTGAGGAAAATTCTAATCTAAACTAAATGAATTTAATAGATGGCGCATTTTCTTAAAAACCGGTATTCAATCCTTGACAAATATAAAATCCAAATTTGCAAGCTTTTTCATATTAAATATTAAATGCTCTTGAAAAATTTATTTTTATCATTTTCTTTGATGAATTCTGAACATATGCTTTTAAATATATAACTTTACTACGTAAATTTCTAACTTCATAACCGGTTTCTTTAACTGAAAAAATGACTTTAACCGCCACAACACGGCGCAGTCGCGAAACCAAAACATATGATCGTATCAAATCTTCTGTGTTTCTCTTTTTTTGTTTTTTACGAGTTGACATTGACAGCGATAAACCTGGGGATCTCTTGAAATTACCAATTATGCTTGTACTCGTAAGTGATTCATTCTACAATGAGTGACAATCCAGCAGGTAATTTGAGCTTAAAATTCGCGCCGGAAGAATTGTTTCCGTTAATTTTGTGAGTGACGCAAAATGTAATAAAATCAAATTTGAAATCCACCCCGTATATGTAATTAAATTTAGACGGTTAAAAATTTTTAAACTCCTCTTTCGAACGTTGGTAACAGTCTTCTTGTAAAAATGCTAACGCTTGAGTTTGAATTCCAGCAGGGAATCCGGAACCTGCGAGGGAAAATCCCTCCGGAGAAGCAGAGACTCGACGAGTGGTTGGCCTGCCCCTGGCCCTGAGCCAGCTGGGCAGGGTTCACCGGTCCATCATGTCGCGACCAGAAATATTCAGCTCGGTCTTCAACGAGCTGCGATCGGAGCGGAGGCAAAACAATAATCCTCCAAGGGAACCTCCCGAGGAAGGCGTCTCCGTGTCCATCGACATGGGCCGGACAGAGGAAGGCGCTGACAATGCGGCCGAGGGCCCCACCAGACTCAACCCTGAGACCATTGCCATGATGGCCATGATGCAGAGATACCTGCCCTTTGTCCTAATTCTCCTCGTCAAGCTCCTGTTCGACCATGGAATCGGTCAGTTTGAAACTAATTAAACTAAATGTTTTATTTAAATTTAGGATTTTAATAAAAATTTCTGTCCTGCAGGCATCCTTGTGGGCTTGGCCCTGCTCATCACATTTTCACACGCCAACAGCAGATTGAAAAGGGAAGTGGGGCTGCAGGCTAGGAGCAGCATTTCTGGACTGGTGTTTCTCCTCATCCACATTCTTTTCTGCATTGTTTTGTTTTACCTGGTTTTTGCTGACGAAATCCTTTACTCCAGGTAATTTTTACCTTGAAAACTTTCAAGTTCAACAAATAATCCTTTCATGTTTGAAATCCTTTTTTATCTTTTGATATAAAAAATTGAATTTTTTATAACTGATTGATTAATTAATTGATTAATATTTTTCAAATTACAATTTTTTCAGTCTCTGGTTGGCCCCCACATTCCTGCCAACCTCATTTCCAGACCTGCTCTGGGTTGTCTTGGTCACTGACTCTGTGCTCAAGCTCATCACTGTCGAGTGCAAGGCTGTGCTTGCCATCCTTCCTGCCACCACCATTGCCTTTGCTAAAAGGGTAAATTTCATTTTCTGTTTTCTATTATCTACGCAAAAGCATTTGTTTATTTATATTATTCGATTTCAATTTTTCTGAAAAAATTAAAAATTTCATACTCCAAACTATGCTGAATAGGAAGATTTCCAAGGCAGTTCTATTTAAATCAGCTTCAAATTGTATACTAACCACAATCAGGAAATTTAATTCACAGAATAGACATTAATTTAAAGAAAATTTTTCAGCAACCTGTTTCCATCTGTGATGTGCGACACTTTCTTTCGTATAGTTGTGAAGAAAAACTCTAATCAATATGACTGTTTGAATTTTTATATTTATTTATTAATTTGATGAATTTTCCTTTTTAATGTTGGGACCAAATTTAGTCATGTTTTTGAAACGCAGTTATTTTGTTTTTACCAGGGAAAAGTTTTCCTGTCGATCGAAGCCACATCCCAGTTGTACCGAGCGGTCGCACCAGTCCAGGCGTGGCTGTACTACCTGGTCAACTCGTACGAAGGGGTCTACCGAGTTTTGGGCTTCACCCTGGCCTCCGTTTACGTCCTCTGCAAGTTTTGGGAGTTGCTGGCCCGCTACAAAATGTGGCACTCGTCTGTCCAACAGCTGTTCCGCCACTCCGTAATTTGCACACTCTTGTTGAAAAGATTAATTTTCACCCGACCGAATGCCAATTTTCAGGCCCTGGGCGAGGCGCCAACAGCTCAACAGTTGGCTACGGCTGGAAACATGTGCACCATTTGCCACGACGAGTTTTCCGAGCCGGTGGCCTTGCAGGTGTGCGGCCATGTCTTTTGCGAGTCGTGTTTGACTACTTGGTGCGACCGGGAGCAGAGTTGTCCCCTTTGTCGAGCCAAAGTTGGCACCGACCCTGCTTGGCGCGACGGAAGCACCTCCTTTTTCCTCCAACTCTTCTAGCCAAAACAATGACTCAGTAAGAGCGGATTATTCTTGCTGTTCAAAAAAGTGGCAATCATGCAATTACTGATCAATTATTATTTAACCATTACAAAAATTTATCTTCTCTATGATGCAAGCTGGAGTTTGAAAATCCTCTGATAAACCAAATTTCTAAGTTGACTCGAGATGCTGGAGAACCTTAAGAAGATGGATTCTCTACAATCGTTTTTAGCCGAAGACTGTGAGGCCTAATTTGCTGGAATGGTGAAGTGAGAGCAAACCGTTGAGTGGGTCAAGACTGTCTCATCACAGCCAGTGCAAATGTGATAAAAAAAACGAGTCTTGTCAAAAGATGAGTTAAAAATGTGGTGTGTGTGGGAGAAATTTTCATATTGTTGTGAAATTGAGTATAATTGTCAGAAATATTCTTGTAACACCTATGTTATGTTGTAATTGCAAATTACACAAGTAATAAATATGCAAATAAAAATATTGCTCATATTTGTTATTCAGATTCTGAGAGTTTGAGAAATCTCTTTTTTTTTAAATGAAACTACCATTTCAATTTTTTTGGATTGTTCTCCTTTATTTGTCGCTAAATACGGTTAGCATACATGATATACAAATGGCTACATAAATATATATTCATATTTAAGTGTATATATCATTCAGTAATAATCAATTTAGTAATTAATATGATATGTATTAATTCCGTTAAGTACACAGGTAATGATGGATTACACAGCACAAGGAAAGTGAGTTGTTCCTACCCAAGAGCAATTTATTGATTATTGACCAACGCCTAATCCATATCAAAAGCACTACTTTGAATCCCAACGTACATACGAGCCTGCATGAGAAAATTTCTACACTTTCTGGTTTTTGCGCCGAAACGAAACGTCTGCTGGGTGCGATTTCGAGTCTCAAAACTACATTTAATTTCTGTTCCAATTTTATTTTGCTGTCAAATTGCGGCTCCGCCTATATCATTTGTGTGTGCAGCACATGGAGCTAATTAATTGTTCGAGTGTGTGTCTTAGTGTGCATTATAGCTTATGATTACGAAGACTACTAACACCGAAACGACACCTAAACCTCAGTTGTGCTTCTTTTTTCGATCCCACCGAAACCAAAGAGCAAAAAACCAGCCAAAACACAGCTAGTTCCGAGTTAACACGTTCTTTTCTTCTTTATAAAAATACATATGACCGTATGCAGGGGTTGTACAAAATATTGACGCGCGCTTTTAATTACTCAAAATCCAATTGATATGAATATTTTGTTTTCAGTTCCAAGTTAATCAGCTTTAAACGTAACGCATAATATATTGCACCAATCAGCAGGTCACAGCGTGTGCTCCACATTTCTTCCACGTTCAATTTTAATTCACATTTAGTTTTCTTTTATAAAATTTAACCACAAGTGATGAAAAACTTGCACGAATCATTTTTACCTAATATGTTATTTTTTCTTTGTGATGAAATATAAAAATTTCTTATTAGAAAAATGATGCAAGGAAAATAATTTTTTAACTTTGCTCTTCTATTAAAACTTTCTGGAAATTATTATGTCTGTAAAAGTTTGTCATTAAAATTTTGCAAGAACTTTTGTCAGTTGCTTCGTGCAAGTGTAGACAGCACTTGTATATCAGGGGCTTGAAATGCAAATGGCAAATCGACTGAAACCGGGCCAAAGCAAAAGACATTTAAAGGAGGCTAAAACACTTGAGCAAGACTCTCTCTTGGGAAATGTGTCTCGCAATCAGAGCAGAAGCCCTCCCTCGCTCACTTGCTCGTAATTTACTTGCGATGCGATTGGAAATGCAAATTTTTCACAAGGCGAGCCCTGTCGATCGTTCTTGTGAGGTTGGGGGACTCGCAGCTCTCAAGAGGAGAGTAAGAGAGAGAATGTTTAATTCTTTTATTTTTTGTTTCGCATTTTAAAAAGGATAAAATTCTTGACGTATTTACACAATCAAGGTTATATTCGCTGATCGCAATCTCTCGTATATAATATAATATATGTAGTATATACATATTTATTTATATAATTATATTCAAAGTTTTTATCACTTCATTGTCATTGACACCTCTGCTATGAAATTATAGCTGCTCTTTACCTGACACGAGATATAATTCCTTAATTAGACACTGACTTTGTGCTGAGAGTGAGATTAATTAATTATGCTGATTGTTACACCACGAGTATTGTTTAGCAGATTTTCATCGTTATTTATTACTTTGAAGCAGCTATGAAACAGAATTTATATATGTATATTGTTTAATTCTCAATCATATGTTGGTGGGAAAGTCAAAGTTTCTCACAAAGTCGTAAATAACGATCCAGTGACCCTCAAGATATTCCGTCCCGAAAGAAGCGACAAATAAAAAAGCAGAGCACGTATGATTTTTTTTGTTGATCCACAGTACCCAAAACGGACATCAAACGGAATGAATAAACCGCCCCTTTAATATTACAGGGAAGTGTGCGTTTACCTGCATCACATTTAGCTAGTCGTGGATGGACACCCATTTATGAGTATAGAGTCTAACAATGAGTACACAAGTGAGCATTACCTATCGGTTATTGTGTGACAGACACGCGAATATATGCATTTTTATATTATTAGGCTGCAATTTGTTTTTTGTATGGTTACTCAAATTTCTTAATCTTTCCTCTTTTGATATGTAAGTATGTGTGTGTGTGTTGGTTGATTTTCTTTTTTTACTGTTTGTGTGGTTATACGAGTGTTCTTTTCTGACTATAGGCCGAACTCGAATTTTCAGTCTAAGAATTATAATATATATCAGCTACCCTGAGTGTTGAGACCTAAACAACATCAACAATGCCTGCTAGGCCTGATCAAAGAACCGAAGGCTGATTCGGGAAATAATCAGAAAGTTTATATATTTATGATCTGCTTGAATGGAAATGTGATCAGGCTCCGCCCGTTTTTCTAAAGTATAATATTGATGACAATGATGACAGAAGCAAAGAACTGAATATAGCTCTAGTCATTTTTAATAATTTTAGAAATGAAGGTAAAAAAATCCAATTAAGCATTTGACCAAAACCTGCACAAAGAAACGTTCACGAAAGTTCAAAAAGCTCATAAAGATTAATCATCAAAATGAATTTTTAAATGATTTTTCTGATTTGCTTTCACTACACTATAAAACTTAAACTTATAAACTTTTAATTCAATTAATAATTAAAACTGGAACAATTTTGCCAGTAAAATTAGTAAATTCCCAATGTTAAAAATTTGAGGTCTTTTTATCTGAAGGTGAAAAGCAGTTGTCTATTTTTAAAACGAAAACCGGGCGGATTATCCTGAAAAGAGGATTAGCTTTTCGCCCCCGCCATGCCTCTAAAGTGGTGCTGACGCGTTGGATAGGTTTTAAAGTTTTTTTGTACGAATGGAGAAAAAAGTGCTGAGAAATCACCGCAAGTTGGCTGAGCGTCAATGAATCACAGAGAATCACGACTCTGGTTGAGCAAAGAGAAAATCACGAGCCTGGCAAAGTCCTCTTTGTATGAGCGGCCTGGAGGGCGCGCGTGCGACGCAGAACTGACCCCGGTGATTTCATTTGCATTTAAAACGAAAGAAAATCCAAGATGGAGCAAAAGATAATAGGCTTATTGGGGCGTTTCTATCGACTTTTGTTAAGTTCCGAATGTTTTCTTACGTAACGCGCCGCCTCATCATCTGGAGAACGGAATATTATACTCGAGAGCCGTCTTGACGGAGCTCCCAGGCAAATTACGACGGAGCGAGAGGAAAAAGTGGGTTATGCAACCGGCTCGACTCGGGTGTCGAACAGGTTGCTGGAAGGTTTTCGTAATGAGATTACGGCCGAAAATTGAGTCAGCGAGAACGCGTCAGCAGCACTACTTGTTGCGTGCCGCGGCGGGAGAACGTATTTCTCTTGAAATCAAAGAGCTATTGCCGAATTTGGGGTCGCGACCGACTTTTATGTGTCAATACAGCAGTTCAACAACAGAAAAACGGAAAACGCGCGCGGGTGGAACGTACGATATACAGTTTATATATTCGCAATTGACTACAGTGTGTGTATGTGTGTGCACGGTGGATCGGGAGCTCGACGGTCGAGTGGACCCGCAGGCGACACAGAAAAGTTTGCAGAAAAGCAGCTTAATTCGAACGCGCTTTCGACCAACACCGCCATTTCCATGTGAGTCGGAGAATAAGCTTGTAGAATTTTAATAAAATCAATTCTCGCCTCCTTCAAGGTGAAATATCAAAGTTCAGTGAGGGCGTACGAGCCGTAAAATATATTTATGTTTGGAGATTTTTCGCAGTTGGGCCGACGGTGTTCCCGAAAACCAGTTCAATTTTTCAAGTGGAATTTCCTAATGATTTTTATTAGAGATTGTGCTTAAGAATAACATTAAATGGCAAATTTTAAATAAAATTTTGAATTTTTGTGCAATTTTCAACATTTCTTGATCTTTTGTCTCCACAAGGAGACTCAATCTCAAATTCATGAAGTAGAACTATTAGGTAAAATTAAATATTAATTGTAACTGACTCTTCTGAGGTTCAAAAATGTTTCCGGTAGGGAATCCACCGAATATTTTTTTAATAAAATGTTGACTAATTTCACAATCAACAATAAAAATCATTTTTTTTTACTGTGGGCAATAGTGCAATAGTGTTTGGCGCCTCAGGTCCACTCGCCGCACCGCATCGTCTAACAGGGGCTGCGCCAGCGCTAAGCCGAACAACGCGGGGCTCGAAACGAGTTTCGCAAAATCGAAGGCACAGTTTTTAGCAGCATATTACACGACGTAAAACACCAATTAACATCAGCGTGTGTAAATATTTTTTGCCTTATGCTAAACGTAGTGTGTGTGTGTATAATATATTTATCATATAATTCTTTGCAGCTTATTATGCGTGTGTATGTGATATGTATTACATTACAGCAGTTTACTTTTTTTCATATCCTTAACGATTAATTATATGCTTGTGTGTTAGTGAGTGTACTTTCTAGTAAGCGCGTGAGTTGTTTTTTGTTCTACCACAAGTTTTGCAATAACGAAAAGCTGTCACGTGTATAGCTTTCTCTTATTAATAAATCATCCCTAAGTGCCAAACACCAAACACGGCACGAAAAAAGCGGATCGAGAGCAGACGGAGAAACAACCATTTCTTGCTAACGTCTCTTTTTTTTGTTCTTCTCAAACAAAGATTTCTTTTTAAACACAGAACTTCCCACTATTTGAACGGGGAATTTTTGTCTCTGAAAACACCTCGATATTTATACGCAGCGATTGATGCTAACAATGACAAAGAAAAAACGTGAAATACAGAGTCGATTATACATGTGTGTGAGTATATCAGAATGCAAAAATTAAGAGATTGCATGTGGCGGCCGATCCGTATCAAAATATAGCTTTAAAGTGTGAGTGTGACAAATCGTTGTTGGTAAATTTCCAAAAAATCCAAGCCAAATATGATATGCAGTTCGCGAAGATTACACAAACCCCATCCCTAAAAATCTTAAATTTTACCTTATAAAAGTCATATCGATCATCATCATAGAGTCTCACTTGAAAATCCGTTTGAAGGCTGATAGAGGCCAATCGAGAGTGGCCTTCGTGACGCCATCCGCCGCGCCGATTGGTGTGAAAAGTGCAAACGCGCACGAGGAGAAAGCGTCTACGCAATGAGTAGAAAAGTGAGAGGACGCGGGATTATTGTCCGCGGGTAATGTATATTGAGCATTATTCTAGTGGAGTGGTGCTCCCTGTACCGAGCTAACACTTCAGAGAGTTTCACACCAGAGAGACGCAAATCGATTGATTTTTTTTTTTTTTTTATAATTTATCAAGCAAAATTGAATTTTGCTGTTTTTCGTCCAAAAAGATTTTTTTAATTTCTACATTTTCAAGTAAGGTTCATTGTCTTTGCTCATTTGATTGAAGAAAAATTACTTCTGTTTTGTTTGCTATAAAAAAAGTGGAAATGCATTCGCGCCCCTCAAAATGCTACTCCTCTCTCCAGCTAAAAAACGAGTTTTGGTGAGAGGTCGGAATTCAATTTAAGCAGCAGCAACAGCGTCTACTGGAGTGAGTTTTTCACACGGACACGTGCGGTGTATCACGAGAGTTACTTCTTGTTTTTTTTTCTTAATAATTCTTTTCAACGATTTGCGCAATCATAGCGGCCGTTAAAATGTGATATGTGTGTATGTTTGTGTGTGTTATTTTTGTTTGTCTGTTTTGTGATATGTATATTATAAATTGCGTCTCACAGGAATACAGATCGTCAGTTGACTGATATGCGACAATGATATGTGCGGGAGAGCCTTCGCGGCTGCGATTACACGCTGGACAGGGCCAGCGCGACGAACATGACCACCGAGCCGGCCAAAGCCGTCAGTTTCCGTACTGACGACGCTGACGCGCTCGGAATTATTTCCTTTACACAGTCCTCTTTCTTGGCTGGAAAAAAGTGCAAAATTTTTTGTTGTAAAGATGCGAGTTATTAAAACAAAAAAAGGTTGCTCACCATGCGCCTCGGCGATTTGGGGCATGAATGTGTTCCAGAAGGCGCAGGCTGTGGCCCTTGGCCCAACAGCGACGCGCCCCAGACTCTCAGTACTCCACGTGTAAAACTGCGGTGTGTTTTTCGAGTATGGTGGCCACACTTCTGAGTCTGGTGTTGGCCTCCTGCAATTCAAATAATGAAATCGCTGTAAAAAGTTAGTTTAAAACTTGCAATTTTAATCTTTCAAATAACTGTATATTTTAAATTTTACTGTTTTTAATAGTATTCAAACATTGAATCATGGAATGAGTTATGAGCTCCAACATAAAATATTTGAATAAATAAAATAAAATTAACCCAGTCCATCAGGCTAGAAGTAGTCATGTGTTACGTTTGATCGCTGAAAAATTTCTGCTTCAAGGGTGTGATATTTTCAAAAACTGTATTTGAAAATTGGAAAATTCTAGATTCTTATTGTTAGTTGTAAATCACATGAAGATTAATATAATATTACTAAATATCTAATTAAAATCAATTTAAATGTACAAATTAAAACATTAATAAATTTGGGAAGTTAGCAATCAGAAATTTTATGGTATAATTTTGTTTAATTAACTACGTATTAAAATTGCAGATCTATTCTTCTGTCTAAAAGTTAGTACCAGAAGACAACAGAGAGAGAGAGGTCGCTCCTTAAATCTGTTACCCCAGGCTAAGCATGCGGACTTTGAGCAACCCATTGTATTACTATTTTGTGTTACTTTCTATCTTTCCCCTTTAAACCTGCGATTGTATCACATATAAAACAATTGTAATGGAAAAGTGGGTCACATACCCAGTGGAGGCAAAGTGCCTATAGTAGCCCATGATGCTCTTGCTGAGGCGCTGCTCAGCCTCGGTAAAGCCCCGGGCGGGGTCAAGGGGTCGTCCGAAGACGTAGTCGATCTCGTCGCCGTGCATCACGCCCATCCAGTCGCCCCACAACGAAGTGGAGCTGCGTTGGGCGAAGTAGTAGTAGTAAACGGGCACGCCGTTCTCAGCCATCGTGTTGGCGAAGTGGTTCGATGGGCAGATGAAGAAGTAGTCGCCGACCATGTCGCCGATCATCTTCTGGTTCAGATAGCCGTCGTTCATGTGCTCCCAAGCCGTGTACTGCATCAGTCGGAAAAAAAAGAGATTATCTCTGTAATGAGAGCGGCGAACAAATTTGCTCAAAGAATATAAAACCAGAGAGAACGAGCGCTCAAATTAAAGGTAAACAACGCGGCTTAATGAATTATTATCCGACCACCTCGCGTGCTGCGTTATCAAGTGATGTATCTTTTAATTAAACGTGTTGTGCACCATTATAAATTGAACGGAACATGAGAGTGGGAAAATTTAAATGCATATTTTGATATAGGGGTGAGAATTAGATGTGTGTACAAAAGGATGAAAAAACAACAATATATTGCAACCTTGACCAAATGTTAAAATGCAAAACAGACATTATTTTTTAAACCTTTTAAAAAACCATAAGTCCAAGTCTTTAGCCCTCAAATGCAATTTAAAAATACTGGAGTTTCTTTTACTTTTTTTTAAGGACTTTCGGTATCAAGTGTGGAAATTCTTTTCACCGTTCAAAACTTGGATTTTGAGAAAAGAGGCAGCTTCATTGCTTTTTTAATTAAAGCAACTGGCAAAGAGCTGGCCTTGATATCCAAGTTTTGCAACCTGTTCCGCTCACACATATTAACGGCTTTGAAGTTTTCACCTCGGCAACCGCGGCGATATAATTTCTTATGCAAATGCGATTCTTGAATGAATATATAGCAAGAACACGTGGTGAACCGTGAAATCATAGCTAGAGAGATAGAGAGACAAGAGGGTGAGCGACATCATTATTTTTAAATTACGTAACTTTAGCCGAACAAGCAAGAGGGACATTGAAATAAATAGGGGCTGCGCGGAGAATGAAAGCCGCTGATGCTTTTCATAATTCTGCTAGGTTGCTTTCAAAGAATGGAAAAGCAGCTCCTCTCTTTCTCCTCCCCTGCCTCGCTTGCTTGGAGAGGTGGAGGCGAGAGTGGTTGTTTTTTAATGAGGCGACCACAGTTTTTGTCCAAAGGCATGCCATCAATAGAGGCCAAGTGGCAAGGCGAATTTCGCACCGAAATTACTTAAATCAAAAGCCAAGATTAAAGTTCAGCCAGACTGATTAAATAGTTTTCCGAAATCTGCTCGGCCGTTTTTCGTTCTTGAAATCCGCACGGCAGCGGTAGCAGCGGCGGCGGCTGCAGAATCAATTTTCCAATAGAGCGACGTCGGCGGCGGAGTAATTTGATCGCCTCCAGCAAAGTATGCAAATGAGACTGGCAGACGGGCGGGTCGCATGGGCCGTGATTTGGTTCTCACCTGGAAGAGAATTGCGTCGCGCTCGATTTGCGGCCGGTCCTTGAAGATGGTGTTGATCAGGTGGACGAACTTGTCGCGCGGAAGGAAGCTGGCAGAGTCCTTGTCGAACTGGTCGATGAAGTCGTACAGGACAAAGTAGGTGCCTGGAACCAGAAGAGATTCAGTTAGCACAAATCTTTCAATTTTGAATGATTTTCAAAAAATTACATCTTGTTAATATATTGAGTACTGAGAAATTTCTTATCTGATCAATTTCCTTTTTTCAACATATACGTTTGAAATTTAAAAAATTTCAAATTTTAAATCATTATGGTAAGTTCTAAATTGACTAAAAATAAATAAACTGAATTCTTATCATAAAATTAGATATTTCTTTTTAATATTATCGTTACATTATACCGCATAATTTTTTTATTCTATTGATATTTTACAATTAATTATGCCTTTTTTTGTCTATTCCATTTTTTCCATAGATAATCAATTCGCTTTATATTGTATGTGTCTAAATGTTAGTAATATGCTATAAATAACAACAAACATTAATTCAAGAAAGAAATAATTTTCTGTAACTAATGCAGTTTTCAATCTTAAATGAGCCTACACAAAACTGGCTTATGAAGCTCTAGATTTTAGAATTTAAATGAGTAGTATGACTCCAAATTATTTTGTTAGCTACTTATTTTCATAAATTTAATCATTTATTGATTTAAATGTGTGATCTTATTTTTCTTGAAAAATAACAAAATATATATTTTTATAAATAAAATTATTATTAGTACTTTTGTTGTTAAAAAGTTAAAACAACAGTATTAAATTAATTAAAATATGTACCATATTAAAATAAAAAGTTTTCATCAGTTGTAAATTAATATAAAAATATCACATTTTCTGTCATATCCATTGTCATAGAAGTTTTGGATTTTGAAGATTTTGAGGGCCCACCTGTATGTGAATTTTTACGCCACGGGACGTTGTGCATAATTTCTCTATATCCCGTCGACGTTTCCGGTCGCCATCGCCAAATCAGATCGCAGTCACGTAGCGCGTTTGGATTGTTGCGCAAAATGCAAAAAAAGGCGTGCGGCGGCAGATTCACGTTTCGGCTCATTAAGGGTGGAAGGGGTTGAGGGGTGTTGCTTGCCAGTCGACATGTGAGTTTTGTTTGTTTGTTCTGCGAGGAGATCGGCGGCGCCGATATTGACCACCGCGGTCGCCATGACGACGCCGCCGAGCGCGTACTCGGGCCGCGCGAGTACTCGAGCGGGACGTGAGTCGCAAAAATTATCGCCGCCGAGCCGAGAGAGATGCGCCCTCGCCCCCTCCCCTCCCCGGCAGCAGCCATCTAGAGCCCAACCACTCCCGCCACCCCCTCGGCAGGCAGGCAGTAGTGCTGAGGACAACAAAGTGAGTCTGATTCGGCGCCGTCGACGAGAGCCCGGCAGAGAGATGCGCGCTCTAGATTTTGCACACCTCAACTGCTGAAATTTTTATCGGTTCGATACTTCTTTGCTTTCTTTCTCCAGCTCGGGGGAGTTTTTCAAATTTTGGTTGCACAATAAATATTTTGGTATTTGATCCTTTTCCTATATTTGAAACGGTTTCTTGTGAAATTACAAGCTCTCTCGCGTCCACACGTCCCACCAGACTTTTCCCTTCTTGTATCTTTCTTTGCCCGGCTTTTTCTTCCTCTCGCTGGCTTACCAAGTTGCGCGGCGCCGAGAAGAGGATCTCGCGTAATCTCCACAGAGCGCCTTCTCCGAATCCATATTTTGCCCTTCGAAAAGAAAGAAAGCGCGCGTGGGCTTGGTTTTTAATTACAGGGGCGCCGAGCGCAGTTTTGAAATTGTTAAGTACGTACAACTTCATTCACCCCAGGGCCACGTTAATTTCAAGTAATTAAAATAAAAAGTCAACCGTGAGTCTGCCGAGCTGCAAAGGTTAAATGTCATGCCGGCGTTGGAATATTGTAATGGCAAGAGGAATTCCAGCAAAGAGCCATTTGGTGTGAAATTTGGAGCAAAATTAAACACTTTCTAGTTCAAAATAGAAAATGAAATGACAAATAAAAATATCCTATGAGAGCTGCGAATAGAAAATTTGTCCGTCGGGTGCTATTTTCCTAACAATAAGAATTAAGCGGCAAGATTTATAGCAGTGAATAGATTTTTTTAACTTGATTGCATTTCTAAAATAGAAAAAAAATGGCTTGATTCAGCAACTGCAGAGGGTCCGGAGGAATTTTCCAGAATTGAAAATGAAATACCAGGTGCAAGAAATAGAGAGAGCGCAGAGGGCTGTAGGCTTGCTATTCGCTCTCTCTCATTTCCTCCTAGCCTCTGCCTCTGCTCACCTCTGACACACTTTGCAAATGCAATCAATAAGCGCGCCGTGCCATTTACCAATAACTCACTTGTTGAAAAGTTCCAACTAAACGATGTGTGCCACTTTGACTTTGGCTGCCGGTGTCACAACCCCATCCCTCTTTCTAATGCCGGCAGCTGAGACCGAAAAATTCCTAACCAAATGTCTTAGAATCTTCTATCTCTTAAAATAAAAACGAAAATATTTTGTTATTATTATCTAAATTAAAGTTATTTGATTTCATAGTGCAATTTTTCTTATTAAACTCGTCTTAAAAAGAAATTAGGGAAGAAATAATTTTTAAGAAAATTCAAATAATATTATATAATTTAGCGACTGTTAGAAATCCATTGTTAAGAATCAAAATGACTTCCATCCTGAAATTTTTAACTTTTTAAACCCTTTTTTTATCTTAAATTATCAAGTTCAAAATTTCAAATTCACTAAATTCTAATTTGTGAGGATATATATTTTCTAAAAATGTCGAATTGTTAATCAAAAAGCTGTTTGACATTTGTCATTTTCATTTTTAAAGGTTTCTGGTTTTCTTTTTTTTTCTTATGAATTCCACAGATGTGCCTCTCTAAGAAAATACTAAAAATTAAATGAGCTGAAGATTTTTAACAACTTTTTTTCCATGAAATCAAACTTCCTTACAAGGAAACTCCATGATGCTGGGCAAATCCGCTCAGACATTACTTGGAAAAGAAAAACTCACCTTCATCTCTGTTGCTGCCGATCATGATCTCGGTTTCCTTGAGGGCTCCGCGTTTTAGCAGCTCCATGGGGTCGTCAGTGATGAACTCGCCGTCAACCGTGATGGTGGACGGAAAGCCGAGGATGCCTCCGTAAGTATTCCACTGCTGCACGCTGATGGTTTTCGGGTCCACGCTTCGCAGGCAGTTGAGCACCTCGGCCTGTCCGCCCTCGCGAGCCAGCCGCAAGGTCGCGTTGCAGCCGCAGTCCTCGGCCAACGAGCGGCCAATCTCCCCGGCCCTTTCTGCGGTCATCCAACTCCAAGGCGCATTGATTGTGCCGCTCTGCAGGATTCCTCGACGCACCAACCCTTTGCTCACCTGCCACAACAATCAAACCTTCAAAAATCTAATCTACTCGCTAAAAAATTGATGAGAGAGCAAAATTACAACTTCTGAGTTGACTTACAGGCGATAATAGGTGAGCACTGACGGCACCGCCACCGGCACTCTCGCCAAACAAAGTGAGTGTTTCGGCGTCAGCACCGAACACAGCTGCATTTTCGCGGAGCCACTCCAGAGCAAGCGTTTGGTCGTACAGACCCATGTTGCCACCTGAACTGGTTTCGCTGTCACTGTTCTCAGATCCATCTGGAAACACAGATATAGGGAAGTTTGAACATAAAAATCTATTAAAATTTGAATAGTATTTTTAGTTCCAAAATGTGTATTGATCAATCTGTTTTAAGTATTAAAAATGTAGTTTTTACATTGGATGATCATAACTAATTACTAAATCATGGAATTATTTTAAATTTTGATACAAAGTTTGATTTTTTTTTCAATTCATCATTATTTTTAAATACATTTTAAACTGATGAATAAGAATAAAACTATGGATTTTTTAGACAACATTGGATTAAATAAATGTCATTTCTGTTTTCAGTATTGGAAGAGTTAAAAAAAAAATTTATTTCTTAAGCTAAAAGCCTTTGGAGAAAGCTGGAAGGGTTGAAACAAAACTTTTCTATCACGAATTTCCCGAACGCGTACAAGGAAAACGCTCTCTCACTTTGTAAAAGAGCAATTATTACAATAGATTAGTATCGGCAGCGCGGCGGAAGTGTCGATAGTTACACTTGAGAGCAATCAATCGAAAAGTTGAGATTTTCCTCATGACAGAGCTTTGATAAAAAAGGCCGTTTCATTATCATTGCGCCGAGCCAGCGAGAGGGTGGGCGGGCGCAATAAAGGCTGTTCTGTAATTCAGACCAAGTCAAGATATCACGCAACCGCACTCAAGAATTCAACAGAAACGGCCCGGCTGAATCGCAACAACACAATTATTAATTCACGTGGCGCTCTCAGCCGCTCGGATTATGTATATGAACATGCAAGAGGGCGAGGGTGTGCAACCCCCGGCTCAGCTCTAACTCGCTCCAAATTCAATTTCCCGGCGAGACAGAAATCACTGCTGCTGTCCTCGGCAGGAAATCAGCGCCCTGTGCTGGTTGTAATTAATTAGACCCATTTTTATACATTAGTCCAATTAGAGAAGTGAGGTAAATAGGTTAAAACCTAAATTATCAAAACTGATGCACCATAAATATCAAATTTACTACTTTTTCAGGAAACTTTTACCACTTATTTTATGACAGTTTTGCCTGTTTTCAAATCTTATGATATGAAAAAAGGAAAAAAATACATTAGCTTTTACTCTCCCAGCCAATTGTTTTAAAAAATCATCTAAATGGGCGCTTTAAAAAAAATAGCCTCTCCCTTCCATGAGTAAGATTCGCACAGTACCTGGCATGTAAAGGAAGCCAAAAGCGCCAACTCGGTACTGCATGGCCACGACCACCACGTCCTCTTCGGCCGTCAGCGTGGACGCTTCGTACACAGCCAGGGTGGCGGTGCCGCTCATGTAGCCGCCGCCGTACACCCAAACCAGTAGCGGCGCCAACTCGTGATTGTGGCGCCGCTTCGCCGGCGCCCACACGTTCAGGTACAAGCAGTCTTCGGAGATGTTAGTGTTTGGATTCCACATTTCCTCGCCCTCAAAGCCCGGGAAGTACTCATATCGCTCCTGTGAACACCACACAAACATGATTATTATAGTATAATAAAATTGAAAATAAAATTTTTATGATTTATTTATTTATTTATTTTATCACAAAAAATTAAATAAAAAAATTCTTGTACTTTAATCTACTTAATGCTGTTAAACACAGTTCAAGAGTTCAAAATCGAAGGGAAATTAATTAAAAAATAATTATCAATAAAGGAATATGATTATTAAATTAATTATTTAAAAAAATTATTTGATGTTTCACTTATGACGTGCTATCAAGAACAATTATGACTTGTCCCCTGACCGTCGATCGAACATCAGTGTTCTCTCTAATGCACTCGTAGATTGCACTCATTGAATTTAAACGCATTATGCCATTCGCCACATGTCTAAATAAGACGTACCGAATCAGAAAAGTAAAAAACGGCCAACTTATGAACAATACAATAGTCAGACAACAAGAATTACTCCAATTTTGCCATCACTTGTGGAAATTTTATTCTCCACTGGCAATTAAAGCAGTTAAATAAGTATTCAAAATTAAAACAAAACTTATATTAATAAAATTTTACTAAAAATAATGCCAAAAAATGTATAAAAACGGACTTTTGTTGCTATTTTTATAAACACAATTTTTGCTATTTAATATATTATATCATATAATTAACCGCCTGTTTAATAGCAAACACTATCATGTGTCACGGCAGATATAGTGCGTTTGGTTTACTACGAGCCATCAGGCCATCAGAGGCAGCGTGACCTTTGGGTGCGACGAGTAGCCCAAAGGTCACTACGCCTATACGATTAGGAGTAAACAAAGCTGGGAAGGTAACGATACGATTCGCCAATAAAATTCGCGTGGCTGGTGGTATACGAGCTGCAAAGGTAGCGTGCGCGCCGCCGATAAGGTCCCGCAACTTTTATGCCATTGGAGAGAGAGAGAGAGCATCTCTCTCTGGCGTTTTACGCTCTCTCTACACTCCGCAGGTGCACCGATCATGCGTATTTTGTCGCGCGTCTCGCAGACTATTGGAATTGTTTCGGTTTTGCCCAACGGTGGGGTGCACGTCGCGCTTCTCTTGCTCCAAGAAATAAAGACCACGACGGGCTAAATAAACGGAAGCCAATCCGAATTATTGAGCAGAGAGACTCCGGATGAATTGTTGATTGGATATTTGAGCACGGAGAGCAAGCGAGAGAACCCAAGCCCATATAAAGGGGGGCAGTATCACTCTATCGAAATTTTAATTGAAAAAAATTAAAAAAAAAATCTTGATTTAAGATAATTAAATTTGATAATTGCGTTTTGCTAATCATCAGAATCGATGCTTTTGACACGACGTAAAAGAACAATAAACAAACCAGCTGTCAAAATCAATAGACGCCTTCCTGTCTAACATTGACGAGCCCCTCTCGCCATGAAATATTTACAGCCGAGCCAACCGCGCAGTGCTATAGAGCCCAACTACTCCCGTCTACTATAAACGAAATTCGTTGAGTGATTTTTTTTCTCGCATTAACACAAGTAGTGTGTGATAAAAGATCTGACTGATTTGCTACGGGTCTGTAAAAATTGATATCAAAGTGACACTCACAGGATTGATTTTTATCTCTCACCTGGTAACAGGAGTTGGGCAGCTCGTCAGCGTTGAGGATGTGCGACCAGTTGTCAACCCTCTGCGGCCGCCGGAAGCGGAGTTCGCCGAGCGGCGGCCGTGCGAACGGGATTCCGTAGAAGACGCGGATCTCTTTGTCACCGACGGTGCGCAGGAAGCCGCGGACGCGGCCCGTGGTCGTGTGAACCACCAGTGGCTCGTGGTGGCCGCTGTAGAAGTGGGCGCTGGCGTTGTGGTGGATTTCGACGTGCGGCCGGCCAAGAGCCGCCGAGGCCAGCAGGAACAGGCACAGCAGGCAGCTCTTCATTTTCGCATCGTCCGTTCGCTGTCTCGCTCTGGCTGCCTCGCGACTGATGAGGCAGTGCTGGGCCACCGCTGGGGCACGGCGCCTGCGCCCTTCCCGCTGCCCCAGCGGGCCGCTCTCGCGGCGGCCGACCGGCCGCCCAACGAGCCGCCGCCGCCACGCTCGATGCCAAATCACGCCGCTCGATCGGCCTTGACCGCCGCCGCCGCCTCATGTTAAAGGTGAACCAGGAAATGCAACCCGCCCCCGGGATCCAAATTGCATCATCCAGGTTGTATGCCTTCAATAGTGCGAGACTTGCTATATAAAAATAAAAATTTAAAAATTGACAAAAAAAATGGCAAATCCAGGTCCTAGTCTTGTGCAGAAGTTTCATCAAGAAAAATATTGCAACGTAAGGTTTTGAAGCACAAAAACCAATATTATATTGCTTATTTTCTCTATCCTTGGATTATCGCAGAATGGCAAGAACTAGTCCTATGAAAATATTAATTTTCTATTGAATCAGAATTAAGATTATATTTAAGAAGTGTTAATTTGATATATCTTTACATTATGACCAATGTCTATATAGTTTATAAAGTTTTTTCAACCAAATGCGACGCCTGTGAAAAAGTTAGCAACCCTGTGCACAAAATCCTAGATTAAATTGCCATTGTATTCCATAATATATCCTTTGTAAAAATCAGACTATCCCTCTTTTTTGAGGTACATATTATTTCCTCCAAAATTATAAATTAGATTTTGATACAAGATGGCTAATCAAATTTTATCAAAATTTTCATCTTAAAAAGCTTCTATTTTCAATTTGCTAGCATAAAACTTTAACTTACATGAAATATTATGATATATTTAAATATTCAAGATGCATCATTTTCATTATTTGTTGCATATTACTTCTCTGCTTTAATTTGTATTTTTTTACAGCTTTAAATATTATAGAAAAAGAAATTTATTGCCAGGGATGCGGACGTACAAAATCAATACATTATATAACCGTGCGCAGCACGCGACAATATTAACATCTCATTTATAGCAGCAGGTGACTTTAGTCACATTACTTGTTAACACACAATACAAAAAATGATACAATTTTCAGATTGTTTGTTGTGTCATACAATTCGATCTTGATTCAAGATAAAGTGCAAATGCGTTGATTGTTAACAATTTGTAAACTTGATGGGAACTGTAAGCAGGAAAAGACGTGTGGGCTGATATGAACATTAAAAATTACACGGACAGCGTTTGATCACGTGCCCTCTCAAATTCTGCTGGCGCCTTCAAAGAATGTTGACTTTGCAATGGTGTGCCTTGTGTTTGAGCTTCTCTCGAGCAAGCGTTTGAAATTCCGGTGCTCATTTTCAGCAAAAGAGCAACTAAACACAATGAAGCACATTAAGAAGTCACAAAAATTGGAGTGCAGAAATGACTTGTGTGAATTAAATACTGCCTGTGGGTTATAATCTATAATCCTCTTCCCATTTTCAGACTACCGAAAAGTATTAGCTGGTTATTGTAGACGTGACTAAATTTTTATGACTCCTTTCGTTAACTTAAAATGGAAGTTTGGCGGCAAAAATACATTCAGCGGGAATTTTCTGCGTAAATACAAAGTTAGACAGGTCTCTGGTTTCAGGAAGCCAATTTCGTCTGTGCGGTGCCAGAAAAAGACGCAGAAAGTCACACACACTCTTAGCAAAAATATCAGCTTTCATGAGCAGCCACAAAAAGCACAGTGCAAACGCCTGAAATAACAAAGAACCAGTGACACCTGCGAAATTGTTAACCGTGACCCAGGCAAAGACAGAAATAAATATACGAAATATACATTAAAAAAATATGTGGATTGAATCTATTATGTTAGTAGGAGGAGATGTTAAGTAGAGTTTAAGAATTCTACATGTAAATTAAATTCTCAGGATTTTTTTTTTAATATTTTGCCTGGCAAATTTGAAGAAACTTTTATATTTGAACAAACGGAGCTAATTAAATGGAGGGAAAATTAGCCCTGTCAAGATTAATTATCAACTTAAAACCACGCTGGAGAGTCGCAAAGTTCATCGAGCCGGATTATCCTCACTGCGGTGGCGAAAACTCGTAACGCACAAAACGCGTATACACATTATCGAGGGTGTAATTTGAAGAGGGTGCGAGGGTAGGTGGGTAGGTTAATTAACAACAGGTGTCTAAACACATGGTGGCGCTCTCTAGTTGCCGCCGCTTTGTGAAATGTAAAACAATTACGTTTGCCGAGGCCCGTAAATTTGCCTGCCCGCGTCGCGTGGCTTTTTCTTCGGCCGCTGCTGCTTCTCGGTTGCTAGGCGGCGCGGCGGCAACGGAGGGCGGGGGGTGTCAAGGTCGCCCCGGCTCAACCCTTTGCTTGCCAGGCGCCGAGGTGCGAAAAGTGGGCATCGCAAAGACAAAGGCAGGAAATTAACCCACCAGGATTATGCGGTCTTTTCCTAATTTACTCGGCACTCGTTTTATTTCATTAGGCTCCTACTTAACGTGATGTAATTATTGTTGCCCTTGTGAGGCTTTAATTAATTACACTCCACTCATTAATTCTGTTGTACAATTTTAAATTTCTGTTGCAATTTTTATTTTAAATATCAAAACTAAAACTTTTTTCATTTTGCTTAAGCACGGCGTCTGAAGTATGCTTCTCATTTGCATGGGCGCAAATGAATTTAGCGGACCGTCTTGCAATTAAGGTGAGGTCGTTGTGATTTATGATTTTTTAACCCAGGGCGCTCAAGTGCTTTTGTGCCTCGAGAGACGCTTCATAAATCTAGGGTAGTCCTTCTGGCGTCTAAGCGTGAAATAATTCATCCAATCAACTGAGACTTCTTTTTCGGCTACACTTTTTCTGCGTGGTTCTTTCTTTCTAGACCGCTTTCGAAAATCGCTATTTCTCACAACTTCACGCTGCATTAGCGCAAGGCCAGAAAAATTAGCTGGCCACTCAGTAAATGCCAGAGTCGTACTTCTTGTTAAGCGCTCGCCTCTGCCCTCCGCTCGCCTGCCCTCCCGCGCGCAGGGAAGCATGAACACGAGATTTATGAAGCACTTGATGACCTTTGCAGCGAAACCTAGCCGAATTGTGATAACCAATCTAAACGACTTGAGCAGGTCCTTGAACCTCCTCTAATCGTATGTGTATGTGAGTTTGTGGTCGATGCCACAAACGAGACGGAAAATCGATGCGTTGGAAATAAAATTTCAACATCTCAAATCTACCAGATTTGAAGAAAAAAAAAACAGCCGGCAGTTTGCGCAATATCAATGCTGTGCACGTTGCATAACCAACAAAGCTGCAGGCGCTTGGAGAGACTTGGGATATTTTTTATTGAATTTCAAGCAAGACAAAACTTTTGTTAGAGAAAATCACGATTTTAAGCTCAGCTCAGACTTTATATGATTATGATTATTTAGCTGTGTTTCATTTCAATAATAAAAGAAAGGGTAAAAACTAGAAACGTTTATTTTTTTCAATTATAAACCAACCAAAATTTAATAATTATCACATTTATCACTATTTAATTTCATCGTTTTACTTCAACGTTAAAAATTTCAAAAATTTAAATGAAATATAAAATTTATGCAATAATATAAAAAAAAATTACTATTTACGTAAAAATGGCTTAAATTGTTTTATATTAAAATTCTAAATAGGTGAAAATTAGTGCGTTGTCTCCATGATTATTTGATGAAGGCACTTGACCTAACACGTAAGTGGAAAGTGGAATCCGAGAGAACTTCCAACTGGCATTGAGCATCGACGACGAGTGGCTCGTCAATGCGAAAAGCAGACTGGACTGCCTAAATTTCCCGGGAGATTGTTTTTCAATACCTGGTAGCGGGCGAGAGGGAAACTGCGCCCCCCCCCCCCCCCAGGTTGCGCGTTCGTAATCATACTATATAACAAAGATATTACAAGAGGCAAAAGAAATCGAGAGTGATGTTATGTTGGAACTTGCTTAAAAACTTATGTAAGAATATCCTCCAAGATATATGTATATTAACGACGGAATATTATAATTTAGAACAATATGGGAACATTTGAAGTATAAAGTTTTCTTGTGGATCATACTTGAGCTAACTAAGTAAGGGTCAAGCAGCATGATCGTTTGCGATAACGAAATTACACGTTTCGGTGGAAAATTTTGCGATTCGGTGATAAGAGGAGGGGGAAAGGTGAAATTTGACCCGGGTTTTGGAAGACGAGCGGAATATGTGTGGATTGATTGGAGACAGACGTGGCGCGAGTGATGCTATATAATCGCGAGAAAGATCGAGAGGCGGCGGCCGGGAAATGAGGGAAATCGGGATCCGCGACCGGGAAATGCATTGGCCGAGGCGTCGGCCGGGAAAGCGGCCTTGGGGGGCGGCCAATCAGGAGGCGGCTCACGCGATCGAAGTCGCGTAGTACTACGAGCCCGACTGCGGTGGGCGCGCGTGTAAGATGGGCCTTGACCTGCAGATCCTGACCTCACCCCAGCACGACCGCTGCTTTCGCAGCCCCCCGACAGGTGGCTGCCTCCAGTGGAGCGGCCGATCGGCCTCCGCCGATCAATTTGCAGTTATAGACTTATTATACTCTAAAAAATAACTCCGCTAACTGTACTGATAAATTAATTCGTCACTTCTTATTGTTCGATAAACTCTTCCATAATAAAAAACGAAAATAATTTCACTTTTTAATTTTTTTATTATTTATTGAAAAGATTAGTAGACAAAATCAAGTTACTATTAAAGTGTATAAGTTTGTTAACATTTGAAGTATTTTAGTAATAAATTTTCGTTAAAAAGCAGGTAAGGGAATTTTAAGGGATCGCACAATAGTGACCATGACCATTCGTTCTATTCATGGACATGTTGAATAACAAAGAAATTAAAGTAATAAAAAAAGAGTGAAAAATTGAAGAGTTTCTAAAACAATGTGAAGCTTTTGATACTTCATCGTCTTCTTGTCGTTCTTCTTCTACTTTCAAAGTGTTGTTGCTCTCTGGTACATTTTGTACTTACAATCCATTGCATGTAAAAATATAATGTCAATGAAAGTTGATGGAACCTCAGAATGAATTTTTTCGTGGGATGATTGAAGCCAAAACTAATTACGCCCCGAAGAAAATGTGTGTCTTCCTTTTGTAGTTTGTATGATAAAACCACCGCCACTAACACCTTGACAACAACTTTTGGTGCCTGTATAAAAAAGTGAATTAGAAAATTTTGCATGATACTATATTTCTTTATATAATTGCTCCTCATGTACACTAATATTATAACTAATAAAAATCAGAGTGTTGGTCGTAACCAAAAACAATTTGTCCACTCTAAATCATTCACAAACGGTCCCTATAAAATAATTTTTAAATCTGGTTATCCCAAAAATCATAGTTTTATCATAGAAAAATAATAATAACAATTTTCAACTTGCCAATCTCTCTGCCAACCGTGGAAAAAAATTTTGATGGTCAAAGATGGCGTGAGAAATGATTGGTATTGTTTAATTAGCATTCTTTATGAGGAATGACGGTCACGCTACCCTCCTATAATGTACTGTTAAGGGCGTCATTTTCATCGTACCCCCCCCCCCCCCAGCCTAAAATCTTTGGTTTCCAACATAGTCAAAGAACAGGCTTACACATTAGGTAAATTGTACTTCCAAAAGGGGAGTGGTAGTGTTGGCAATGATATATAATTAAAAAAGATAAGTAAAATATTTGAGGAAATCGGGGATTTTTTTTAAATTTTCCATTTCAGTATAAAGACAAACTTAAATGCTAAATTAAAAACTAAATTAATTAACAAACTTAATTGGATATAAAGAAAGGAGTTTGACAGTCGACGTCAAATAAGAATATGAAAATTCCAACTGGAAGCAATTGTCTGTGGTAATTTGTGAATATGTTCAAATCAACATTGAAAAAATATGTTCATAAAAAGAAACCTTATCATGTTAATTTTATCAATAATCTTTATTTTATTTATTACATTATTATTTACAAAGAAAATCTCAATACCCGATTTCCTGAAAAATAGAGTCGCCAAATAATTCAGTACTTCCTCAAAATCTATTCATGGTGAATTGAATTTCAAGTCGGCTTTAAAAAGATCGTTATTCGTTCTAAGAACATGACTGTTTTGCGCAAGTGGTTTAGCTGCAGCATTATTCACGAGCTCTTAAAGTATTTTTACAAAATATGAATGTTTTGTTACAAGTTTTAGATTGTTGTTGAAACTATTTTTTTAAATTCTTGTAAAATTTTTTGTTTACACAAAGTTAATTTTTACTGAATATTAACAAAAATCAATTTTTAACTTTCTAAAATTATTGTTACTTTCAAAGAAACAGTTTCAGTCATAAAATTCGACAAGTACAACAAAGTACAAGATGAAATTCAATTCAGCAAGAACTAACATAATCAATCAACTAAAAACTCAATTCATCTAATTTTCCTCTTATTTTTCTAAGATTTTCCTTCACTTATACAGAAATATTAAAGAATACCAGCAGCATTTTAAGAGGTATATACAAACTGTCTTCACTTTTATCCAGCATTCGCAAACACAAATGCACAACATGGAAATTCTTCAAGAAAAAAATTACTCTAGAATTGAGAGTCAACATGAGAAAATGAGAATCACAGCATTTCCATCTCAACGTCGCCATCGTCTGGAACGGTGAAATCTGGTAGTCGTGGCTCCTCGTTAAAACTAGATTGATTTTCAAAGTTATCATTCTGAATGAATAAAACAGATCAACTCCTTACGTTGGCATTATGTTGAGATCGATGCTTTCGCTGCCATTGTTGTTGTTATTGTTGCCGTCCTGCTCGTCCGGCTCACCATCAGGCATTGGCATCATCCTTGGATTTGGCGGCTGCCACAGCACCAGGGCCATCGAATTTTTGTTTCTCCTAAATAAAATGATTAGATTTTGCTCTATTCAAGAATGTGACGTGTACATTCTGTCCATGAGAGGTTTTGGCAGGATGGTGTCCTGGGCAGTCAACTGCTTGAGCTCGTCACTCAGCACAAGACGAGGGCCGAACGCTTCGTCGTCCTGTTCGCTCTGCTGGTTCAGAGCGTGCAGACCAGCCCTGTGAGAGGCCAGTTTGGTCTCGGAGATGTGCAGTTTGTTGACAGCACTCAGCCTGGAGCGAAAATTTTAAAACCTTGCTTTATTATGTATTTTTTTTTTACCCTCAAAAGAAAAAACTATTTATAATTTCTTTTTTATAAGTAGGATGGTAATCAGAGAACAAAAATAATTCTTCCAAACTCACTTGCTGGAAAAATTTCACTTTAAAGTTCGGAATATTATGATACATATTTTAATTATAAGAGAAATACTTTAGGATGTTCAGTGTGTTTACAAGAATTACTATTAAATTTATTACCAATCTCAAAATATTACAAAATGTTTGTCTCTCAAGTAAAACAAATGCCAAATTGATGGCATTTGTTTTGTAGGAAGTTACTTTGACATCAATAGTAAGTTTCCTCATTTCAAGGAGTTTTCCTGTTTATCACTTAATGTTTTTCGAAAAAAAAAAATAATAATAATAATTATAATAATAATCAGTGCGTCTGTGATGATTTCCGGTGAATTATTAATTCCTTGTATCTGTTACCAGACCATTTTTCTAAAGGATTAGGAGGAAATTTATGGTAAAAAAGTCAAGGTTGGAAATTTTACATACCGAAAATTAAACTAACACTAGCAAAAATATTACAACAGAAAGTTCATTCAGAAACAACCACTCAATTTCTCAATCTCAGTCAATCACCTCAGGCAAGCAGCAGCAGATATTTTTTCTCTCAGCCAGATTTAGATTTTCTCACAACTGCACCAGATGAGCTGAATTTTTCCAAACAAAATCAGATAATGAACCATTCAATCATGATAGAAATGAATTAAAGCAAAAAGTAGCTCACATTTCTGCTTCATCTACGTCGACCTTCCTTTTGATGCCGACCGAGTGGACTTGCGACGGTCCTGGCATCGCAGACATTGGGAAGTTGTACGGCTGGCAGGTGTCCAGAGTGAAGGGCATGCTGGAAGTGCCGTTGTTCAAACCTCCTCCGTACAAACCTCCAGTAAACCTATAAAAAACATTCATATTATGAAATTTAAAAAAATCTCATTATTCAAGAATTTAAATATTGTGGTTAACATGAAATTCTTTTATTAATTAAATTGTGCTATTCAAAAATATTAAAAATACATTTAATGACATGTTGACAGGGGGCTTAAACTTCAAAAGAAGGACCATCAAAATAAAATTAACACCTTTGGATGATTGTGGAAAATATACAGATCTGGACGTTTTAAATTTTAAAATTCAATTGAAGTTGGTCCTAATTATGAAACTTGGTAGATCGAATTGAACAATTTAATAAACAATAACAAAAAATTAATTTTGTTCATACCTGACAAGTGCTGGCTGTTTGGTGCCCCAGGGCATTTGTGCTGGGGGGCTGTGGAGCCAAGTTTGCGGAGGACTGCTGCCCAGCTGCGGAAGGGGCGAAGGTCGTGCGAGGTCACCTTGCAAGCCCGATTTCGTCTCCATCAGGTGCATGGCCCTGAGTAAAACGCAATTGAAAACTCACTCACAATTCACAATCTTGAGATAAAATTTTGAAACTTTTCTTTTACCTGGTGGATGGAGCACGGCTTTGATGCTTGGCGATGTTTTGAAGGGACGAAATGCCCTGAAAGCGGTAAAAAATGCGTCGCACTGGACCAGAAATTTATGTTTATGTTCTGCAAGCAAGTTCGGGTGTTTTGTTTTGGATCGGAGAGAAATGGCCTATGTTGCCAGGTGATTCTAGAGCATTCGATTGGATGCAGTCTTGGGCCAATGAGCGCACGCGGCGCCAAAAGAGACGTTTGCTCGTGCTTTGCAGGTTGCATAGCAACCCCTTGGCAACGAAACAGGAGTCTAATCACAAGCTCGACTCTTTTTGAGAAAACCGGTCTTTCAATTTAAAGATTTACTTCTCACACTCTTAAATTTTTTTTCTAAATAACGAAAAGCTAAGATGAGTGCTGGGAAAGGGCCGCAGAAAACGCAAGAGGAGATCGAAATGGAACAAATGGCCCAGGCAGAGTTGGCCCGTCTGCAGAGGCAATACCGAATCATGGAAGAAGACAGGGCCCACTATGCCGAGGAGACCAGAATCCTCCTAAATAGACAACGGTACAAAATAAACAAGACTTGCTGGTCAATTTATTTGAAAAATTAAAATTTATTTTGCCTCTTCTAGGAGGCAGATTTTAGCTCTCGAAAGGGAGAAAAAGCAGCTCCTGATGAGTCCAGAGTACGCCAGTTTAAAAGTCGCCAGACGAAGGGCTTCCAGTTGTAGTAGGTTGCTCGAAAGGCAGCTGGACAAGTACGAAGAGATGGATGAGCGAATTCAAGAACAAAAGGAAAAGGTTTGGATAGTATTTATTAAATTCTATTTGCAATTCTTTTTTTTAATTATTGATTATAATCAACTTTAAAAGAATGATGATTTGCGGGAGAAAATACGACAAGTTGAAAAAGAAATTGAGCATCTGAGGAAGAAGAGTGAAAGTGACATTTGCAGAAAAGAAGCTTTGAAATCAGTGGAGCGAAACGAGTCCCTTCTGAAAAATCGACTCCACCATGTAAATTTACAATATATAAAAGAGCCATAATTTTAATTTAATTTAAAATTTTTTAAATTCAGGCTTCTGTCCACTTAAACTCCATTACGGCGGACAATAGGACATTGCGTGCCGATTTGAATCATTTGCTGCTGGAGAGGGCACAGTTCAATGTGCGATTTGAGAAACTCGCCCAGCATCTAGTCGAGGGCAAAAAGTTGGCCTCTGAACTTACAGACGCGGCTACCCAAGCTTACGACCAACGGTTCGCAAATTTATTTCCCTGTCTTATTTTTATTTTCTGGTAATTTAAACAATTAGAGAGGAGGCCCAGAGTCGTCTACAGATGCTAAAGGAGCAGGAGCAAATTGATGTGGACCGATTCAAGGCAGATATGAATGTGCTACAACGACAACTTGACTCTGTGGCTAAACTTTTTAACTTTCTCGCCACGAAGGGCCAGAAACGGACCACGGCTCATTTAGAGGCGCAGGAAGCTCTCAGGCAGAGTATAAAATTTATTTTAAATATTGGTATAGCAATAAAATAAAAAGTTTCTCAAATATTTTTTTTTTAAATTAATTAGTGAAAATTAAAATTTAATATTTCTTTGTAAGATTAGGTCAAGACACAGTCTTGCTGGCTGGTGCCCTTCATTAGTGGTGCAGAAGGCACCACCCAATTTTATTTACTTTTTTTTGTTCAATTTTATTTAATTAAAATTATCATTTTGCTGGCATAATCCATAATTATAATTTGAAATTTTGTTATTTTTTAAAAAAAAAAATTACCTAATGATACTAAATCTAACCGCAAGTTTTAACAAATAATTATGATTATTTTTTATTTTTCGAATTTGTAATTAAATTAATCAAGTGAAAACTTAGTTAATCAGCGAGAGGCAATGGAAAAACTTCTTCAAGCTTACGCATCCAGCCTGAAAGAGATTCAAGAGTTTTGCGGTGAGCAGGTCGTGGACAAGCTGGCGGCGCTGTTCACCAAGCAGGAGGAAGAAAACTTTGCCCTGTTCAACTACGTGAACGAGTTGAACAGTGAGTTGGAGGCGCTAGAGGACAAGGTGGAAACAGCTCGACGGCAACTGGACGCGCACCACCGGATGCAGAAGCGCCAGGAGCAGCAGCGCCAGGACAACCTGGCCGAATTGCAGACCGCCTTAGAGGCAACCCAGCGACGCAACAAGGATGCGGACGCTGAACTGGAGACTGCCGACGAGGAACTTGGCCAACTTCTGCAAAAAGTGAAGCGGCTATTTAATCTTGTCTTCTCAGATCCGCCGCCTATCCTCCAGCTAATTGGTGATATAAATTAATTTAATGTTCAAGGTACTGATTTTTACTGTGTAACAGGAGGCGATCCTGAAGTATCAAGTGAGAACGTCAGCCTATATTTGGAGCTGCTACAGGAGAACGCGGCATCAATTCGTGAAACTGCTTTGAAGACATTTGATCCTGAGCAAGAAGAGGAGTCTAGTACTACACACTCAATTGCGCCTAAACCGCACAAGCAAAGGGCCTCTTTCCCGATGTAAATGAACACAAAATTTGATTCTAGATAATTTTACATGATGTTATTCTGCAGGTTCAAGGATTCAAGCAAGTCAGCTGATGATAAGTAATTATTTCTAGGGTGCCGCATGTTTTGCTATAATAATTGTGTAGAATTTTTGGGTAAATATGAATAAAAATAATGTCATGTACTATTAAATGATTTAATTGTGTATGTATTAAAATCAATATTAAATTGGATAGAAGATTTTATAATGAACATAATAAAAAGGTCACAATCCTGAACAATATCAACCCAAACACACTTTACATACATATTATATGTTCCATAAATACGCTGAACTTGCCTTTGAATATTTTCACATCCTTTTTAAAACAATAAAATTCTCTTATCACAGATTATACACAATATCAATTTCCATACATTTCTGTTACACAATATTTTAATACATCAGAAAGATTATAGAAAAATTCATCGCCATGGGAAGAAAGAACGAACTTTAAAATACACAAATGTTATTTGCGTGGAATGAATAAAGGAGCAAAATTTTTACTACCGCTAAACTCGCATGCATACGTACTACAGGACATCTCTGGTCAACAACAGAGTTCAACTCAGCTACTGTCTTTCTTTTTAGTACAAAGATCTGTTAAAAATCGGAGCGCAGGCGCTACGATGATTTCCATCCATTTTGGCACTGCTTTGGAAGAGATGAACGTCACCTGGACGAGCAATTTTGCTCCGGAAAATATAATTGCACTTAACAGGCCCTTGATGAAACAGTGAAATTTTCAAAAAAGTAGCTGCCTGTGTGATTCACCAAAAATTTTTGCTAAAAATCAGCCCGGACAATACAAAAAATCAATCGGTTGGACCTGCTGATGCTTTTTCTAATCTTGGTATTGCTATACAGAAATTTTAAAGCTTTTATCTCGTTTTATTTACACACTGGGGTTTTGAGGAAAGTGAGTTTTCGATAGTTAATATTTAATTTGCCTCGTTTCTCGAGATCGAACAGTCTTAGACTTTGTCGGAGGGGCTGCGCGGCCGTAGGTTGCTTCGCTCGTCAATGTTGACGCGGCTGATGCCATTCGGCATGCGCTGGTACTGAGGTCGGTACGAGGAGCCAGGACGGCTATAATCTAACCGATCATACTCCTCCTCTGAGGAAAAAAATTAAATGTTAGTAAACGTTCATTCTATAATTTCAAGGAATTTCTAAAATAATTTAATTTAGACCACTAAGATAATCAATAAACGAGGGATCATGCTGCGTAATACAGGACATTTTATAGCAAATAATGAGAGTAAACAACTAAAAAGAAACTCTAATTTGACTAAATTCCACTGGTATCTCTCAGCTCACCTATTACGTTGTAAAAATTCTGCACTGTGAAAACTGCACAGCAAAAGGACAATTAGGAATCTAATATTCGACCAATCTATTCTATTTTAAATAACCAAATTAAATTTTACTGACCAGCAGCTTCCTTCTGCTTAATTTCGTCATACAGGTGCTCCACTTTTGTGCCATTCAGGTCATCTATGCTGTTGTAAAGATTGGCTAATGTTGGGTTATCCATGTCTGCATTTTTGTTTTTCAAACTGCAGGCGCCTGGAGAAAGTTTTAGGTTAGAAATTTACACTCTTTAAAGCAATAGTTATTCACCTCTTGAGTCATCCTCACTCTCCTCTCCAAAGTTGTTGTGCTGGTAATTTTTCAGATCTTTGCGGCTCATACCAGTGTTGTTCAGAGGAAGACGATCAGGAGGAACAGGCTGGTTCATTGAGTAAACTGGGTTGTCAAAGTGGTGTCCGTCTTTCAAATAATAAATTAAGTTAGATGGAGTTCATTTAAGTATTTAGAAAAAAACCTACCAGGATCTTCTTTTTTAGCTGAATAGTGTACAGTAGCCAAATCTCCCTTCAGCTTTAGCATCTTGCGGCGGTAATAGAGGACAACGATGGCCACAATTAACACCAAAAGCAGTGCCAAAATCACACCGGCTCCAGCACTACCAAGACCGCTGTCAGTGCTTTTGTCCTCCCCTTGCACAGTGGCTGCTGATGGGGCACCGCATGAAGGGCCAGAGAAGCCAAGTCGACACATGCACCCTTTCGCAGGGTCACAAATGAAATTTTCGTTGTCACACTCACAAGGGTTAATGCAATGGTCGCCAAAATATCCCTCGGGACAAACTGGAAAAAATGTTCGCTTTAATTCCTCCAGTCGTGTAATTAAAATTTTCTAGACTAACTATGGTTGATAAGTGTAATCTTAAAATTAAATTTTGCACAATTATTTAAAAAATTTAACTTACTCTCATGGCACCGTTTTCCAGTCCAGCCAGCAGGGCACTTGCAGAAGCCGTCATGAGCTCTGCATTGTCCGCCATTCATGCACTGGCACGACTGTGTGCAGTTAATGCCGTAGGTACCTTGCGGGCAGGGATTACTGCACGTAGGCCCTGTCCAGCCAGGGTAACACAAGCAGTGGCCAGTTACGGTGTCACAGTCGCCCTTCTGGCACTGACACTCGCCTTTGCAGTCTTGTCCGAAACGGCCTGCTGGGCATGGGTTCCAGCAGGCAAGGCCAGACATTCCAGCAGGACAAGTGAGGGCGCCTGTTTCAGGGTGACACTGCATGCTCAGCCGAGAGCACTTTTCTCGACAGCCAGCACCATACCATCCTGGACGACAAGGCCGAGAGCAGTTGATGTCTTCTAGACCACGGGGGCAGGTACATGAGCCAGAAACCTGAAGATAAAAATGCAAATTTTTATTCCTTGTACAAAATTTACAACATGAGATATTTTTCATCCAGGGTTTGATAAACAAGGTGAAGTAATAAAGAGATAATACATGGGGTACTATAATAAAAAGCATCTTTTCATCCTTTTCCCACTTTTCCTGTTTCAATTACTTTAGAAAGTTATGAACGACCAAAACTGTATGACCAGCAAGACATTAAATCCATTTGAAGGACTCAATATCAAGAATGAGCAGTTTGGCATCAAATGTAGAACGGTGGATATTCTCGTTTACTACAATAAAAAGCATTTGTGCGCTGGAGGAAATTGCATTGGCAGTTTTCCCAGAAACTGAACGTTATCGGGCCGTCCGCCAACAAAATAAAAACGAAGATTTTCCAATACATTTAAAAGCCACCTACCGGACTGCAGGAACCTCCGTTGCAGGTACACTCTCGCTCACAGTATTCCCCCCAACGTCCAACCGGGCATTTTGTCTCGCACTCGACACCTTGGAAGGGTTGCAGGCAGTTGCACTGGCCGGTAATTGCGTCGCAACTGAGGCTGTTGTTGGAGCAACGACATGGGGCTTTGCAGTCTCGGCCAAAGAAGCCCAGTGGACACTTTGATTCACAGGTGGGTCCTGTGAAGCCAGGTGGACACTCGCATGTGCCATTGATCGGGTGGCAGACGCCGCCATTCAAACAGTTGCACTTGAGAGAGCAGGCTGGTCCGTAAAAACCAGCAGCGCAAGGTCTTTCGCAGTAGATTCCATCCCAGCCAGCTCCACATGTGCATCGGCCGTCCTCAGGTAGACATTTTGCATTGTTGCGGCAGCCGCAGCGCTGAGCACACTCTCCGCCAAAGAAGCCTCGAGGGCAAAGTTCACTGCAGTCTCGACCTTTGAATCCGGGAGCGCAAGAACAAGAGCCGGTGAATGGGTCACACTGAGCATTATTTTGGCAGATGCAAGAACCTGAAATCAATGGATTTTTTTTTTAAATTTTAATAAAAAGAAACAAGTTTCATCACTGCTATATTTATACAAGATTATATAATTATAAAATCAAATTTAAAGGAAGTTTAAAAACCTAAGCACTGTGGTCCATATCTGTAAAGTGGACAGGGCCTTGAGCAGAGAGTTCCGTCCCAGCCAGGTTTGCAAGAGCATTGCCCTGTGCGCGGATGACACAGCTCGGTGTTATCAGGATTGCACTCGCACGTCTTCTGACACTGAGGTCCATATTTTCCAGTCGGGCAGGCTCGTTCTTCACAATCCTTGCCTGTCCAACCTTCAGGACACCGGCACGCACCAGTTACAACGTCACACCGCGCGTCATTCTGACAAGTGCAGTTGTTTCGACAACCAGGGCCAAACATTCCCTCTGGACACTCTTGCAGACACTGCGAAAAGGAAAATTAGAAACTTTGTGGTGAGGACTTTGGATTATTCCTTACCCTGTCTCCATAAAATCCAGGCATGCAGTCACACTGTCCTGTAACATGATGACAACCGGCACCATTGTAGCAATCACAGAACTTGGAGCAGTCAACACCCCAGGTGCCTGTCGGACAGCGATTGGCACAAACGTCACCCTGAAATTAAATTTCTTAGAATTTACGAGTATTCATGAAATGAAACATTACCGTCCATCCAGGGGTACAGTGGCATCGTCCTGTGTCTGGAGAGCAGGTTCCGCCGTTTTGGCACACACACTCATTTTTGCAACCCTCGCCGTGGGTGCCTTCGGGGCAGTTTTCCTCACACAAAGGCCCTGTCCATCCTGGCGGACAAGAGCAAGCACCGGAAATGTGGTTGCAAACGCCACCATTTCGACAACGACACTCATCAGCACAATCCTGCATACAAAATTATTATAATTAGTGTAAAGCATAATTTTTTACATACTTCAGCTCATAATTTTGCTATTTAATTATAAACAAATCTTTTTATTTCATAATAAATAGCTTATTAATTTATAATATCATTTTGAAAAAAAAATCTATAAAATTGTTTATCTTTGATTGTTTAACATTCCAACCAGCCAATTTTTTTTTTACAATTTTTTTTACAAAAATTTAGCAATTTTTGAGAACATGATACAGAAAATCGACTAACTGACCTGTCCATAGTGCGTGGGTTGGCACTGAAGACTGCAGTGGTCGCCTCGCCAGCCGCGGCTGCAGCGACAGGCGCCTGTGGAAGGGTCACACGTGGCCCCGTTGACGCACTGGCAGCGGTGCTCGCAATCGCCACCCCACCGACCATCAGGGCATGATATCCTGCAGTCCCGGCCACCATAGCCGGGCGCGCACTGGCACAAGTCAGGGGCCACACAAGTGCCATGTTCGCACCCGTCGGAGCACACAGGCAGACACCGCTCCTCCGAGTTGTGTTTCACATAACCAGGACAGCACTCCTCCACTGGACGCGTTTTCATAATAGTCTGAAAACAAGAGTTATGGGTAAAAAAAATTCAATTGCAAACAATGTTGAAAAGAAAAATTTTATTTTTAGCAATCAAATCTTACTTGCGTCTTGAAGATGGTTTTCTGCTGGATCCTGTATTTTGAACACTTGGGAGGTACATTGAAGCAAAAGGTCGTTTCTCTCACTTGGTACGCTTTCGTCTCGGACACTCGCACAGTCGTTGGGTAACTGGAACAAGTCATTAGGTTCGTGAGAAAATTCCGAGGTCACTAAATTTCTGAGAACAAAAATTCCTACTTCCTACATAGAATCATAAAACCGACGATGATTTAGCTCTTTTTTTTATTTGGTGCAAAAACGTGACGAACGGCTTAATCTATTTCAGTTCTGCTTTTAGTTCAAAAAGTTCATTACGCAAGTTTCACGTTCAAGTGAGCACATTTCAAGTTTTAATTAAACGTGGAGTGCGATGAATTTAAAACGAGCTCGGCAATTGAGCGACAAAGGCTAGCGCCGGACGTGTTGCCGACGTGAAAAGAGCAAAGCGCCAAATTAGCTGCAAAAGGGCCTTTATTAAAATAACACGCGCCCAACATTCCAAATGGACTTCCACACACACAAAAATGCGAAATTTGATTTCATTTTTCCTTGGCGCGAGAGCGTTTTATTGCGCAGAGGGCGAAATTGCTTTTCAGCCGCATCCCCTTTCTCCACGCGCCGTTTCACGCATGAATTTCTCTGCGGAGAGCACGTGCCAATTATGCGCCACCGAACAATGGCGAGACGGATGGGCTCGGATAGACGGACGACTTCCGGTTTCGGTTTTTTCAAGCCCAAGAGAAAAAGTGCCAAAGACCGATTTCGGAGCGAAAACGGGAGGCAAGCAGGACGGGGTGAGCGAGAGAGGGAGAGACGCAATCGGGGCACTGCGGCATCCGAGCGAGCAACAAGCAATGCAGATACTGCTGGGTGAATGGGTGGGTGGGTGGAGCGCCAAGATTCACCAACAGGCTTTAGCTGCACCGCGAACCACCAGAGAGCGACCGGGCAATTCCGCAGGAGCGAAAACACGCTGCACGGATTTGCCGATTTGTTAGGATGGAGAGCCCTGGCTAATTGTTCGCCGCTCCCGACTAAACTGCCGCATCGATTTTCTGCATCGCACACATTTCATTATGCGTACGTGTGTGTTCATATTGGCTGGCGGCCGGTTCGTTCGATGGATAAAAAGTGTGTCAGCTTGCAGGGGTGCGAAACTGCATCATCTCGGGGGAAGCGTTTTCGCCTTGTCCTAGTTCGCAAAGTGAAAATCTCTAAAGCCCTTTGTGCTCCGCCATCTCCAGAGCAACTTTAACAATAAATTAGACGCCTTTAGTGCACGAGACTGGGGAAATGATGATGCTTGTGCGAAAGATCCTAATGAAATTTTGCGGATATTAGTTATAGCAGGGGGAGGGGGATCAAATTTTGGGATTCTCCGCATAAGCTGCAAGGTTTTTTTCAAGCAATATTTTAAAGAAGTCGCACTGTCACAATTTTTTACCCTTTTTAAAAATCCTCTTCCCTATTAAAAAAAGAAATAAACCATGCAAAAGAGGATATTTCAGTTTTTTTATTGATTTTTTATATTTTTTATTAGTACTCAAAACTTCTTTTCAAGTCTTAAACATAGTTTAAATTCAGTTACCAATTTTTCTGAATATATTCATAAATTCCGTCGCATTCAAATTCATTAGTGCGGATCAGTGCGGATGTTGTTAAAGGTTTTCACTCCAAATCGATATAAGAAATGTATTAAGGTTTTATTGGTATAAAGTATTATAAATTTTTTCTCAAATGTTTTGCTTACTGTTTAAATATTAAAAAAATTAAAAAATTGTCCACTTTATATTTTTGTCTTTAAGTGGCTCAGATTTGAAACAAAGTCTGAGCAAAACCTTGGCAAAAACTTTTTGATGAAATGAAATCCGGCTTCCTCGATGGAGATGAGCAACTTTATTGTTTCTGCAAGGTACAAAATATCCGAGGAAGCAGGATTTTATTTCATCAAAAAATGATCACCTCGAGTGCCAAAAGGTTCCACAACAACAACTTCAAGAACCTATAAAGAGAGATTTTGTTTTGTTTCATTTAGGATTGTTAAAATTTTTAATTTGACATTTTATCTTTATTTGGATTGATGGTTAGATCTAACCGCGGAGGAAGGAAAGAAGAAACCAAAGAAACGTTGGTTGGTGAATAAGACCACATTTTCTGTGAATTATTTTTGAATATGATCTTTTTTACCACTTTTGACGTACATAAACTTTTGCCCCACCACAAACAGTTGCACGCGTTATTTCCTTTATTACATTATTTATTGTCAAAGTCAGCTTCTGGGTACGCGGTCAAAACGCATCCGCTTCCGGTTACACGCTTTTACTTTTTGGAATCCGAGAGAGTGCGACGGTCGAAAATCGTCACGCAATATAAAAAAGGCGAGCATTTTCGCGTTATTTGATTCAATGTGCGCGCCCACGACATTTATATTTTATGGGTCGTGTGAGTGTGTGTCGTGCAGTCGTCAACATGAATTCAGCAACAAATTCGCCATGTGTGCGGCAACCAATAAAAGATACACTCTCGGAATCGAAGCAGCCGGCGAAAAGCATTATGCGGCGCAGTATAAAGCCGCCCGAGGAAGAGCGAAAGAAAGATACATGGAGTGCGGCGGAAATGCTGACAAAGCGCTGATAATGTCGCGATTTATGTCCTAGGCCTGCTCCGGCGCGACAACGAGAGCGACAATTTGATAATCATCCCCCGCACGTTGGGTTTTTCACAAAGAGCGACCTTAATAGAGGCTCTAAAAGATGTTCTAAAAGCTAATTAAAACTCCAAAAGTCGTGGGCGCCATATGAAAAGTTTTGCTCTTTTTTGTTGCAATGCTACTAGTTTAATACGTGGGCCAAAATTGCAAAGTTTTGAAAGGGAGGAACGCGCGCAAATAGGCAACCTGTAAAGCTTAGGCAACCGTCTCAAGCACGTCCGTCCCGTTTGCTGCATAACTCCCTCAAGATTGCTCGCAACTCGCAAATTCGCCACGTCTGCTAGAAATCACGGCATTCCAACACCAGCGCTCGGTGTCGGCTGTTTCTGCTTTTAAATTCAAATCAGACTCGGGTGTGTGTACAAAAGGTCTCTGCTTATTTCCTCAAATGTCTTAAGTTATTTCAAACGCAAGAGTGTCACATATAACCTGCGTCGTCTTACATACTTTGAATATTGCCGCGTAAGTTGAATTATATTTTAACTCGATGAGAAACATAATATCAAAATCCATTCTCAGGTTTGATTAATTCATTCTTCAAGGGTCAAAAACTGAATGTGATAATATAAAACTCTACACAAAATATCAGTAGAAGGATATTGAGTCTTTTTGCATCCATGCGATATAAATCTCAAAAAATATTAAAAGCAGTTAAAAAATACTTTAAATTAGCATTAAAATTAGTTTGTTTATATTACGACTGATTCAATCAAACTTAAAATAATGAAAAGTTTGTTTATATTTTAGTAGTTTGAACAAATTAAATTAAATTGAACATGGGCATCTTTCATATAAAAAATTTAATTAGTTAAGAAACTTAAAAACTATTATTAATTCAAAATTTCGTAAGTATTTATGCATTTATTAATCACAAAACATAATACCAATGCTACATACACATTTTATTATAATTATGAAAATCTATATTACTTTAAGGATATTAATTAATCTTACAATTACATGAAAGATTTGTATTGTTTTTGTTGCTTTCTGTGTTGATAATAATTTGCTCTGAATAGACGTTTGCATTCTGAAAAAAACTTTATTTATTTGGCTGAACAGGACAGTTAATAAACGAGGCTAATCTCAAAGCTGCTTGGGCGTTAAAAGACGCCTGCTGAGCATAAGCAAGTCGCAGAATAAACTGTGAACACATGGTGGTTATAAATCGCTAACGGACGAGGAAGGAAGACGCGGAAAATAAGCGGCGAGATCGAAAATAGCACCGCGAAAGGCGAAAGGGTTGCACCGCAGCAGCCGTCGCGGGGCTCGTTTCAGTTTTTCCCTTGGCGAGCAAGATGAACGTGCAGTTTTTCGCGTTTTTTTTCGCCTGGCTAGGGTCGCGTCTGGCGTTGCGGTGCCGCCATTCAAATTGGATTGTGGCGGCCAAGCAGCCAGCCAGCGACGTGCATGGCAGTGGCGAACCACCCAGCAAGTTGTCACTTGTCACTGGGCCGCAAGCAATGACGCTGAGGTCACGTTGGACGACCCGCAACACACCCGAGCAGATTTTACAACCATTCGCCAAAAACAAGACGGTTCTGTGTCAATTTCTCCACTTTCATTGCGTTCAATAAATAAATGTGTGTTGGATTCGAAACGAAAGTGAATAGAAATTGAAATAGATAGTACCAAAAATATAAGGCATTATTTATGAAATATTTTGATTTTTGAAATTTAAGGAAGTAAATTTATCGTGTTCAAAGTATTTTGTTTATCTCGTTGCATATAAATAAATATGCGATACTTTGTGAATTGTCAGTGACGTTACAAGCTATGTGCTCAATTGAGTTGAAAATAAAACCATAAAAATCAGGTTTTTTACTGTTTGATATAATATAGTTTATGTATAGCAACGAGAATTCTCCTCATTTTATTTATTCATTTTATTATTTTCATAGATTTGTTTTATGGATGCGTACTTGTGTTGCTGATCTTTTAATTCATAACATTGAAGATAAAAATGGAAGAGGAAAATTTTTGTTTCAGGTTAATTAAAAAGACTGAATTTTGTCCCACAAGTCTCTCCCACAAATAATTGATTATATTAATATGGTAAAATACAAAAATCTGTGAATCACTAAAATTGTCGCAATTGTCGTGTTATCATCACTTGAAAGTGAATCTCTGTTTTATCTATCTCGTTTGCGATAAAATCAGCAGCTTGGTGACTAATATTAAGACCCATTAAAGCAGTAGGGACTAACTAAGCCAGCCATCGAGCGAGCCGAACTATAATAATGATCCGCCTTGCCAAGTGGCTGGAATGACACAGAAGCGGCCTTGGTGCACATGCACCGCACTGGAGTGAGCGAGGGGACTGCATGCACCGCTGCTAACAAGCCCGCGGCTTCGCTTTCGCGCGAATTTCCATAATTAGTGCGGTAAAAACGGCCGCCGCTTCGTTTCGTGCTGGCAGGGTGCGAAAAAGTTACTTTTTCGCGTGTTCCATTAAATATATACACTGTGGGCCGCAGAGCCTGCTGAGAGCCGTGCGGGCACGAAGTTGCCATACTGATTATGCCAACGACCGCGTCACATCGACGAAATTCATACCCCACAGACTTTTCGTGTGCCCAGATTTAATCTGGCAGCGAAAAAATTGAAAAATAAATTAAAACAGTTTTTCACTCTTTTTCATGAATAAAAAATTGAAAATAAAAAAAGTAATGAAATTTTTTAAATGATTATTTCTTTATTTCAGCAAAAAATTTGGAAAGAAATAAAGTAAAACTTTTTAATGGCGTTTGAGAAAAAAAAATTCAGCTATATGAAGACTTTCCAATGAATGAATGCATTCTAATAATCACCAAAAAATTAATAGTTAATTGGTAGACATTTAAAAATAAAAATATTGTCACACGCAATCAACCAGACCAACCAGCGGCGGGGGAAACAATTTAAATCAAATTAAGATTAATTAAATAAAGCATTTGGCATTTTTTTTTAAAATTGAATTCTTTGCTTTTTGGCGCCAACATCACATCTTACAAAACAATATTAGACAATTCTTGTAGTTGTAAGTTAAAATAAATGCCAATTTTGGAAATTGCCTTCTTTATGATATTTTTTTAACATTTGCTAGGAAAATTTTCTTAAATGAATTAAGCGCAATTTGAATTAGAACAAAACTTGAATGTAATTACGTAACAATTAGAAAGCGAAAAAGTAACATGCAGACGATTTTTTGTTTCGAGTCATTTGATCGAGCGTAACTTTAGCCACAACCACTCGGGGAAATGAGGTCTTCAGTTTTTTTCACATTTTTTGCTGGTACGCCGACCCTAATGCAGGGCAATTGCACCCAACCATAATACATTTTCCACTGAAAAGCATGTTATTTTTTTTTCAATTTATTGATAACGGAGCGCTGCGTGCGGGGCCGCAAATTTAATTAGCGCGACCAGACGGAATATTGTGGGCGCCATGAATATAAACATGGTGTAAATGTGTGCTCTGGAAAAGGGTGCTCTTGTGTATCTCTCTCTCTCCAGCACCATAGTTGAATGAATGCCAGGCAGTGCGGGAGAGAAAAGGATGGTTACATTGCCACTCGACAAATCTCCTTCTATCTGTGCCCTCCAATTAAAAACGCCAACCAGCCACACTTTTATTGCACGCCCGGCAGATAAGAGGGTCTGTCTCTCTCGCGCGCGCGACTGCATTTATAGCAAGCAAGGAAAAGAGAGCACCAAATCGAGTTTGGCTTTTGCTCTTTTTGCGGCTGAGACTGTCATGTGATAGCGCAGGGATCAGGACACTGCTGCGGGAGGAAGCGTTACGCAAAAAACCGCTATCACTGCAAAATGATCGCTTTGCGTGCAGACACTTGATTGTTTGGTTGAGCTCAACAGAAAAATGGAAAAAATTATTCAAAGCATAAATCATCAAATAAATGTAATCAACCATTTAAAATGGTAAATTTCTTGTGTTTATTTTAAGTTGCGATTTGCCCTTCAATTGTTGAACTTTCTACAATTTCAAATTTCTTTTTATTGTAAAATTACATTACATATTTTTAAAGAAGGTCAAATATAGGTCAAAACTTTCGAGGTTGATGAAATTTTGAGACCATTATATTTAGGCCGATTTAGGCTAATTTGCAAAACACATGCAAGATGTTTTAGGTAATTATATCAATTGCCAGAGTTTCCATCTGGAAAAATGTAAAAGCTTGAGTTGTATTTGATAAACTAGAAGATTTTAATCAACCGACAAATCAAATTTGTCAGTTTTAACCGGTGTATCTGAAATAAGGTGGAATTTCTTTTGGCAAACTTACTGAAAAATATAAATCATTGTAGATTAAAATTTTCAAATTATAATTTTGCATAGCTTAGCCATTAAAAAAATGTTTGTATTTTTTGTATATTTATTAGAAATTTTCTTCCTTGCCGATTTTACTTATTTTGAATTTGTAACTGAAGCAATCAGAAAACACAAATTATAACTCATTTACTAAAATTTCACAACATTCTGAAACAGATTTTGTATTCCATTATTTCAGCGTTTTTAATTAAACAACGATAATATATCACTTGTTTATTTTGTAAGTAGGCCTGTGCTGCTGGAAATGACGTCAGATTCTGCGAACTTGCGCGCATCGGCTCTTCTCAAGATCGTATTTAACTGCGGCGGCTGCGGCGCAGATTACTCGAGTGGTGCCCCAGAGCGCGACTCAAATCAAACAAGGCAAGTCAGGTGACCGCTGAACCCGTTTTATTTCATTCAAGTGCATCTCGAAGCTGCATAATTAATTGGAAAATGCACCGCGGCTGCCTCGGAGTCACGAGAATAAAGAATATACTGACTCAGCCACAGCGATAAGAGAGAGAAAAACCATTGAAAAAAAAGAGCGGCTGTTCCTCTTCCTGGCTACATTCGGTGACTCACATACAAGAAGCAGCAGCGCCGGCCTTTAATAATTAATTTCGCAGAGCGACGCTGAACAAACTTTTTTTATTTCTTTCTCTCTTTCACTCCCTTTCCGATGGAGTGTTGAGAAAACAAACGGCTGCATGAGTAGTGTGTCGAGAAAATCGATCCGAATATGAGAGAGTGAAAACAGAAGTGCAGGGAGGTGCCGCGCTATGTTTTTTGGCAACTCCTATTGCGGCTTCATTTGAAGACGACGGCCTTGAATAAGCATGATCGGCATTGCCCAATACGTGAGCAAAAAATTAATGGCTTCCGTCATCGCAAGTAGTGTGAACATCATTAATAAACTTGTTGAACAAAATTATTAGAACGACGAAGAAATGAATCTTACCTCTGTTGCTTGACGCACACATTGGGCCCCTCGAGAGCCGATGCGGCCGAGAGCAACCCCAGTAGCCACAGAAACAACATTTTAACGTCCTGGAACAAAAATCAAACAATTTTTAACTGGATTTAAAACAATTACATTTTGGTAGTTTCCATCAGAAATTGCAAGGAATAAAAACATACACCTTTGAGGTGTAAAATTTATTTAAATTTAATACAAAAAAAATGAGAAGAAAGGGTTATTTAATATTAATAGGGGTCAATAAAAATAAAACACTAAAATCCAGTTTCATTCCTTTGCGGATCACAAAACTGGTACAGCTTCTGATTGAAAACGAGAAGAACTAAATTTCATTGTGAGCATGAAATAATTAGTGGTCAATTGGATTGAAATAAAATTATGAAGAAAGCTACGAATTAAAAAAAATGTTATTATTAGATAAGTTACATAAGAACGAAGAGTATAAAAATAATACACAAAAGGATTAAAAAGCTATTCTAAACAAAAGAAAAAAATTATTTTGATACGCTTCAGTTGAATGAAACACGGTCAATGAACTCCATTGCTATAACTCATATTGTCAATGAGTGCGAGAAGCTAATTTACTTAAATGGTTTGCACCTTTGAGCTGAAGTATGAATTTCGCACTGCACTCGGGCCGCTGAAGCGTTCATAAATGAAAGGAATGTTTAGCAAAATTACAAATCAGTGGAATCCCCAAATTTTGAGAGGGAAAATTTCTAACTAACACTGTGTCAAATACACCGGACAGTGTCTAATTGCAGGAGGAAAAATTGGAACGATTGCCTGAGACTCTTAAGTTTAGCAATCATAAGAAAAAAGTCCCAACGCGACCATCTCCGCTACTGTGATGTCATTGCAATAATCGGCTGATAAGTTATGGGGTTTCAGCACCACCGATTTAAAGTTCAATAAGAACAAAAAAATCTATGCACTCAGCGAAAATTATAGTTATTGGAAAATTAAAAGTGGAAATAAATTGAGATAAAAAAATAACGGCTCTGATGTAATAAAATAAATCTTAGAAAATATGGGAAAAGTTACAGCCTAAATCATCTCTTTTTTTATATTTAATCGGATCTTCTCTCAAAATGAGCCGAGAGAACATCGGATTTTACCTAAAGAGCAAAATCCAAGAAAAAAAGTCAATTTCAAAACAATGAATGTTTTCTTACAATACGTTTGCTTAGGGTGGGTTTGTTTTAAATCACACAAAATAAATTTAGCCTGAATCACTTGCAACCAGCGAAATGAAAACAATTTATAGCCACGAAAAGCAACAAGAATTTGCTTTGATCAGCAGAAAAACTGCAAGAGCGGTCTCGCGTTTGCTTTTCGCTAAATTCAACTTGTAAACTGAGTCTCATTAAACACCAGCCCTATCGCATTCCACAAACCCAATGCCTGGTCATAATACGTTTAGGTGCAATTAGAGCGAGTACATTTGAATATTATATACGATTAATAATGATTATGTTTGTGTGTATGGCTGCATGAATAACGGACCCCAACTCCTCAATTGTCGGAACAATCGTGTCGTCATGCATGCCACAATGAAAGGGACCGTGACACAAGCGTCCGTCGGGATGCGATGATGGGGTACAAAGTATTAAATCGCGGCGCGACCCGCATCATCCCATAAAAGAAAGCTGACCAAGTTTGACAGCTGCCGAGTGGGCGAAACTTGGTGATTCACCTTCGGGTGGTTTCAATCCCGACCTGGCCATTTTCGGCCCGACAACGCCCACGACCCTCGACAGGTACGACCTGACATTCCACGGGCGAGAACACATAAATTGGATTCAAGTAAATTGTGCACTTAATTGAGCTCAAGTGTGTCCCGTGGACTGAAGTGTCCGAAGAAGGACGAAAACGTACCTTAGAGACTGCGGAACATGTCGGACACCTGTTTCGTCCGCGACAGCCCAATTCACAGTAACCCTTTGGGCGCCGCGCTTCTCAACCCTTGCTTAGGCGCACCCCAAATTCACACACTCTCTGGAGACAAGTTGCGACTGTGACTTCTTCTTGTGTTGACTCTGCCCTGCTGATGCTGCTGAGTGCTGAGCTGTCCGCGGTTCGCGCATTTTGCGTCAGAGGTCAGCACCGACACGCGGCCGCGCGATGAAGAAATTTTAATATTCACTGTTTATAACGGGAATTTATATGTACATTTATTTTTTATGAAAACAAATTTACTAGGAGTAAAATTTTAAATAGTGAAGCACTACTTTATTTATTCTAAAAATCAATTCATTATTTCTCTTCATTGAATATTTTATTTAAAAAAAGTAAAATTTTAATATATTTTATAAAATTAAGAATGCACTATTTACCTTTTTTATACTTTTTTTGTTTGAACCCTTTAAACAGTAGTGAAAATACATTTTCTTAAATTTATTATTTTCATTTAACCCCTTGTAATTATTATTGAATTGCGCTCCGAAGGCGTTTCCCAGGAGCGAGTGCCTAAAGCATCTCCTAGTAAACGATGCGCTCCTGATACTTGGTCAGGATAAATCGCTCATCTCGTGACGCATATGCGGACGTCTACACGTTGTAAGATGATCTTTCAAGTTTACAGTCAATTCTGTGTATTTACTCAGAAATCAAAAAATTTTCAATCAATCTCATTAATGCAATAATATGTATTAAATCTATATATTCTTTGTATTTATTATCATATTATATCTGCAATATTAATTATATGAAGTCGATCTGTATAAAAAAAATTATTTAAAAGTTTTGGTTCTTATTTTATTTGAAATTAAAATGATTCTGCATCATTTGTGATAATTTTAGCGCATAATTCTTTGTTGATCTCAATAATTTAGTTGCAGATGTACAAAAAACCCGTGCAAAATTCCAAAGTAAATACAGAATGAAATATTTATATCAGCAAAATACTTCATTATTATATATAACAATTATTGACAAAATTTAAATCTAAATGCTTTTATTTGTTTTTCGTAAAAGAAAATACAATTTCATAAGTTACACTGAATTCCATTTATTTTTATTTTTGATATTATTGCCCTCTACAATGTAGTAAAATGAACAGAGCTGTTTCTGCAGAAATTTCCTCAGTTTAAGGGAAGTTGAAACTTGAAACTGAATCTGAGCATGTCAATTGACATGAGAATTTCAATATATGTTGGTTCGATAAGCACGAGCAGACACAAAGGGGAAGGCACCTTTGATTTTCAAATTTTCAGTCACCTCAATTTTTTTTACCTCAGCCATGAGGAACATTTGCATCATATGGTAAACCTGCGCATAAATGTGATCCCCTCGGTTTATCTTCAAATCGTCATAGACCGACAAGATTTTCTTGCACAGTTGCTCGTTTCTCAGGAGAGTTAAAGCAGGAAGAACAACTTTTGTGCCTTCAATTATATCATCAGCAATGTTTTCCATGAAATTTACAAACAGAGGAATTCTAGGATCTGGATGTTCAATCCTCAATTCCTCGCGGGCCACTTCTATAAACAGAGATTCCCAATCTCCCACACAAGCAAGGCACTTGCAGTCAAGATTCCTAAATTTCAACAATTGTGATCGCCGATCTTGTAGATCCATGATCTTTGCCCAAACGTCGAGGTGAGCTACAGTGATTTCCTCACCAGGAGGAATTGGGCGCAGAGCCCGAACTGCTGCCTTTCTTCCATAGAAAAAGCAGGCAGCGTTCGGTTCACACGAGTGGCTGATGGTGGAAATTTTCGGATAAAATCCGTATGCAAAATATTGAGCTTCAGCCACCCATTGGTCAATATATGGAAAGGGGACCAATTCGTCGGCATGATTAAGTCGGGGCATTAAAATGGGCAAAATTTTGTTCAAGAAATTGAAAAGTTTGAAGCTGGAAGTGGAATCAGAGGGATAAACCGCCTGTGCCATGATCGCCAATACTAATGATTCCAAAGGGTAGCGAATGTAGCGATAGTTTTGCAGAGTACCATGTTTGAAGATGTCCTTAATGCGCACATCAGCGTTTTCGGACAATTGGCCATTTTCCTCCAGAGCATCGATGCAGTTCTGCAGTCCGAAAAAGGCCAACAACTTGATTGCGAGGTCAGCATTAGCCATTTTGTTTGGGCACTCCATTCCTGTGTCCTTGAAGGCTTCAGAGAGGACAAACTGCTTGAGTCCACATTCAAATTTATGATACTTTTTCCAAGCTTCATGCTGGCACTTGACGCTGCAGTAACATTCCTACAAAAAATTAAATAAATAAAACATTACTAAAGTGTAATAGTGTAAGAAATTTAACTTAAGAGAAGATAAAAAATGTAACACTCTCACAAAACAAAATTAGATATACAAGCAATTAAAAAAAATAATCACTAGTTGTAATTAATTATATTTTTATAATATTTGGAGTAATTGAATTTAATGTGTCATCATTTTACCTTTAATGCTATTTTGATTTAAATTTATTTTAAAGCTATTATATTTTTTAATACTAAAGCCCAAAACAGCGGCTCTTTTTTATATTATTATTCTATTTCTTATTTTTAAAAATAAGAATCGTGAACTGTGATTGGTTCTTGGATTTCGAGTTAATATTTTTATTTTAAAACCAAGCTGCTTGGCCGAGCCAAGCTTTCTTAAATAAAAATTTAAGAATTCACCAATGAGCGTGCCAGAAAATAAAAAAATAAGGGTGGACCAATCAGGGGGATGCGATCACACCCCCAAGTGGAGCGCGAACTTTGAAACTGGTATTGCACGTGTCAGGTAAAGTTCTCAGTATTTTAATTCGACGCGTTAAAATTGTTTCGACACCTTCTTCATTCATAAAAAAAGTTATTTACGCTCTTACTTATGATTTGGAATACATAAAAAAATTATTATATAAATTATAAAATAAATTTAGAAATCTTGTATTTTTTGTCATAATGCTGGCTATGAGTGTCACAAAATTACTGTTATTCTCTGTAATAGACTCTTTTTTTTTGCTAAAACTTGTGAAAAAATAGCATTCCGATTGATTGTTCTGAAGAAATTAAGAGAGAAAGATCAAAAAGTTTGAAAGAAACTTGTTTGTTTGAGTACCCAGCTGATCGCGCACACTATTCTTTTTTAAAATAAGGAGACAAGCCGCTGTTTTGAGTCAGCGCGTTATCTCGTTATTTTCTTATTTTTAAATATAAGAAATAGAATATTAATATAAGAAAAAGCCGCTGTTTTGGGCTTAACAATGAGAAATTTACCCATGAGCAAGATGTGCACGGCTTCATGTTGACGCACATTTTGAGACAATTGTGGCAATTTGTCCAAATCCTCATGTCTGCTCGTGTTGCAGCGTACGAGACCATGCCATACAGAGTGGGCTCTTCAATCAAGAGGGTATCGCCTGGAACACATAATTACGTTGAATTATAAATTTAGTGTAAAATAAAAAATTGATTGTAATGATTTTTTTTTTTTTTTGTTTTTTAGAAATTTTACTAATAAAACAATGCATTAGAATTGTTCAAATAGAATGCTCTCACCTGTTTCAAATTTCTCCTTGGCTTTGAAGGAAGATGGTTTTCCTGCATCACCTTCTTCGAAAACAATTTCTGGTGATAGGCCTCCCAGCGGGGATGGAATTTTGCAGTGAGCCAGAGAAGGAGGCTCTCTGTAATGAGCCACACGGATTTTGGCGTTTTTTGGGAGGCGAAGAAAATCAAGCGGCTCATTCTTATCAGTTGCTGAAAAACCAATTTTCAGGGCGTCCTTAAAGCAAGCCTCCGCTTGGTCTTTCCTTCCGAGGGCATTGTGGCACGCAGCCATCCGGAAGTAAAGTTTGAACTTAAGTTTCTCTGGGTAGTCGTTTTTCAGGGCGTTCTTGCAATCCTCGATGCACTCTTCGCAAAAGCTCAGCTTGAAGAGGACGGCGCCACGGTTGGCATAGGCGATGCCTCGATCTTTGCTGCCGGGAGGAGCCATGCAGATGCTCTTGGTGTAGGCGGCGATGGCTTTCAAATTCCGTTCCGTCTTGAAATAAATATTGCCCCTTTCCTTTAAGGTGACAGGGTCCAACTCTGGGCAGAAAAATCTTGTCTCGACGCTCCTCTCATCAAAGTACAAATCGCCCGGGAGCGACATTATTGCAGGAGCTGAATGCACTCCTCTAGTTGGCAAATGCTGCAACAAAAAACAAAATGAAACTTATGGAGATTGTGAAATCTAAAACTCTAGTCATTATCATTAAAATATTTAAATGTTTTCATCAGTTTTCATTCTTCAACTATTTTTAGGCAATTTCTTTATCAATTTGGTTCATTATAATTGGTTTGAAAATTAAGTTTCAAAATCGGTTTTTCTCATAAAAATGAAATTCAAACAGAAATTTACCCTAGGTAAGCCCAAGTTGTGTGTTTCAGAACTAAAATTAGACATCAATTTATTTACCCAGATTCGATCATAACTTTTTAAAACTTTCTAATTCTTTAATTTTTTAAATTGAGCAGTATTAGAATGCGGTCATAAAAATGTTTCCCTAGGTGTGCTAACAAAGTTGATGACTTGATGATTTGATTATATTAATCTTTAGTTTTCAACGCTTGATAATTATCTAATTCTTTCTCTGGGACGAGCTATGCTGTGCGGTATCCCATGACATTTTAATAAAATCTCTAACAAACGGAAAAAGGCATAGTATTTCATCTACATCTACAGTAATTACATAATTCAATTAAATTACAAAATCGGGCGATTCCAGAAATTTAACAAACCACAGGTGGCTATGATAAAAAAAGTGAAAATCAAGTAAAACACAATTAAGAATCTAGAATAAACCATATTAAAACTGGAGAAGCCGTTTTTTATTATTAAAATCGTCTTTAGGGGGTAAAGCCCGTTTCCTTCATTCCAAAAATCTGCACTAATATGCTTAAGAATAATAATGCCTACCTGCGACTTATCGAAAGTGAATAATTTTTTTTCTTTCGTTTGACTTTGAACAGTTGTTTTTAAGTTTTTTAAGCTAGCGAGTCAGGAACCCTGATAAATTCTTTAGATACAACTCAATTTTGAAATTTTTTAGTTAAGTTCTTGATATGAAAACCTATCCAATTGGAGTCGAGCGCACATAAAAATAAATCCTTTCTTTAGAAATATTTATTATAAATCAAGATACTTAAACCTGCCACATTAGGATAAAATAATAAAATCTTTCAATACTCCAATTTAAAAAAAAAAAATTCTTAAGGATAGGGAATAGCGCTTTTCCTCCCATTTGCGCCCATGCGCGAATACCCTAATCAATACTGACTGTGAATCAAAGAGGAAATTAAATTTTCTAGGATCTCTAAATGCAAATATATGTACATTATGTGGTGCTAGAGATTAAACAGTGGACGCACCTTTAAAATGCACATTCTTTCTTCCCCTGCATTTCTGCTATATATGTAGCTTAATCAAGGTAAATTTTCATTAGGGTGAAGCTGACCGCTGTCCCGCTGTTCCTATTGTGCATCAATAAAATGAACATCAGCTTATTTCCTGCGCTCACAAAATTGCCTGCGGCTATCACTAAGGGTCGCGCTGTATGATTCACGTTACACACTCTTTTTAGAGAGGTTTGATACTTTATTCCATTTCCTGCCATAAAGCTCATTTGTATGTATGCTTACTGGCTGAAATCCTATCAAATTAACAAGTTGCCAGCAGAAATTTTGAGAAATTTCTTGATATTTGATGAAGCAGGCGGAATCCAAAACCAAGGCGTGCAAGTTCAGCACCTCTCGCTCTTGTGTAACGCATTTTAAACATCTAACAAGCCAAAATACTTGGATTACTCTCCTCATTTTTAGCATCGCATTGCATGAGTAGTTAAAATATGCTCGTATTTTTTGGGTTCCACAGAGAAAAAAATCCTAATTGACGTTGAAGGAGAAAGAGCTGCATTCAGAACAATTAAAGAGATAAGGGATGCATGTCAGCAGCAGTGAAGCGACCCTCGCTGGCCGCCTCTCTTTTCGGGGACAATTAAGCAGCCTATGACAGAATGATGCACTCCACGTGAATGCTCTAATATGGGCTAACAATAAGAATGCCCTGGAATGACACTTTTACGACCCTGGCGCGCCAAACTCTTTTTAGTTGGACAGAGCACCTTGTTTTGTACTGTCCACAGGGATAAGAATGTAATAAGAAAAGGACCAGCCAGAACTTTCCAGAACTGATACATAATACGTATTATGTTATTTAATTGCTCAAAAATATTTTAAAATTTGAGTTGTTGCAGTTGGAGAAATTATTTTTTTGCACAGTAGTAACGCTGTGCAAACAAATTTATATGTATAATTTTTTGAATTAAATAACATTTCATTAAATTTTCTTTGTTCTATGTTTGAATATGTTGGCAAAAAAAGTCAGATTATAATCAGAAAAATGAATTTAAATTAAATTAACTTTAACTCTAATAAGGGATATTAAGATTTTAACATAATTAAGTAATAAACATATTAAATGGTTAAAATATAAATTGTGCAGGCAGTTTAATTTCAATGTGAATTAATTTCTTACGCATTAAAAAGCCAATCAAGTATGTTACTTGAAATTATGTTGTTTCCCTTCGCCTAAAAACTTTAATTGCCAGTGCATAAATCCTGCTCAGGATAATAACATGATGTTATATATTTTAATTGCTATTTTTTACGGCCCTGCATCCCGAAAAGCCTGCACCCTCAGGAAAAGGATATATATTTCAAATGCAACCATATGCTACGAGTTGCGAGGTATTTTTAAAAGGTTGTAACAGGAGATTCTTCTAGAACGCACCCTCTGGCTTTCTACCCTCCTGAATCATTCAATTCACCGCGGTTTTCTTTGCACTTGATAACCCCATTGAAGAACTGATTTTTTTCCATTTAAATTAAAAGGATCGGCCATAAAAAATCAATAAAAATTTATGTGTCAAAACATAAAAATTCTGCTTACATCGATCACGTGACGACCCTTTGGAGATCAGCTTCAGCTCACTCTGCTTCCCAAATCCTGACAAACCGCGACACCAAACAGCGTCAGGCTGCCGAGCGCCGAGCCGACTGAAACTGAAATGAATGGCTGTTGGCTACTGCTACTGGCTCGACCTTTGGGCTCTACAGAGAGAAGTGCACTGGCGAGCAGCCTTTCAAGCTGCAAGCGCATTGCAATGCTGGTGGCGCCTTGCTTGTCTCAAGATTTTGGTATTATAGCAAGATTTTAAACGGCAATTTATAAATAACTGGTTTGAGCAATTTGGAGCTTGTCTTTTATTTATTTAGCAAATTAATATACCCATTCTATAATTTACCTTTCTTTCAAAAAAAAATTTATTTTGAGAGAAATTAAATTATTTTTTTTTTTAAATAATATTAAAAAAATGTTTTTATTATAATTGATTGTTTGATAAAAAAATAACAATAAAATTGAAGTTATTTTAAACAAAATAAAATAACCAATAAAATTAAATTTGAAATGAGTAAATAAAATTTTAAAATATAATAACAGAAATAATAAATATTAATGTTTACTATATTTACATGCAGTTATTGAATCAATAAAAAAGTAAACTACGCTGAATTTAAGAAGAGTTTGCTAAGATTGGAATAGCTTTATTAACATATATGTACGTCAGTAAATAGTGTTATTTTCTAACAAACTGCATAATCAAATTTTTTTGAGTGGAGTTACCTGCGGTGACAGTCTCCTTTTCTATTAAGCGTTTTAGGAGACATCTGCCAGTTGTAAACCTTTTCTTCTTTTTTTCATTTTCTATTATTTTCTTGCCATAGAGAAGAGTTAAAAATAATATATTATCAAGTAGATCACAAACAAAATTATAAAAATATAAATAAATTTTCAAATTTTTTCATTTCATTTCATTTTGAATGCGATTTTTTTTAATAATTCCTTCAATCAAATAAAATCACTTAATTCATTTCAGCCCGTGCGGTAGTAAAGAACCGTTGCAAACGATTCGATATTTGAACGATATATCGCCCATACCGCCAGCGCCTCTCCCCACAACGGGTAGTAAAATACCGGGTAGTAAGTGTCCGCGGTAGTAAGTATCAGCAATCCAAGTATCAGGATAAGTATCAAGTTGAAAAACATTTGCTTATTTAATTGTTCTAATTCAATAACAGTGGTTTCAAAAAATTAATTATTTGAATTATTAAATTATATAGTTTGTATCAAAAATTATTTAAAATTTGAAGTTTTCCTTAAAATGAAAATAAATTATCTTTTATAAACAAAGGGGATATCCAACAAAGGATTATTTTAGCATTTAGTTGATCAGTTGTAATATCCAATAGGAATTATTTGACAAAATAAGTTTAATGATTGTACAGCTTTTACATCACAAATCTGGTCCCTCTCAGGCTCTCAAAGATAATATTATTTTTTAATTTGCCCTATAAATTTGATCCATCTTGGAAACAAATTATTTAAATTAATATTTTATTAAATTATATTTTTTTATTAGTTGAAAGTGAAGTCAGAAACTGATAGTAAATTAACGACAATTAACGAGAACTGACCTTCTATCTGCATTGCTATTTTTGGTCACTACCTCCAGCTTCAGTTTTTTTGCAGAAGAAAAACTAAAATCCACAAATTAGCAAATTTGATGAAAATTAAAAGAATGTTTACAGCACCTTTCTGAGCATTGAAAAACCAGAGCCAAAATCCTTGGAAATACTGAGATTGTTTTCAATCCACGATGGTAGTGCAGACCTGACATGTGGCGATTTGTACCTTTTATCCAGCAAAACCATTGCTGCGTAATCATTTTGGTGACGGATGGCTCTCCCAATGCACTGATTGACAGCTTTCATGCACAAATTATTGTAATACTCTGATGCTGGGTCTTTTCCTTCAGCCACCTGACACAAATTTATTTGTTCGGGAATCAAAATACATGACAAATGTTGACAAGCTTCATACCGATTTAAATTTGACTCTTTGATACTCCATTTTGGCCTGGAGTTCTAGGGATTTGATATTGGGATATGGAAGCCCAACAACTATCACACACCGACACAGTTCATCGGAAAAGTTGATGCCTTCGCTAAGTCGACCTCCAACAACTGATAACAGCATGGCTCCATTCCCAGGCGGTTTACAAATCGCCGCATATTCTTTCAAAACCTGGTCAACTTGTGAACTAGTGTCAGGCTCTTTAAACAACTGAAAAATTTTCAGAAACATCAAGTTGCAAATATCTCAATAAGTCTTAATTTCTTTACCTTTTTGCATTTCTCCAGACTTTCATCCACTGACTCTTCTCTCCAAATTCGATAAACTTGGTCCAGGTATTTATGAGATGGAAAAAATACGACAATCCCGTGGGGCACCACAGATGAAATGTTACTCAATGTGCGGCCTAACGCTTTGATCTAAAATTTAAATTTTGTTTATAAAAAAACACATCTGACAAGAAAAATTACCATTTCTCTGTTGTTCCGTGACTGGAAAGAGAAGTCAAACTCGCAGGGGTAAGGTGCATTGCTTAAGACAAGTGGCAACACATTTTCAGCTGGAACTACGTGTCCAAAGAAGTGCTCAACAATCCTTTCCGAGTCATTGAAAAGTTCGTGCCTGACGTCCCAAGTTGGTTTCATTGTTCCTCCTGCTAGAACGACTGCTCTTGCTTCTGCCACAATATCCGCAAACATGCTTCCAGGGTTCAGAAGAACGAACTTTATCAAGCTGTGATGCTGCCCTGAAAGGCACAACACTCTACCCGACTCGGTTTGACATGTTAGCTTATTCATCAGGTTCAGCACTGGTAGAATGGGGTTGATTCCGACGCCGCTGTCTATTATTGATATCCCTGATGCAGTATCCTCTTGGGCAGGCGGATTCGTGTCTTTAAAGTTATTTTGTTACTAAAGAGAAGCATTTAATATTATATAATACTACCTGCATTCTTTTTATTGACTTTGTTTAGAAAACTATGAAATCCTGTTTTTGGTGTAGTTTCATCCTTCTTGCTTTTTGGAGGCTCCAGAGTTGGATTAAAACGAATTGTGAAACCATTGAGCTATAAAAACACGATTTGGAGAAAAAAATATCAAAAATCAAATTTCCTAACCTTTTGTGCTAGTCTTGAGCACCTCGTGAAGTTAACCAATTCCAAAAGGTTGAAATCCGCTAGCTCAGATTTATTCAAAAACTCATTCATAGTAAAAACTTTTTCTGACTTCACAGATTTGTCTCCTGCAATATGCAAAAGTAAGATCCAATTATTAAACTTGTGTGCATCCAATATTGAATTACCAATCATAGAGGTGAGACGAGTTATCACTTGCAACAGCTGCCGGATTTTGAGTAAGTTTGCCGGAGCTAATTTTGTTTTGTATTTTTCAAGGTATTGGGCCAGTTGAGAGTGGGCACATGTAAGCTTCAGGACAAATTAAGTCAAGTTTAATTAGCCTTTAAGTAATATGGAAGGTTATTCAGTTAGATAATTACTTGCACTAAATTCACTTCCGTGGAATGAATACTGCTTTCTGTTTCCAGCAGATTGTGAGCTTCGTCAATTATGATTACGTTTCCCTTTAAATTTAATCCATAGGCTTCGCGAGATTCCTTTAGTAAGAGAATGTTGTAAGGAGCAATGATGACTTGGGCATCATCGACACTGGCTTTGGTGGCGTAATATGGGCAGGCATCTTCTTTCCTGCCTCTAAAGAATATTTGGTAAAGAGAAGGGAATCAAATAAATTTTAAAATTTACATCTGGACCAAATCTTCCATGTCAAGAACTTCAGTCATTGCTGACATTCTGATGAACTTCATGCCATTAGAATTGCAGGAAAAAGGACAGTTCTCTCTTTTCTGTCGCTTTGCCCCTGACGGTTTGGTTGATGATTTGTTCTGTCTCAGCTGGAGACATCTGGAAACATAAATAATGCAAGCATAGTGGTTCACTCATTAAAATAAGTTTCTGCAAACCTTTCATTAATCAGATTGGAGTTTTTGAGACCAACAACTTCCTCGTTGATACAATAGTTCTGTCTTGAACCAAGAGTAACAACTCTGAGATCTTTTGAATATGGGCTCTTTTTAATTTCAGACACAAACTGGGCCAACTGTGAGTGAGTTCGACTGCAATATATGATCTGAAACAAGTGTGTCAAACCACAATTAAAATTAATAATTAAGAATTTTTCACAATGCATAAAAACAATTAAAGTGATTGTTGTGATTGACATAATTTACACATTGTGTGTTCAATCATAAAGTTTTAAAAAGATAATTAAAATTCCTTTTCCTTCTGCATCATAAAACGCACAAAAATATTAACGAAAATTGCAATCAAGAAAAAACCACAAAACCTTGGGCAACCGCGCTTTCTCAACATCCTCTTCATCCTCTTCGTCACTAAGTTCAGTTTCTCCATCAACAAGCAGTAGATCAGAATCTAGAATATGCTGCTCTTTAGCAAGCTTGTTTTCTTGAAATTTATTTGGAACTGTCCTATTTCTTTGACGGAGCTCTTCTAGTTCCTGTTTTAACGATGACAATTAAAAACATAAAATTGATAAAAACAAAAAATACCTTGAATTTTTTTAATTCATTGGGATAAAGGCTTATCTGTTGAAGTTGCTCTTGGATTTCTCTGAGCGCTTTCTTGGCCTTGTCAGCTTCATGTTTCTTTCCAATCAACTTAAATTGGTCATTGAACCAGTCGTCCGAAGAATTTGAAGAGGTAGTCTCTTGGGCATGACTGTTGGCTTTAGTTTCCAATCGTTTCATTTCAGCCTCCTCAAAATCTTTAAGCCAGGCAACAGCCCCGCAAATCAAACTCATCGATTTGCCCTAAAATAAATCATGTTAAATTCAGGTCTGAGCAAAATTTTGAAATTTTATTACGGTGCCGGTCGGACTCTCCATGATGGCAAGCGAACCATTTTGCAAAACAGAATACAAGCTTTTCATAAAATTTGACTGATTGTCATAAGGTATGAACGGAAAAGGAAAATCACAACGCTGCTGTTCCATGACTTCGAATCGTAAAACAAGTTTAAATACACGAATATTAAAACATTTAAAACGAAAAATAAAATTAAGAACCAAGACAGTTCAATACAACACGCTGGTCTTGATTCTCTTCTCACGGCCTCACGGTAGAGGTCAGCACCAATAAGAAAACAATGAATTGATTTGATGAACTTTCAACATCTCGCGGATAATTTCACACAAAGATGGCGTTTTCCTCATCCTTTTCGGATGTTTGCATTCCGAGGAGATCCCGAGACGAGCGGGGCGGGGCATGTTGTTGTTGTTGGCCGAACGCGAGCGGAGCACCGAGTGCTTCGATAGCGCGAGTGTGCTGTAGCGGTACGGCGATGGCCGCTCTTGTGGCCTGTGAGTGAGACGGCCATGGCCGCCCTGGAGGAATCCTGGGCCGAAGTGTGCGAGCGGCACGCGCGACTGGCCGCCGGCGAGTTGGCCAAGGCCGTGGGCGGCCTCGAGGGGCGGCCGGGGTCGCGCGAGGTGGTGCGGCGCTTCGTTGACACGTTCGTAGAGGAGGCCGAGACGCAGCTGGTGGAGGCGGGCGGGGGCGGCTCTCCGAGGGCCTCCTTCCTGCGTCGCCTCTCCTTCAAAGGACTGCGGCTTTTCCAACGCAGCGAGGAGACCGCCGACACCGGACGCAACCGAAGACTGGCCAAGATCGTGGTCGAGTGCCGCAAGGAGGGCATCGTCAACTACGTCCTCGGCGAGCAACTTGACGGCCGCGAGCACAAGTGGGAAAAATGCCGACTTGCCCTTGTCAAGACAGTCGGCGGATACATGCTCGAGTTCTACTCACCCCCAAAGGTGCCGACCGCTCATCGTACCCCTCCCATTTTTCACCTTGCACCTTCAGGGCGACACACTTATTATTTTGGAAAAATTTAAAAATACGGATCAATTTTTAATTTTTTTTTCTAAATCACATTCAAATTTTATGATGTAGATTAAATTTAACATTTTTTATCTATATTGAAGTTTAAATAATCTCTTTTAATTGATTAAAAAGTTATTTAAATGATAGTGAATCAGCCATTTATTTTTATTTCATATTACAAAAATTGATGTCTTTTGGCAAATTTTCTGAATCCTAGAGGAAAACCGCGGATCGTATTTCAGAATCATCCGGCTGACCGCGCTTGCTTAAGTCGGCCCCGTGTATCACGCACACACTCGCGGCACCGGCATTTTTTGTTAACAAATTATTTCCTCCTATTGCGTGTTTATCCCGGAGGCATTCCCGCTACCGCTTCAATTCCCTGCAGCCGATCGATCCTGAGAAGTCGAATTGAAAGAGAGAGCAAAAAATCTCGAGAGTCAAAAGGGAATCAGCACGTCAATTGTGACGTCATGACCTTCTCGAGACGGAACCAAAATTATGATTCATCTGGTTTGCGTTAGAGAGAATTAGAATTCACGTGTGTCGCCCGTTCCCACGTCAATGCAAAATTTTCCAATTTGCACAACAAAACCTTAACGTTAAATAGATTTTCAAAAAATTTTCACAGGCTTCCAAGCCAAAGAGCGGAGTTTTCTGCTTCCTAATTGCCGAGGCGCGCGAGACGAGGGCTCTGGAAATGCCTGACCGCGAGAACACCTTCGTCCTCAGGGCGGAAAATAACATGGAATACATCATCGAAGCGCATGATGCGGACGACATGCGATCCTGGCTGGCAACCATCAAATACTGCATGCGCACCACTAGCCCAGATGACAACAAGTACAATTTATTTTTATTTTTCATTTCCGAAACTGAATTTTCATATCAGATAAATAATCTTGTACGTGTTGTTCGGAAAAACGAATTCCAAATTTTGAATTAACAAATTTGATCACTTTATTTGACTTAATTTTTTGCATAATTTTTTAATAAAAAATTTTAATTATAAAATTTTAATAAATTTGAATTTGAGATACCAATTGGGTGCTTGAGGAAATGCTCATGAATTGAAAGAGGGGCTTGTCCTTGTCTTTTGTTTTAAATGACCTTACAACAGTCCCGTCAGCCAAGAAGAAACACTAAGAAAAGCAAATATTAAATACCACATAATTATAAAATTTCTGCTTTTAATATATTTTCTTGATCATAAAATTGGGTTTCCAATCGTGACTGAAAATGGCAATTTTTTTTTTATTGAAAACAAATTTTTCAATAAGGACAAGCATAATTGCCTTTCAATAAAAGTAAAAAAATAATTCACAACGCTTCAAAAGATATGCCTTAATAATGATGAAAAACCAATGAACTGTTGTGAAAACAAGATGAGATTTGAGTTTATAGGTCACAGGAATAATCAGTTTGTTTGTTTCTTTGTTTTCGACAGCGCTGATGGACAAGATGTTAGAATCCGTGTGGAACGAGGCTCTCGTCCAGAGCCCATCCCCTCCCACAACACGGCCGCCTCGTCTCCGGCAGGGTCGTTGGGCGCGGCTGAAAACCCCCCTGAACTACCCCCTAGGGTACCTGGTGGCCTCAGGCTGTCGAGCAACAGCAACTTTGAGCTTTGCTCCAGCCAGCAAGAACTCGAAATGAGTGAGGACATTTTTTTTATGTTGTTTTCTCTAAAATTTGAAACTTTTCAGAATGTCATATGCCACATTTGTTTGCCATTATGAGGTCGTTGGACTAAATTTTATAATTATTTTTCCCTTGAAGATTCTTACAAACACATTCCTTCAATTCCAGTGGCTGAAGCAACTGCGGTTGGGACCGAACCGGACAATGCAGTGGTGCTGCGCGAATATCCGTGGTTCCACGGAACTCTTGCCCGCTCGGAGGCTGCCCAACTGGTGCTCAGTGCTGGGGCCAACGGCCATGGCGTCTTCCTTGTCAGACAAAGTGAGACAAGAAGAGGCGAATTTGTACTCACCTTTAACTTCCAGGGCAGAGCCAAGGTGAAAGTTAAATATTTTTTAATTTTAATTAAAAGCAAGATTTAAAATATGTATAAATCAAATTTGACTTGCAATGAAATTTAAAAAGGGGAATTCAGCTAAATTTTTATCATTTTAGACGTTTTTTCAGTTTTCTTTATATTCTTAAAATTTTGAAAACTTACAAATCACCTCTCGATGGGATTTATAAATAAAACTGGAAAAGTATTATCATTCTACTGTAAAAAATTTTGCTATTAATTTTATGTTATTCATTTTTATGCCCAAGCTGTCCATTTTAACACTTCATAATTTTTTTAATTTTCTTTTAGCATCTGCGAATGACCTTAAGTGGTGAAGGGCAATGTCGAGTTCAGCACCTGTGGTTTGCCTCCATTTTTGACATGCTGGACCACTTCCGCATCAACCCCATCCCCCTTGAATCGGGTGGCGCGTCCGACGTCACGTTAGCCGACTTTGTAGTGGCCGGTAGGACGGCCGCGTCTGGTGCTGCTGGTTCTGGAGGGAGCGGCCAACGGCCAGCAGCGCCTCCGGAGCCCAGGGAGCAAGTGGTCACGCATGGTGGATCTGTTCGCACACGGACCGAGTCGATGGAGCGGTTGGAACGACAGGCGGCCGGAGGCCGTGCTGTGGAAAACACGTACAGTTTTGTCTAGCGAGAAGTGAGGTTGGGAAGAAAGTACGAAAGCATTCCAGACTGATTGACAGTGGCCAAAGACAGGATGCGTGTGTGCATGTGCATTGTGTGTAAATCTAGTCCTCTGATAATATATTGTGTAAATAAAACACTCACTCATAATTACACATAATTATTTTTTCATTACATTTTTTTCAGATAAGTTTTTATCAATTTCAATTAAAAAATCAAATATTTTTAATTCAATTTATTGTTTTCCCAAGCATAAAGAATAAAATAAAAAAAATCACAAACAATGAGAGACTGGAATATTTTCTATAATAAATAAATAGCTCTTAGTACTGGCCAAGATTTTGTTTATAAAACAATTTTTTTTGTATAGGACATATTACTTGATTTAAAAAAAAAAATACTGCATCAGAAAAAGAAAATTTTCTCAGAAAAATCTTATCCTATGAGTAGCAGATAAAATCCCAATTTGTTAATATGGATTGCTTGTTCGCATTGCACCAAATAGTTCTCCAATGAATCACGAGGTCAGTGATTTGATTACGCATCCAGAAGAGATGCTGAGAAAAGAAAGTGCCTGATGGGAAGGACCTACTACGATGCATAATTATTTATGCCACTAATGCTGAAATACAGAGATACAAAAAAATCCTCCCTCTCCCCAGATTACGTTTTTCCTTTTTCGAATTGCAAATAGTTTTCCTTGATACAACATAATATCGTCATTCGTAAATCCGCCGCGGTACGGGAAGGAGACCCAAATTGGCGCCGCTCTACAATCAGAAACGTTCGATGGTGCGACGCGTGCGCTGTGTCCTGGTGTCCCAGCCCGTGGCTAGTGCGCCTGCGCCTGGCCCATTGCGAAGTTTGCGAGCCTGTTTCAGATTTCCAAATCGATTTGCGAGTCGCCCCGCTTCTGATGAGGCCCCGCGGCTAATCGCGCAGCCCCAGTGCCGGCAACGCTCCGCCGTCGGCTGCCCCCACGTCTGCCCTTCCGAAGTGGCCACTCGGCAGGCGGCCGCGCTGTCCAGGGGGTCTGAGCGGCTGAAAAACGGGCCTTCGACTCCCTCCGACGGCCATCTTAGTTTTGACCGACCGCGGTTTTCAGGTGATGGCCCAAAACTGAAGACCGCCGCGTACGCCATGCCCGCCGTAGCCAGGTGAGAAACAACCATACAATTCATTGAGCAACTTTATTTACTCCGAGGGGGCCCACGGGGCCCGTAATCCGTTCACTTTCTGGGCCCTGAAACACCTGCAGTTTCTGTCAGTTAACCGGTTACGCTTTTTTTAAGAATCGGTGCAAATTATTTAACCGGTTTTGTAATTTTAAATCGGTTTTCAGCCAGTTTTTTTGAAAATTGTCCAGTTAACCTGCAAATAATTCGGTATTATTGGAAGAACGGTGTTTTACCGGTTATTATTAGGTATTATCTAAAAATTTCATTCAAGTATGATTATAAATTTGGCAAATTTTCGCCCTCTTGGCTCGGTTTCCTGCAAAATGTTCTGGCAGCCAAAGCTATTTTCGCAGGTCGACGGCCTTTTCGAGGCGCCTTTTGCTGCCGTGCTCGCGTTATATGCTCTATTTTCACCGTCAATTATATTATCTGATCCAGTTTTTGACGTGCACACGCCAAATCGCGCATTCGCACACAGGAAAGGTGCAATATAACGCGAATTCCTCGGCACCACTCACAAGAAGGCACCTTTCCATCAAAGGAACCGCGAAATCGCACCTTAAAAGGAAGGAACATCCTGCTCTTGGCGACGTTCCTTCCAACAGGGTTACGCCTATCCATCTGTCATAATGCAGGAATTTTGTGCGCTAAAAGCTAACCCCTGTGCCCTTTTCCTTTTTTCAGGCCGGGCAGCCTGAAGGACCCGGAGATCGCGGAGCTCTTCGAGCGCGGCGATCCGGAAAAGACTTTCGAGGACCTGCGTGAGATCGGGCATGGCTCTTTCGGCGCCGTGTACTATGCGCGGCACGTGCCAACCAGGGAGATCGTGGCCATCAAGAAGATGTCCTACCTGGGAAAGCAGTCGGCCGAAAAGTGGCAGGACATCCTTAAAGAGATTCGCTTCCTGCGCCAGCTCAGCCACCCCAATACGATCGAGTACAAGGTGGGTTGTTTCATGATCTCCCACCTGATTATTTTTCATTAACATTTTAATTTTAAGGGCTGCTACCTGCATGACAACACGGCCTGGCTGGTCATGGAATACTGCGTCGGCAGCGCCTCGGACATCCTTGAGGTGCACAAACGACCCCTGATGGAAGAGGAGATCGCAGCCATCTGCGAGGGTGTCCTCAGGGGTCTTGCCTACCTCCACTCAATGGGCCGCATTCACAGGGACGTCAAAGCAGGCAACATACTGCTCACTGAGAACGGCGTTGTCAAATTAGGTGGGTTTCAAAAGTTAATAAAATGTGTCCCATTAATATTTAATCTAATAAGTAAGATTTTCCTATTAAATAAGTTTTTATTCTTTCATATTCACAATAAATAAAATTAAGTTGAGCTCAAATTTGCCATTTTTGCAAGAATATAGAATATTCGAAGTGCTTGTGAAAGTTAATTTGATTAGGGAAATTGATTTTCTATGACGCGCTGCATACCAATTGTAGAAGAATGTTAACAATGTGTAACGATTTTTTTAATAACTTCAAAACCAATGTATTTTTTTCATGGTCCATCAAATAATATTATAAATTTAATCTGAATAACAATATTGATATATTTTTTCCCTTTCCTTTTCCCAGCTGATTTTGGTTCTGCGGCAACCAAATGTCCTGCCAACTCTTTTGTGGGTACTCCATACTGGATGGCGCCAGAGGTGATTCTGGCAATGGATGAGGGACAGTACGACGGCAAGGTGGACGTCTGGTCCATGGGCATCACATGCATAGAGTTGGCCGAGCGCAAGCCGCCCTATTTCAACATGAACGCGATGAGTGCCTTGTATCACATTGCTCAGAACGAGTCGCCGCAACTGCAGGCGGCCGAATGGACCGATGTCTTCAGACACTTTGTTGACGCTTGCCTGCATAAGAATCCGCAGGACAGACCCACCTCTTCCAGACTCCTTTCAGTACGTCTCATGTTAATGTTCTTTTTTAAAAACCATTTAATTTGAATCGCTGTGAATAATTGTTTCTTTATTATTTTCATTTAATTAACTGTTTTTTCTTATCAGCACCAATTGGTCACACGGACCCGCTCACCAACCGTGTTGATCGACCTTATTGGTCGCACCAAGGCCGCCGTGCGTGATCTCGACAACCTCAATTACCGCAAAATGAAGAAAATCTTAATGGCCGATGAAAACGACGCAGGTGCCAGTGATGAGGGCAAGAGCAACTCTGTTACCTCCGAGCACAGTCTGCACTCGGTGGCCGCTTCCGTGGCATCGACAGGCTCCAACAGCAGTTTGGCCAATCCCGAGGCACCTCCTGTTCCGCCACACGCTTCCACGTCCGAAGAGCTAATTCCAATGAGGCCGCATGCCTCCAACTTTGCCACTATCAGGACGACGTCAATTGTGACCAAACAACAAAAAGAACATATGCAGGAGGAGATGCATGAGCAAATGTCGGGATACAAGCGTATGCGGCGTGAACACCAAGGTGCTCTGCTTAAACTTGAAGAGCGGTGCAAGGTAATTTATCATATAATTCATAATTCACCTTTCTTGAGATGATAGTCTTTTTAAAGATTTAAGTTGTTTAATTTTATGAGATTCAATTCGTACAAAATAATTAATTTTTAAAATTGTGTTGAAGGTTGAAATGGAGGGGCACAAGCAAGTGCTAGACAAGGAGTATGAAGCTCTGCTGAGTCAATTCAGCAAAGAGCTGGAACGACTCACGCAGCGCCACCAGCAGGAGCTCGAGCGGCGCCTAAAAGCGAATGTTGCGGCCGAACGAAGGTTGCTGAAAGACATCACCACAAGGCAGGAGGCGGACCGAAAAGCTTTTGAGACCCAAAAGAAGAGGGAGTACAAGGCGAGTAAAGAGCGCTGGAGGCGGCAGATGGATGACGAGGCAACACCCAAGAGACAGAGGGACGCTGCTCTGGCCTCCCAAAAGGAGAACCACAAGCAGGTCGAGGCTCAGGAGGAGCAACGTTTGGTGCGTGGGCAGAAGGATTACCTGGAGCTGGAAATGAGGAAGCTGCGTCGTAAGAAGCTGCTGCAAATTCAACATCTAGAATTGGAGTTGTTACGAGAGGAGTTGGTAAAACGGCAACAGCAGCTTGAGACGGCACATTCGATGTTGCTCAGACATCATGAGGCCACCCAAGAGCTCGAGTATCGCCAACAGAGAGCCGTGCATGCGTTGCGAGAGGAGCAGGTATGTTTAAATCTGTCTCATTGTGGAGAAATTCAAATCTAATAAACTTAAAAAGAAGTTTGAAAGTATTGTAGCTCCATGGAAATTTTTACATCCTCTTTGGGTATTATTACAAATTAATATATTATGCGTCATTTTTTGTTTCAGGTATCTCGACAACACCAAACTGAGTTAAATTCGCAACGAGAGTACATGACTCGGACAGAGCGGGAACTTCGAAAGAAACATGCATTGGAGCTTAAGCAGCAGCCAAAGAGCCTAAAACAGAAAGAGGCACTGATTAGGAAGCAGTTCCGCGACACATGCAAAATCCAGACACGGCAGTACAAGGCTTTAAAGTCTCATATCCTCCAGACCACGCCAAAGGAAGACCAAAAGGCAGTCATAAAGAAGCTCAAGGAAGACCAGATGCGGAAGCTTGCGCTGCTCGGCGACCAGTACGAGCAGAGCATTGCAGAGATGCTACAGAAACAGTCAATCAGACTGGACGAAAGCCAGGTGCGAATTTAATTGTTATGAAAAAACTAATCAATTTTTAAATTATTATAAATTAGTAAGAATATAAGTCTACTTGATATGCTGCCTACTTTATTATATTTCATTTAAAATAAAACTTTGGATTTTTTCAGTAATAAGTTTCTTATATTTTTTGTTATCCATATCATACAGGGTGTCTATGAAGGAACTTATTTGCAAAATAATTTCATGAATTAAATTTTGTTTGTAGGAGGCTGAATACTCTCGACTGAAGGAGCGTCTCGATTATGAGATGGAAATGTTGATGGCCTACCAGTCGAAGAACAAGATGCAGGCTGAGGCGCAGCGAAATCGTGAACGCAAGGAGCTCGAGGACCGTGTCAGTGTGCGTCGCGCCCTGCTTGAGCAGAAGATGCACGAAGAGAGCCTGCAGTTTAAGCAGGAGCGGCACGAGCGACTGCGCATGTTGCAGGAGCGACATGATAAGGATCTTGACTCTTTTGACGAAGAGTCCGCTCGCCTCGGATTCAGGTACTGAGCTTTTTTAACTTTCAAGGTCAATTTTTCATTTGATGATTTTATGGGTGTCAAATGCAGTGCGCTCGCGATTGCCGAGAGCTCAAAGGAGGCGTACGAGGAGGAGAGCCTGAGCGGCAGCATGCTCAGCCTAGCCCATAGCAACAGCTCCTCCTCCTTCCCCCTGTGATCGAGAAGTGACACTCAGGACTAGTCTCAGTGATATACTCACTCACTCCAGGACACTTGACTTGAATCAAAGTGCAGTGCATCTATCCCCAGCATAATAAGCAAGCAAACAAACGAATGCAGCGTCAATCAATAAAAATCACAATTGCAGTGAACAACGGTGCTCCATTTTATTCCCGCTTTCTTTCAAAGCTCAACCATCTTTGCAAAGGCCAAGAAAAATCAAACTTGGTAAAATTGTACTTAAAAAAGAAAATTAACTGCTTTATTAACTTACAAAACCATTAATTTTATATAAAATATAAAACTTTTATCTATTTTCCTGCCCACCTGCCCTCGTTCTCGCTTTGCACATAATGACGTCTGTTGCTGAAAGCGCCTCGAGAGTCGTCGTCTCTGACGGTGAGACTTGTGCCCACCTGGACAGACCAGGGCGCTGGTTGTCTTGGGTTGTAGCTTCCGTAAACGTCACCTGGAAGCGGTTCTCGAAGGTATCGCGACCTCGGCGCCTGCACTGCTTGCAAGAATGGGCTTGGTTGTTGCTGGTGGAAGTTTTGGACTTGCTGTCCGTGATAGGGCTGCGCTTGGTACTGTTGGCTGGCGTAAGGTTGCGCTTGGCGCTGTTGGTTATCAAAAGGCTGAGCCTGGTACTGTTGATTGGCGTAGGGTTGTTGGTTATTTTGGTTGTGATAGGGCTGCTGTTGGTGCTGAGCAGGGGGGTTGCCCCAGTAGCGACTGGCCGGCAACAGGGCTGGCAGAATTCGACTGCGCCACTGAGGTTCTGGGGCTGACCACCAAGCTGTGTCCCTCGTCAGGGAACGACCCTCGTAGGCCCCAGCCAGGCCCACAAGGCCGGCCATCGAAATAAAAAGCCAAGCGGCGGTCATCTGAAAACCACAGTTTTATTATTATCAAGAGAGATCAAATTATAGGACGAAAAAGTACGTCGACCAGTTTTTTTTCACATGTTATAAACGCAAGTTACTGTTCTTTTAAAAGTCAACGTACTTAAGAATATGCGTGACAAAAACTCGGATAAAAAATACCATCACTTTTTTGGCTTCGTGTTCTCCCGCCTGAGAGTGGAACTGTTATATAAAATGGGCCGAGCAAATTGGCTTTCAAAGGTACTTTGGCTTTTTTGTCCATTTTTCGCACATGCCAGAGTCAATGACATTTAAAAGCCCCGACATAAAGTTTGGCCGGAAAATGTCCTCGACGCTTTATGGCTGGCACTGCTTTCCATTTTCAGGGACGTTCGAAAGAGCTTGTCCCTCGCCTCGCGTATCAAAAACGGAAATCAAATCTGCCAAAGCGCGCGTATGAAATGGTAAAAGAGTTAAATTGAAAAAGGCGATTTTCAACATTTATCAAATAAAAATCATCAGATTTAGTTTGTTTGAAATAATAATATGAGGCTAAGAATAAGCTGGCAGAGCCAATAGTATAAAATATCATTGTTATATAACTCTGCTAAATGAGGCAATATATAATTGGCACTTCATGACTTCATTAAACGGATCAGATGCCCAAATTTTAAATGGACAATCGGACAGACTTTGTTTTATTTTCTATGAATTCAGTTGTAGTTTGCAGGAAATCAAGTTACCTTGACAGCGAAAAGTGACACAAAACAGGCGGCTGCGTTCTAATTTTTTCAACAAAATTTAAAAAACTTGATAATTTATTGATAAAAAATATTTAAAAATTCTAAAGGCAGGAATGAACGATTAGCGAAGAAGTGCTACCGGCGTGAAAAAGACAATAATTGCAGGATGCACCTGCTCAAGCTAAGTATAAGGTGCATTCACCCGTTGAGGGCGATTAAGGTGCGTGTGGGGAAGGAAGGTGTACTTGCCTGTGTGCTTGGCGACGGCCGAGGTTGGAGTGACGCTGAGGAGTCTCCAGGAGAGACCGAGAACTTCTCAGGACCCCCCGCCGGAGGCCGTGGAGCGAATCAGTGCGGGGCGAGGGGGCCACAAAGGCGGCCACCGTGACCCGGTGCGCCGGACGCCGCAGGAGAAAATATGCAAAGGTGTCTCCTGAGGAGATACACAAGTGGTCGCGAGATGCTTCTCGGAAGGCGCTGGACGCGAAAGCAGAAAAAAGGTGCTGCTCGCCGCGTGTGTGAGTCAGAGGTGCTCTCAGGGCGCATTGACTCTGCGTCACGCCTAGCTGGCCGGCTCGACAATTAAAAAAGGTGATTGTCACAGTGGCTTCCTGTCAGCCGCCCCTCCCGCCGCGGATGTTGGTCCGCGATCTGTGCGAGAGATGCGCGTTCGCCGATTTGCATTCTGCAATAAAGCGCCGCTTGGTGAAACCAGAACGATCGAAACCTTTCCTTCCTCTGGTCAGTTTCGCGCTCGATAGAACCAGAAACTTTTTTCATTGTTGCCGGTGATGAGGAAAGCAATAAATTTACTAAACAGCATCTCTGGTGAATTTAAGTATGCAAATATATTCTCAGAAGTATTTTCACTTCAATTAAATTTCAAGACGGAATTAAAATGTAGTACAAGGAAAAATAGCATTGAATAAAACTTGTGTGTGTAGAGAATGGCACAAGAGGAAAATTGGCTCTTTGATCATTATCTTATCTTGCTCATAAGAAATTCCATATTGCTGACTCAAAGAATTTTATAACAAGCGATAGAATTAACTATTTTCTTGGCAAGGTCAAATAATTATATATTCGTACTTTGAATCTGCTGTGAATTATTAATTAGTTAATTAGCGTTGGGAAAATTAGCTACTTAAATTATCCTGCATGAGAAGGCTTATAAAAATGCCATATATTTTTTGTTTCGAGTTTCGCAGCACTTGTTTCACATAATTCTAATTTTGCAACAGGAATTGCCTTAACTAAGAAAGTCTCCATTCCCACTGAATAATCCTTTAATATTTTCTTCCGATATATTCCAAAAAGTTCACTTTTCATCGTCTAATTCAGAGAAACACCCGCCCTTATTTTTTGATAACATTTGCAAAGTGGTTGACAGGTTGACATGTTTGGTGTCGAAAGTATAAAAATCTCTAAATAAGCGAAATGACTCATTTGTCAAAAATTAATTTTCAATAATTTGGTTTGAATAGATTTCAATTTTTTTACACCTTTCCTTTTTATGTGTCAATTTCGCAATGATGATGGAACATTAACAACGTTGTCATATGTAATATGTTTAATGATGAAAAAACCATACAAAATTGTTCCAGAATAAATCGGATATAGACTATTGTTTTGTCTAACGAGCTGCGAGTGAAAAATATGCAAATAATAGAGGAAAACGAGAGTGTGAAAAACCTAATCCGGGTCAAATCCCAAACAAAATAGACTCATAGACTGCTATGCAACCAATCAGAAAGAGAAACAATAGTGCCCCATTCGCGGTGCTTTTGCTTTCGTTTATTTATTTTCAAAAGCACCTTTTGTCCAGCGGAGCGTAAAGAGCATGTAGACGCTTTTTGATCAAACCACTATGCAAAAAGGGAACCGCAATGAAAACGCGAGCTGGAAATTTTGCCAAGCTTAATTTGATTCGTGTCACCGAGTTGAGGTGCGTGTTAGCGAAAAAGCCACACACGTGTTTGAAAGCGACTGCTGCGGGAACGTTAAATTGAGAAAAATATACTCGCTCGCGCTCTTGCGTCTTAATTGGAAGGGGAAATTATTATAACTGCTCAATTAATTAAAATCGAGTGTATACTTGGAAATAATCAAAGCAGAGGAAGACTGTAAGTTCATCGCCTTTTGAAAGAGGAAATATCATGGAAGCGCCCTGAGGCGAAATTAATTTGCATAAACAATAATGTCTACAGAATCTGTTGCTTTCTGTTTCCAGAAAGGTTTGGATCAAAACTGTTTAACAGAAATCGAAAGTGCTTTTGGCGTTCTTTGAACAAATGCGATTATTTTTCAGTCTAATCTCGGTTCGCGGTTCCACCTTTGCGTGTGCGTGAATAAATTTCCTGTGAAATTTAACAAGCCGGGCAGTAAAAGTAGCGGCGGATTAGCGCGAAAATTGTACTCTCTATTTTAATCTGCGGCATAAATTTCCAAAAAGCAGCACGATAAATTTCCTCAACTGAGATAAAATCTCAAAACAAATTGCCAGCGCGCGTCGGACCTTCCTGGGGTGCGCGAGAAGCGTTTTATGTTGACACCTGCGTCTGATGGGCCTCCAGATTACGCATTAAAAAATGAGTTGGTTTTTTTCAAGCGGTGACGAAATCTCCCCGTAACGCGCGGCAGGCTGTTGGCCGTTTAATTGGTCAGATTGCGAGATAAAAAATAGGATAATTAAGCGCCCTTGCTCCCTTTGAAAAAAAAATCGCTTTTTGCAAAGACAATGCGCGTCAAGATAACTACCGCGAGAGACAATATAATTACTAGTAAAATGAGTTTCGCATGGCAGGGGAAAGAAATAGTGCAGCGGGAAGTTTTTGGCGCGTGCAATAAATCAGCAGCGAGAAAGGACGAGACGCGCTTTTAATTGCAAAAGAGCGCACGCGGTCTTAATGGGCGTCATCAGGGTGATTAGCCACCCCATCTCGTCCACCACCTGCGACCACAAGACGCCACCCCGGCTAATTGAATCGACACTACGGTTCGACCCGGCGAAAGAAAATTGCAACGCGTCTTTTTCCTCAAGAGAGAAAGTTGTTCTAGTGTATAAATCGTAAAAGAACCTTGAAAAATTAATATTTAGCTAAAAAAATCACAAACTTGCATAGCATTAATAAACTACATATATATATTTTCCATGTTTCTCCTATAACTGAATAATTTCTAAAAAAATAATAAATAAACAAAAAATCAGCAAAATAAGTTTCATCACTCTTAAAGAATTCCTACTTCTTTGTTTCTAAATCTATCGCATAATTCAGTGTTTTGAAGAATGTCCGTTTCTCCTCGAAAATCTTATCATGAAAGTCTGCTAATCTTATTTTAATTTTTTTTTTAACAAAAGATGATTCTCGCTTTCATGTTTGTGCGTGAGACGCAAAAATGTCTCTTGCCAAAGTTGCTGACCCAGATTTTCGCGAATGTGCCCCTTCAGTTGTTAATTAATTTCGTGTACAACAATTCACTGCGACGAGAAACAGAGCCTGGGAACTTCTCATTCATTTATCATTAGCGCCGGTTGACAGAAATGCCCGAATCAGACATGCAAGGTTATTGTTGCGCATTTTTGGACTAGAAACTTCACTCTAATTTTTTGATTTAGATTTAAATTTTGTATCTGAATGAAATTGAACATCAGAGAGTATAATTACTCTCAGGGTCGTGCACTTCAGAAGGTTATTAAAACCCAGCGAACCTTGAACTTGCTCTCTAGCGCGCCTAAATCTCCTTCTTTTTATCAACAATCACCTTCCGGCGTCTCCGAGAAAGTTCGCTAACACTAAAAATTGGCCATCAGATTAAATTATTTCTTTTATCAAAAATTTCGCTTTCTTGTATTGCTTGTCAAAAGTAGAAAGCAGAGCATCTCAGTTTCAAGTAGTTGTCTTTATTTTTGATATTTTTTTATCCACTTTTTTAAATTCAGCCAAGCATTTCAGATAATATTTCCAACAAATGGGCGAACAAGTAAAACACAGATTTTCAACACCAAGTTTAGGCTCTTGCGGATTCGGAAGAATATTGACTATAATATGTTTATATTTGTGTATTAGTGTGAAATGCTGGGCACCATGCTGTGTGCACATGTAAAAGTCTCGGTGCGCGACGACTCATCCACTTGCTCGACAGATATAGTAATAAAATAAAGAACGAAACAGACACTCTGCTCTGTCAATTGTACGTAATCAACTCTAACTCAGCCGTGGGAACTGCGTGCAAAGAATAAACAAAGCAAAGTTTTCGTGGCAGAAAAACAACCTGTTTTAAAGAGGGTTAGGAGAAACGTTGACAACAGCAACCAAACAATTTGTTTAACACTGATTGAGATCACTTTTGGTTACACATTCATTAGTGCTCGCCCTGTTGAATTGGAAGAAGAGGAAGAACAACAACATTTGTCTCACAGTACACATCGATCAATGAGTTGGCGCTCGCTTTCTTTCTTATCGGCTAAACGGGCGAAAAAGTCAAAAAAAGTTTAGCAGCAATAGATACCTTGTTTTGTTTTCTTCAGTTCGGTATGTCTGAGTGTGTGTTTATGGCTTTATTCTTACAACAAGAATGGTTTGTGTTTAGACGCAGGACAGTGGACACCGGAACAACAGTGAGACGAGAATCACAAGCAGTTTAGACGACTAGATGCTGCTGACACGGCTCACCCAGCCAGCCATGTCCACCGCCTCGGCATCAGCCTTCTTTAGCCACGTATGAGTCTGGAATCAAAAATTCAAATTTAATTCACTTCAAAATAGAAAATAATTCCCAAATTGAATTAGAATGTCAGGGGAGTGTTTTCCTTTCTTGGATTAGAATTAATTCACTTCATAACTAAATTACGATTTCTCACGTATAAAAAAAAAAAAAATCTTGTTAAATTTCCATCAGATTAAATTTTTAATTTTTTTTCTCTTTTCCTCCGAAATGTATGCTTATTTGCAGAGAATATTTTAATAGAGGTAAAAAAGCAAAATCATAAAAAATTAAAAGTTTCTGATTTACATTTGAATTTATCCAAAAATATTTTCAATTACTGATCTCTTTTAAAATAAAAAAATAAAATTATGTTTGATTAATCATCCATTTCATTAACATTGTATGGCTATAAAAAAAAAACATAATATTTAAAAATTCAATTCACACCATAAGCGTTTTGAGGTCAGCACGTTCCTTGGGGTTCTTCTTGAGACAAAGGTCGACAAACTCCTTGAACTCTGTGGAGAAGTGATTTGGGGGTAGTTTAGGTGGTGGCTCATTAACGATGTAGTTAAGCAGCTCGAAAATGGCCATTGGTCTCTGCTGAGGTACTGCCGCATCGGCCATCAAGGTCGCAGGATCAGGTGGCGGCACAGGGTAAACGCCGATGGCCATTTCGACCAGAGACAACCCCAGTGACCACACGTCTGACTGCACCGAATAGTGACTGCCCTGCAGCCGCTCCGGACTCATGTAACTGCGAGTGCCCACAAAAGAGTTTGCCATCGAGTCGATCAGCTGACCCGATACGCCAAAGTCGCAGATTTTAATCTCACCCCGCGATGAAATCTGTGGAAATTTGCAATTTCCTCATTAATCAATATTTTTTCAAAATATTAGATATTTCTTTTTAAAAATAAATCACAAAAAATAAAATTCAATCAAAGTGTTGTAGCAAATTAAAAAGAGATCTTATTAATATAATTTATAATACACATTAAGTTTATTTTATTGTTAATTTTATGTTTGAACCCCTAAAATAGTTTTTTTAACTGTAAAAAAGGAGGTATTAAAAATTCTAATTCTAATTACCAAAATGTTGCTTGGTTTGACATCTCTGTGCATTATGTTGTGTTTGTCTCTGAGGTAGCTTAGCCCTTTGAGCACGGCCAGCGTGATCTTGGCTAGCACGTTTTCTGGAATGCGTCCTGCCCGCTTCAGAATCAAGTCCAACGAGCCCCCGTCCATGTACTCCATGCAAATGCTTATCTCACCGTCACTGTAATTAAACATACATAAGATTAATTTTGCAAAAAGCAATTGCAGCCAGTAAACTGACCTGTAAAACGCGCCATAATAACCAACTATGTGCGGCGAATTGCACTCGTGCAAAATTTTCAATTCTCTAAGAATTTGCTTCTTAATTGCCGGCTTTACTTCTAGATGGATCAGCTGTGGAAAAAATCTTTTTAGACAAAAATAATGGATTTTATGTTAAGTAAATAGAGGGTTTCAATTATAATTTGTATAAAAATTACATATCAAATTATTAGTAAAGATTTTCTAATTTTAATTCAAATTTTATACTTTATATTTATAAGCGGATAAGGTCAACTTAAAAATTATTTATAATAATTAGGCTTCTTTTCAATAAGACAAGAAGCATAATATGAAAATTATGTGTATAAAATAATAAAAATGTCAAGAGGTCTTCAAGGGGGTGTGGTTTTGGGCGCACCTTGCGGGCCATTACAAGTCCGGTGGGCTTGTGGCGGACTTTCAGGACGACACCTCCGTTTCCGGCGCCAAGTTCGCCCAATTTCTCAAAGTCCTCGTCCATCAACTCGTGTTTGATCTTCTGTTTTTCCTTCAAAAACAGGTCCATCCGCTGACGCTGGGTCTCGTCCATTTCGAGCTCTTCGAGCCGCTCCTGCAGAGCTTCAATGGTCACTTTGCCCCTGAAAATAAGGCCCAGGTCAGAAACACTCTCAGTGTTCATCAGAGGTCACTTACTCTGGCGCCGCAACGTCAGGTGGCGGCGCCGCCGCGGCCTCGATAGCACCCGGCGGCAGCGTCAGGTTCAGCTTGTTCTTGGACATGTCGCTTCAGCGATTTATGCAACCGGTCGGTTTTTTTCTCCCTTTTAGCCGACAACGACCGGTTTTCGGCCGAAATTCGCGACTCGTCTCGAATTCGGCGGAGATTATTATTTGTGGTTTTATTTTGGTCGGATGGTGCGGTGTTTGTTTTTGAATCAAAAACCAAAATCCAACAGCCCAGCCGAGCCGAGCTGCGCGCGCCGACAGTCATTTGTCTACGAGGCTCGCAGTGGCGGTAAAAGAGCAGGTCCTTCGCTAGCTCGTGCATCGCCGGATCGATCCTTGCCGGGTCTCTTTGTCGTCTTTTGCCTCTTTTCTTTCTCTTTGCCCTTGCTTTTGGTCACGGAAGAAAACATTATTACAAGATTATCGAACTTCAAAAAGCTTTTCCAGATATTTTAAACAGAAACAATAGAAAATACAGAGTTATTAGCAAAGAAAAAATATATTTATAAATCATATTTGTAAAATGTAAAAAGTTACGCTGTTTTTTTTAGCAAGAGATATTTATTCTTTTAAATGATACAATCCAGCCAAGCTTGAAAGCTGGTGCTCACTTCTCATACAAACTGCCGATCAAAATTACTCGCCATCAGCTGTAAAAATATTTTTTGTCCTACTTTTGAAATGAGCATAAATTATTCAATTTAAGCTATTACAACAATAACAAATAATAAAATTGCAAATTATATTTTGTTTCATTCCTGCACACTAACATTTTTTCTTAAAATAATGTTCATCTACATTCCAATTTTTTTTGTTTAATTTCCCTTTTTTTGTATGCCTTTTAGTGCTCAAACCCACATTATTCATTTATAAACCGCATATAAAATTATAAATTGTCATAAATTTATTTATATTGCACGCATCGCCACAAGCATATTGCAAAGAAAGAAAATATGCTGGTTTGGAGTTTACAATTCAATTTTTATTAAAACTAAAATTAGCATGAAAATTTTATAACAGGGCATCGATTACAATAAATAATTTTAATAATCTTCCTTTTCTTGAAATTTATCCTAATTTTTACTCGCAACATTGTGATCAAGCATAGGAAAAAAAGCAGTTTATTACCTGAAGGTATGCAATGCGCTGAACTCCCGTGCGTTGGGGTTGCATAATCGTCTTCTCACTCCCAGCAATCGCTCTACAATTTTTTATTTTCTTCGTGCGCTTTGCAATACATAGTATACATGGAGCGAAATTATCAGTTTTTTTTCTTTAAACATTTTTTCTTTTAACATTTTTTTTTTAACGAAAACGACCCTTTGCAAGAGATTTTGCGTTTTCCTGCTCATCGTTGTTCGGTGTAAATGTTTGCAGTCGCGGTCGGGGTGATTGATGGGCCGCTCTGGCGCGAAACGAAGCGTGCGATTGGTCGCAATCGGACAAATAATTCTCAGCTGTCTCATTTCACTTGGTAATGCGGAGACGCTTTTACCGAAATTTCCATGAGAAACGGCGCAGCGCCAATCGTGACCAAGCACAAGACCAAAAAACTCGCGCGTACAAAAGTACACACAAGTTCTCCCCCACATTAGCAGCTCAGCATTTGATGCAAGGACGGTTTTCGCGAAAGGGTGTGTCTGGGTGCACTCTGGCGGGAATGCAGCGCTGCAGAGTGCAAAGTAACGCGGTTGGGCTGGCGAAAAGAGCGGCGGTCGATTTTTCTCTTCCGCGTGACGTGCACCCGCCGCTGCTCTGATATAATGGATGGAGCAATTTGCCTATTCGGCTGGATATCGCCGAGTCATTCGGCTCCATTTGCGTTATTTATGGTGGCGTGTCATCAGCAGAAAGAGAGCTGGCGCGCAGCATCCCTTAATTAAGACGCCGAATTATTCGGGCGGAGGCCCTGGCGGGGCAATTGCCAGAAGAAAGGTCGTCCCCGGGGGAGCAGTTGTTGCTCGCTCGCTCGCGCGCGCCGCTTACCCCTTTTTCTTAAAAATGAGAGACGCGATAATAGCCGGGCCGTAAAAGAGTTTTTCGCTCGCTCGCTCTCACTGCAGCACACAAAAATGATTTATCTCCTTTCCCTCCATTAATTTGCATTACCAAAACAAAATCGGCCCCGCGCGTGAATGCAAATTACGCTCTCAAAAATTTCCAAATGACATCTCTGCGCCGCTATTATACTCTCAAGGTGCTGGTTTTTATGCAAATTTTAATTTATTCTAAAATACATTAAAAATGTTTTGGGAGAGATGTGGAACATTTCAATAGGGAAATTTTGAGACTTTTTTGATAGAAAAGAATTGATTTACAAAATTTTCTATTTATATTTTTTTATACTAAAATCTTTGTGCGAGCAAAAGAACATAAAATGCTGTGATTTATTTATTTGATTCATCTTGTGGATTGAGGAAGGTTATGATAAAAAGGCGATTTTATGTTTTTCCTCCTCAATTGATTTAAGAAAAAAATATTTAAAATGGTGAAATTTTGTTAAGGCATAGATTGGAAGTTTTTGAGATTTTTTTCCAAATGTGCTGACTTAGTTAATTTAGCTACAAAAGCTAAAGCTTATAAGTGTTACCTAACCAAAATTTAAATTTTTTTTACTCTTGATATTTTTTTTAATAAATAGGTTAATTTGCCTATATCTTTCCCTAGTTACTTTGATAGATGAAATTTTTGTTGGAATCTCTGTCCAGCTATGTTATTATAGGCAGAGGCATAACATATAAAAATGAGATTTTATCAGGCACGTGCAAACGACGTGCACTCTCAGGCGTCAATCGATTGCAATCGCGGGCCGTTGCTCTTCGGACGCATCAATAAATGACAATGGTCCCCAGGCAGATCGACGTGTACGTTTGCTTTTGCTCGTCGGAAATAAGAATCACGGCGCCGGCCGGCCAATTCCCCAAACAACAAACACGCATTTCTCACTCTCGCAGCACAGCTAGACACACTACTCAGTCAGATGCAGTGCAGAGAAATCAAGTAAAACCAAGCAAGGCCCCTCGCATGCCAATAATCATCTCACTCGCAGCCCTTATAAAATATGCAGCGGCCACCGCCACAGTACGTCGGCTTATTTATGCAATACACTCATGCTGTGACGCGATCCGAATCCAAAAGTGATTCCGCAGCATCCTCTTGCCTACACATCATGTCTTGTTTAATTTAATTTACAAATTACGGAGAAAAAGCAGCAAAATATATATCTTAGTTCTTTCTGGTATTACTTGAATGCTAATAAATTTCAGGGATTTCGATTAACAAAAATAAAATTTTCTCAGGTTTATTAAAATTTAATTTACATTTTCTTTTAAAATTTTTTTCTTAAATTTTATTTCAATTATTATTTGTGAATTTTATTAAAAAACTTTTTAATTAAATATTTAACACTACAGGTATTATTCCACTGCTACATAAAATTTGGCATAGGACGTTTTAAAGGGAAATAATAAAATGTAAAATATAAAATTTTATACATTATTCTATGTGATTTAATGCAGTTAAATCAGTTAAATTTTTTTTCCAGATTTGTTGAAGAAATTCATGCGTTGATAGTTTTTATTATATTCAATGTCTTTAATGTAAAATTCTTGACCTTAACCGTGAAATCCTTACTTTCTTTGAACAATATTTCCGCCTTCTTTCTTTTTCACCCTTAGACATTTTTTCCTGAGCCCTGGTGGTGAGACATAATTTAATAAAGCAGCAACAAATTTGCGTTCCCCCAAACAATATACATTTTTTCCCTTTTTGATATGCGGCGCCGCGTCTAATGGCTGCGGGTGTTTTGACACATATTCCGCGTTTACATCTTCATTTGGCCACTAATGAGGATGAAATTAAAAGAGGGGTGCTGCAGTGCCTCTGCCTCCCTTATGCACTCCGCGGGTGCAGCTTTCATGCTGCTGCACTCTGACATGATGCATGCATTGTCAAACTGTAAACAGTCAGCTGCATTAAAATATGAATTCGGCCCTGCACAAATGGATGCGATGGATGGATGGTTGGATGGGGGACGCTGACGAGCAGAAAGAGACCGTTGCGCGGATCGCTTGCCAGAGAGAGTCGATCACAAGACCGGGCAGCAATTCATCAAAACATCAGCGGCTGCTTTGCGTAGAAATTTCAAATCATCAAACGAGCCCGGCTCTGTATATCAAAAATGGTCATTTTTCATCGCGTGGAACTCGGAGGAAGAGAAATGAGACAGTCATGAGGGGCACATCTTTTCAATAAAGGAAAAGAAATGACCCAAGATGAATAAATATTAAAAAAATATTTACAGTTAACTTTTTTTTTAATTCAAAAATTTTATTTTATATCATGTGGAGCTAAAATTTTCTTCTTAAATTTTTGCCTCAATTTTGAGTAATTTAAGCACTATTTGTGTATAAAATAGTAGCCAAATTAGTATAAGTTATTTAAAAAATTTAATACCTCTAAATTTAAACCAAATTTATGAAAAAGGAAGAGAGTTAGGAATATCAATTTTAATGACGTCTTTCATGTAACTTAAATACTTAAAAAAAGAATAAACTATTTAAATAATTAATTCTGAAAACTTTTTACAGTGAAAAAAATCTAACAGTAAAATTTAATTTTTTCTTCTTCAATTGCTGGAGACAATTTTGCTGAAAAAGCAATTTTCACGGCAATCAAACAGCGGCGTGACCAAAGTGCCTTTGATGAAAACCATGTCCGCTTGTGTACGTGAGTCTCATTTGTGCAGCCCTCTCCGTGCTTGCAGTGTTTTACGCGTGCTCGATTACGACACACAAACACTTTAAAGCGAATGATACGTTTAATATCGGGGCTAATGTGGCGTTGAAAAATGTTTCGAGTGCCGGTTATATCGTTTTGCTTATTCGGCCCCCACGAGAATACCAGCCAGAGAGAGAGAGAGAGAGACAAGCTGTTATTTTTCCCTGTTTGCCGTGCATGCATGATAAAGAGCTGGGGTTTGATGGCGCGCCGCGGGCCAAATTACCTGCACCTCACAATCAACCTGCGCTCTCTCGCTGTGTATAGCTCTTGATTCTTTTTATCGTAATCGAGGCAGCCAGTGGGCGAGAGGACGCGCGTTTTCAAATTACATGCCACTTTACAATTCGTTCACATGTGCGCTGCGTGGATGAATATTCGCTGCTTTTCGATTTTGTTTTCGAGATACCGCGCGGCCTCTCCCATGCGCTTCACTTATTGCTCTGCCGCGAGTGTTTGTGTTATAC